CCTGTAAAGCACTTTGAGCTGTCAGCAGTATGAAGAGTGCTCTATAAATAGTTATTATTATTATTATTATAATTATTCTTTCACAATATCACTCACCCGCACAGCACCTAGAGTATCTATAGGCCGCCTCTTCCACCAGAGTATGAGCACTATTGCATTACCTGCAAGAAATCCACCAGAGCAGATCATATGTCACAGCTACAATACAGGGAGGAACAGAATCGGGTTAAAACTGCCAAACAAATGCTATAGCAAGCATTTCCAATCCACTCATTGTGTTCCTTTACCTAACACACCTGCTCAGGTGCAGCTGAAGCTACAACTATGGACAGTCTGGGGGTCCTGAAAGACTGGACTCTTGAGGAAAAACTGCTACAGAACTCTAAAGATTGATGTATGAAGGATCAGACTTACCTGAGCGTTAGGTCTCCACATCAGATGCAGCTGTTTTGGGATCCTTCACATTGGTGTAAAGGTGAAGCGCTAAGGTGGATAGAAAACCTTGCGGTTATTCTACCACTGCAGCCATTAAAATGAGCTTGAAATAAGAGAAACCCACAGAAAGTCGACGTCCGTGTTGTTTTTGTTTTATTCCTAAATGGACCAAAATGTTATGATGATAATGATAATTCTTCTTTGAGTTTTTAGTGGTTTTTAGTCATGATGTACAGTAAAAACACTGTCACAGCAGTGACTTCACAGAGTTTGATGCTTGTTTTTTTAGTTCAAATTGTAATAATGCATTAAAAAGTCTGCCCAATGTTATGATTTTTTGGTAATATAAAAATATGCTTTTGATAGTAAATCTTGTCCCAAGATTTTGTCGTCAGTGGCGTTACAGAAATATATAAAACGTCATTCAAAAACAAAACAAAATACCACAAAACAAAACAGGAAGGTCTTTCTGAACTACGTCTTGTATGAATATCTCAAATGAAGAAAACGAAGTCTGCGGTTAGTGAAAATCTGGCCAAAATAACATGTTTAATAAGTAACACCACTGACACCGCAAAAGCTGTCAATGGTGTTACGTATTAAACAAGTGTTTTTAAAATTGAATTAAAGTAAAAATGAACACAATAATTGTGATTTTACAAACAGTGTGACTAAAGTAGGAGTGCATTTTTTATTTTTTTTTTAATAGAAAAGCTCAGATTTAAATCATGTCAGTGATGTTACCACTTTTATCGCAAAACTACCAAAAACAATCTTTCGGACATTCAGAATCATTTCATGTAGTAACTTTCTGTGAGGGAGCTTTTAGAGGTGGGCGTCTGGTTCCTATCACCACCACTGTGAAAACTTCTGACTCTAAAACAGAGCATTCCACATTAAACCACTCTGAATGAGTTTGTTTTCATCTTAAAGACTTAATTTTGCAGAAATTTTGAAAAATGAGAGGAGTTCCCCTTCACTTTCCACATATGGGCTATACAGACTGGGGAGTTAGGTGTTTGAAACTTTATATACACTGAAAAAAAACAGTAACTTATGAAATGAAATGATCTTAAATCAAGGTGATCTATCTAATATTTCTTATTTTGAGATGGTTGTGCACTTATAAGATTATCTGGCTTATTTCTGTACAATTTTAAATTGCTTTAGGTATTTTTTTAAAGGAAATTTAATTTTGCTGGTTCAAAGCACATTTCTTAAAACAAGCAAAATAATCTGCCAATATAGGAAGATAATTTTACATAAAATTACCTAAAACACGTAAAAATGATTGGTTTTTAATCAAGTCAGTGGTGTTACCATCAGTGATGTTACCACTTTTATGCTATTCAATATAACAGACCACACTTCACACTTGAATTACATGAACAATTGCACCCAGTTCACCACTGCAAATAAAGAACGACCCATTGACCAAAAATCATTCCTTAAAAAAAGCTTTCTGTTGACGGTTCTACAAATGTTCCACTTCAGTAAATGAGACGTGCGACTTTGAAGAACCTTTTTAAAACTTCAAGAATCTCCACATCGTGCAAGTCCAGGTTTTTCGCCTTTTCATCCACCAAGAACCATTCAGGATCCTTTACTTTTAAGAACACACCATGGCTGGAGTCTGAATTCTACACTAATATTGGCTGGTAGCGAAAAGGAGAGTTCGAGATCTCCTCAAACAACATAACAGGCCGCAGTTAAGTCAAGACAAACATGTTCTTAAGGCCGTTAGCCTTGTTCACCGTACGCCCATGTTTTCTTAACCCAGCTCAATGCCACGCCTTCTCCCTGTGAGATGGAGATGATCCAAGGACTTGGAAAAACAGCGCTCACCCAGTAATACCAAGACAAGCAGTTAGGAAGGGCCCAATAAATAGCCAATTGTTGTGCTGGTTAGATTTAAGAGAGTTGGGAGTAGAGTTATGCACAAAAGCATGTTACATAACTGAAAAAACAGAGGCAGCCATTTTACAGCCTTGATTTTGTTTGTACTTGTCCATTTTTTGTCCATGTTACACTCAGAAACCACTTAAGCAAGTCTAGTCAAGATTACTTATCAGCTAGACCTGCTTTAAAACAAGCTTATTCTATAAAATGGACAAAAGGACATAACAAAAATATGGCATTTTCTGAAATTTAGTCACTATATCTAATATTTTTCCGTTTTGGAAATTCTTGTAAGCTTAAGCAGATTTAACCTATTTCTATACATGAGTTTACATCTTTTAAGTGAGTTTAGTAAGTCAAATTCTCACTATATTGGCAGATAATTTTGATTACGGCAAGAAATGTATATGAAGCAAGCCAAATTATCTGCTAATATAGCTTAAAATCACTTAAAACAAGTAAAAACATAGAAAAAAAAAGTTAAATCACCCAATAAAAAGCTTAAAACAATCTGCAAAAGAGAAAGGTTATATATGTTGGCTAGATTTACGATAATTTAACTTGACAAGAGACCCTTTGCAGTGTCTGTTGCACATATTGAGGCCTGACGTTTGTCCATGTTTACAGATAACACTATGTTTAAAACACATAAGCAAGCATATGAGAATACTTAACAACTTAAATTGGTCTTGGTGCAGGTGTGTAATGATTTATGGAAGCAGTTTGCTTATTAAAATGACATTCTGGTCTAAAACTGGCATTTAATACATGATAATATTCCCTCAGCCTCATTGGTTTGACACAATTCATGCTTTTGTATTCTTCTTTCCATCAACACTCTCACTACAATACATGCATTGCTCAAACTGTCATACAACTGTTGCGAACTCCAAATAAAGCAATGAAAGTATAATACGTTAATACAAACGTCATTTTCAGCTTTTAAGCAGTGATTTTCGCTATCTGGCTTCCGTCTGCATTAGCCAGAGCAAAATAACACTTTAAACAGCTCAAAATGCGTGTAGTTTTGCAACGCACCTTCAAGACGCATCATCCGAAGGTGAATTTCCAGTCTTTAAATGGGAATTTCTCACTCTAAAGACTATCATGGCGCCACTGTAGATGGTGAACACACACAATCACAGCAGGTGTAGAGACGGTTACATGTTTCATTTTGGCCAGTTGCCACTTTAATGGTGGTGTAAAGTCCCTAACTGCTTGTTAGCCATTAGCCTTGTAGCAGATGACACCACACGTCGTGGCTGATGGACTCCCTTGGGAAAAAATGGCTAAATTAGATTTTACTCAACTATAAGTTTAATTGAAAACTTCCACTGCAAGCTTAGAGCAGCGGTCACCAACCTTCCTGCAGAGTTTAGGTCCAGCTTGCATCTAACATGTGACCCCTCCTCTCACCACAGAGCAAAGCATCCAGCTAAGCAAGGACTGCTGAAGATAATTAGCTCGAGCAGGTGTGTCAGATTGTGGGTGGAACTAGACTTTGCAGCAAGGTCGAGCTCCAGGAATGGATGGTGGAGGATGGTGACCCTTTTCAGAAGGCTAAGATTTTAGTTGTTCAGAGTGGTTTGATGTGCAATGGTTGAGACTGTAGGCTATAGAGTGGTAAAGACTCCGGTGTCTTTATAGTGGTGGTGATAGGAACCAGGGGTCGCCATGACAACAGAAATACAGACATTTATTTACTGTCCAAACCACCAGTGAACCTACATGAGTCTTCTGAGCTCTTACGTGGAATGTTTTATGTGTAATATTATATGTAACGTCAAAAAAATTGAATAAATTCAAATATATTTTAACCCGAAACTATCAAAAAAAAAACTTCCATAAAACAATCTTTCAGACATTTATAACCATTTCATGTAATAACTTTCTGTGAGGGAGCTTTTAGAGGTGGACGTCTGGTTCCTATCACCACCACTGTGAACAATTCTGACTTGGTAAGTTTCTTTAGAACAGAGCGTTTCACCAAAACCAATCTGAATGAGTTTGTTTTCCATATTAAAGCCTTAATATTGCAGAAATTTTGAAAATCAGTGGAGTTCCCCTTCAATTTCCACATATGAACTGTACAAATTAAGCAGTTAAGTGTTTGAAACTTAACACACACTACAAAAAAAACAGTATCTTATGAAGTGAAATGATCTTAAATCAAGGAGCTAAATCTAGTTTCTTATTTTGAGATGGTTGTGCACTTATTATAAGATTATCTGGCTTATTTCTGAACATTGTTTACTTGTTTTAGGTCATTTTATCAAGTAAAATTGATAATTTTGCTGGTTTCAAGCACATTTCTTAAAACAAGCAAAATTATCTGCCAACATAGGAAGATAATGTTACATAAAATTGCCCAAAACAAGTAAACATAAGTGTGGAAATGAGCTAAATGGTCTTGATTTAAACTTACAACAAAGTCTCAACTGAAGAAATATTAGATTCATTGAACAGATTTAAGATTTTTTGCAGTGTACTACACTGAACTCTTATTTATTTAGCAATTAATGCTCATTTAATTAGAAGAAGTCTCATTTGTTTACCTAAATACATCATTTTTTGGGAAACAGATCCAAAAAAAAAAATACATGTAAGGATATCAGTAATAGATCATATATGTTTCAAAAACATGATACGTCCCCAAACAAGCGAGAAACGCTCCAAAACATCTAGAGTTTTATTGAAATTTATTACACGGACCAGAAACGGAAACAGAAACAAAGAAACAAACAGCAACATATATGAATTACGCTGCTCGGACACTTGAGCTCCACTTTAAAGTCACTATATTCACAACTATAAACCAAAATTAAAAGTATATTCTGTACAAGCTAAACTCCTTTATGTGTTTCCTTTTGATGGCTGATGTGCCAATCAATCTTACTGTAATACCAGCTCAGAATCAAATCCCGTTGATCTTTCTGACTGAAACAGTGAGTTACAGTGACACCTACTGGTAGTGCAGCAGTAAATAACCGCAAGAGCATCTTTAATGATGGAAAAACAGAAAATGAACAACAGACGAGTGGAGAAAATGGAATCATGAATTTGTGCGCTCACAAAAGTGGAAGTGGAGGAAGAAAGAGCAGGAAAGTGGTAGAAAAAGAAATGACGCGTCCTTGTTTAACACCTGCTCGTGTGATTAAACAGAGGAATCTGGGTTTGACTGTATTCATGCAGCGTTCAGTGTGAAGTCTGTGTGTGTGAGAGTGAGGGAACTTGTTTAAGAGTGATCTCCGTTAGCGCTGTCGCCGTCATCCTCGCCCTCCTCCTGCTCCCCTTCGTCTTCCTCCTCGTCTTCCTCCCGACCCCGACTATTGATCTTTATGGGAAAATACAAAAGCACCGAAATTCAGACACTCACACCTAAAAAAGTGGTTCTTTAGTAATAAAACGGTTCTATATAGGGGCATGAACACTGTAGGATGATTAAAGGGTTCTTTGTATTGTAAAAGGGTTCTTCAGATTGATGGAGAATGTGCTATAGGAGGTTCTACATGGAACCTTTTCGAAAAGGGTTCTATATAGCATCAAAAGGGTTCTGCTAGTGTTACGATGTCAAGCTTCTAACAGTAGAGAAACACCTTTTTGTTGCTATGTAGAACTCTTTTCAGAAAGGTTCTATACAGTTCTTGACCACCTAGTAATACAGAACCTTGTTGAAAAGGGTTCTGCTACTATTACGATGTCAAACTTGTAATACAGAACCTTTCTGAAAAGGGTTCTATGTAGCACCAAAAAGGGTTCTGCTATTGTTAAGATGTCAAACTGGTAATAGTGAACCTTTTTGAAAAGCGTTCTATATAGCACCAAGCATGTTACGATGCCAAGCTTGTAACAGTAGAGGAACCTTTTTTGGTGCTATATAGAACACTTTTCAGAAAGGTTCTATACAGTTCCTGAACATCAAGTAATATAGAACCTTTTTGAAAAGTGTTCTATATAGCACCAAATTAAGTTTACCACATTAAACTCGTAATATTGAACCTTGTTGAAACAGGTTCTGTATAGCACCAAAAAAAAGGTTCTTCAGATTCATGGAAAATGTGTTCTAGGTCTTTGCACTCAATTTGTATCTGCTTATAAATGCTCTGCTCATTACATAGAAAAAATTCTTGAAGGTCAAATTTAAGCAAATAAGACAAATGCAATTAATCGTGATTAATTTAATTGTGTTTTATGCTTCTATTAACACATTATACACTGTCTTTTAGCACAAAGTCACATTGTCATTTCTCATTATTTCACCCAAGACATTATTTCATGTGTCTTGTTTCCGTAATTTAGTCTAAATCTGTTCTACACACTTAAGTCAACATTTTTTGTGTTCAAATGTGCTTTTGAAATAAATCTGACTTTTCCATTCCTCATTCGCTCCCTCCACCCACCTCCTCTTCCTCCAGATCACCCTCTTCCTCGTAGTCGTTCATTTCCACTTTCTCTCGCTCCTTCTTCGCGCTGGGGTGCTGAGGGGACGTCTCTTCTGCTTTAATGCTCTTCATGTCTGAACACATGACAAAAACAAAACAGCAGCAAATGAGGAAAAAAGTTTACATCATATGACAAAAGCAAGAAACAGCAGTGTGGACATACATATTCAGTGCTCACATATAATGTTTGTATTATCCTGTAAAATATACTGTAAATAATAGGTATTATATGTCTCCTGAGATATTCATATCTCTTTCACACTGGCTTTTTATATCTACTGTCTTATTCTTTGTTCTATTTTCACTTTATTTGTCCTTAAGTTACTGATATATTTCTTTTAGGGGGGACACAATACAAATACCACCTAATCCATCATACTTGGGTAGACTGTCTGGTCAGTTGAGTATGTTGCATATCAAACATATGGGCACTCCCCAAGACAGATTCTTCCTATGTGTAACATATGTGAGTGTATTTTTGTTGTCCACCTGATTTCTTGCTGTGTTCCCTTTCCATCCGCTCCAGGCTCTCCAGCAGGTAGTCCACTTTGTGTTTGATTTGGGTCAGCTCCTTCTTAATGGTCTGCAGGTCATCGGCTCTCACTACACACACACAATATTATCTGTTTAATTTTCAAAAATGTCTCCTCTGTCACATTCAGGTGCCCTTTATTAGGGCTGTAAAATCAATTGGTCATCGATAACGCAGATTATAGACACACCGTTTACTAAAAAAGGCCCACGTCATACGTTTTTCTTGTTGATTTATGTTTGTGGGGTGTTATATATGTAAAATAGTCAAAGCTCATTTTCAATAACCATTTTCCAACCTCATTATCCCTTAGGCTGACTTTACATGGTGAAACTTACATGCAACTTAATGTCACACGAGTTGCATAATGTAAAACAGCCCGCAATTCACTTGAAACTCAGCCGCAATCAATCATTTTACTGGATTAATGGACAAGAAAAGAAGAAACACAAGATAGTTTTTCATTAATCAGATTAAACCATGACAACAAACAATTTTCTCAAACCTTATGTTTCTGTAAACAACTGGCTTAACTAAGCAGCTAAAAGTGACAGCTGTTTAAATGCTTGTGCCACTGTTTATTCTTCTTTAGCCTGCTTTGTTGTGATGGAGAGATTTATCATCTCCTCGCTCGATGCCCCTAATTCAGCACAGAGCACAGATTCCTTTGGGATCCAGTTGATATTTATTACAGAAGAGGACACCAAGATGGGCTCCTCAGTAAACCTGCTTCTGAGACAGGATGAGCAGGACATCAGATACCACCATAATGGCTACATAAACATTTATTTTGAAAGGCTTAGCACAAACACACCCAAATAACCATAGATATATAAATAAAAGATATAGATTTAGAATAAAGACCAGCATTGGCAACTGGAAAGTGATGCAAAGATGTAAATGTAAATACTACAAATCATTTTATATGAAAACGATACAACGTATTTAAAAAACGCTAATTTGGCTAACTAGTGTAAAAGGATGTGCTGCGTGCAACTTTTAATTGCTTTGTGTAGCAGTCAAGTTGCAAGTTGCAGCTATGCTGCATGCAACTCACAACATGCAACTAGTTGCATGCTTTACATGGTGCTGTCACTATGTAAAGCCAGCCTTGACAATTACTCGAAACAGTTCAAATACAACCAAAGTTGCATGCAACACATGCAAGTACTGCCTTTAATCTATCTTTTATCTTTCTTTTGTATCCGTCTTTTCTTTATATTTCAGTTCTTCTCTGTGGTGTGTATGTTGAGCCTTTGAATAATTAACGTTTAAGTAAACATTACGATTACAGCCTACTCGATGTCTCGCTCATCCTGTCCTAGAAGCACCACCATGTCTCTCACTCACTTTCTGTATTACCTTTCACTGTTTGGATCCCAAATGAATCTGAGCTCTATGTAAAATCATGGTTTCAAGAGAGAAGAAAAGGAGTCTATAGATCACGATAACAGCAGGCTAAGGATGAACGAATACTGGGACAAGCAGCTGTTGAAACAGCTGTTAGCATTAGCTGGCTTGTTAACACAGCTGTTTGGAGAAACATTAGCTTTGAGAAACTCCCAGCTCAGGAAACTGACAAAATGAAACTTGTGACACAAACTACAGCTGCCTGAAACTGTTGTGGCTGGGTTTCAAGTGAGTTGCAGGACACTTGACATGGTGCAACTCAAGTGCAAGTTTCATGTAGGTTTCAAGCAAATAAAGTTAACAAAAGTGTGTATCTAGCCTTAGAATTAAACAAAATGTTTGTGACATCATAACCATGATGAATTCAAAAAGGAAAGCTGCTTAGATTCTGCTGTATAGCATTGCGGGTGAATGGTATAAATTGATATTTACATAGAACCTCAATATCCTTTTTAAAACTAGGAGTAGGAGTTTTTCCACATGAGCCTTTTAACAGCAAAAGCGCTCATGAGAAACATACAATGTAATACTAAGTACTGAGGGAGACACGGTTTTTATGGTTTCACTGCATCATAAAAAAAGAAATATCTTGTCGTGCAGGCGGAATTTTGAGCGACAACAACAGTGAAATGAGAGGAAATGGCAGAAGACATAATGGTTTGATTAGTAGGTAAATCAAATAACGGTTGGCAGAATCATTAATGATAGAAATAGTCGTGAGCTACAGGCCTGCTTGTGTGTGTGTGTGTGTGTGTGTGTGTGTGTGTGTGGATGTCCTCACTGGTGCGGGAGGTGCGCTGACTGCTCTTTGTGGAGAAGCTGCTCTTGGTCCGACGACTGCCTCCGCTCACGCTGACCCGCGGCCGCTTCGAGGGGATTACTGCCCGGGACAGGGGGGGAGGGGGAGGGGGCACCCGTGACGGGTACGAGTACACCCTAAAAAAAGTTAATCTATTTCAAACCGACAAACCAAATCAGAGTGTTGCAACACTGGCAGTCAAGCTGAAACCGCATTGTGTTTAAGGCTGTAATGTCAAATGTACCCAAGCATGCAATAGACCGAGCTTAACCACATGAACCCCCTGAGCCCTGTACTGGTCCCAAAGGACAAGAAAGCTGCTCCATTAATGTGCAGTTACTTTTTACAAGAAACGGTTCTACTTTTGGAAAAGTTTCCTGCTGGAGATGCGAGAAAAGCGGCTATAACTGAGCTAAAATTTAAATCAGAGCAAAGTAAATCTGCATTTTTGTTTATATTACCAATATTTTTTATCCTATACTAGTATATACATATTTACAGCCAAGATGGTAAAATGGACATAAAATGTTGTGGCTCCCAAGATAGTTTGATTTTTGTTGAAACAACTTGACCAGATACCATATTTTGCAGTGTTCTATCACTGTATAAACGATGCATAAGGCCTCATTTCCTGTTGGATGTTTTTTTTTATTTGTGCACATGCACATTCAGAGCACAGTTGAGATTGATAAGAGTTTATTAAGCTGCTTAATAAGATTAACAATAAAAATGTGTGACATTCCTATTCATGAGTTTTCTCATGCAAATGTTTTTTTGTTTTGTTTATTCCTTTTCTCAGTGAAGCTTCTTGACAGCTGCACATCCTTTCAGACCCACAGCGTCGGACTCATAGGAGCACAAACGTTAAGAGTGAACAGATTGAATACTGATAGATTTGATATTATTCTTAGTGTTTTGTGAAATATTCTCTTAAATATGTTTCCTGCTTTTTTCCCTGACATTGAAAAATGAATAACTTCTACCTGATGTCTTTTCTGACTGATGAATTCCTCATACACACCGATCAGGCATAACATTCTGACCACCTCCTTGTTTCTACGCTCATTGTCCATTTTATCAGCTCCACTTACTATATAGGTGCACTTTGTAGTTCTACAGTTACAGACTGTAGTCCATCTGTTTCTCTGCATACTTTGTTAGCCCCCTTTTACCCTGTTCTTCAGTGGTCAGGACCTCCACAGACCCTCACAGAGCAGGTACTATTTGGGTGGTGGATCATTCTCAGCACTGCAGTAACACTGACGTGGTGGTGGTGTGTTAGTGTGTGTTGCGCTGGTGCGAGTGGATCAGACACAGCAGTGCTGCTGGAGTTTTTAAACACCTCAGTGTCACTGCTGGACTAAGAATAGTCCACCAACCAAAAACATCGAGCCAACAGCGTCCTGTGGGCAGCGTCCTATGACCACTGATGAAGGACTAGAGGGTGACCAAAGCAGATGAGCTACCATCTCTGACTTTACATCTACAAGGTGGACTGGCAAGGTAGGAGTGTCTAATAGAGTGGACAGTGAGTGGACACAGTGTTTAAAAACTCCAGCAGCACTGCTGTGTCTGATCCAGTCAGACCAGCACAAGACACACTAACACACCACCACCACATCAGTGTTACTGCAGTGCTGAGAATGATCCACCACCCAAATAGTACCTGCTCTGTGAGGGTCCATGGGGGTCCTGACCACTGAAGAACAGGGTAAAGGGGGCTAACAAAGTATGCAGAGAAACAGATGGACTACAGTCTGTAACTGTAGAACTACAAAGTGCACCTATATAGTAAGTGGAGCTGATAAAATGGAAAATAAGCGTAGAAACAAGGAGGTGGTCAGAATGTTATGCCTGATCGGTGTATATGCAAGTGTACTTGGCAATAAAGTGTCTATGATTCAGAAAACGTCTGAGAGAAGTGAACTGTTCACAAGGAATGTGAATTGTTCTGCTCTGCAGGTGGACGGATATTAATCTGAAATGTTTTGGTCTCAGAGAGGAAATGTGTCCTAGTGGAGGTAGAGAGAGAGAAAGAGAGAGAAAGGGGACTGGAATGAAGGAAGGAAAATGTTCTTACCGGTCATAATAATCTCTATGAAAGTCGTAGTCCAGATCAAATGAAGAACTGCAGATAAAAAGAGCCAGAAAAAACGAAGGCATTAACTCTGGACAATAGTGCCTAAAAAAAAAAGGAAGGAGAAGTAGAAGAATACAAACCTGTACATATCTCCTGCTGAACGCTTGATGGTTTTCGATCTGTGAGGTTTAGGTTCTCCTGCCAGGTTAATGTCTGTGTGTGTGTGACAGAGAGAGAGAGAGAGAGAGAGAGAGAGAGAGAGAGAGAGAGAGAGAGAGAGAGAGTGTGAGAGAGAGAGAGAGAGAGAGAGAGAAAGAGAAAGTGAAAGTGAAAGAGAGAGAGAGAGAGAGAGAGAGAAAGAGAAAGAGAGAGAGAGAGAGAGAGAGAGAGAGAGAGAGAGAATAATCAAGATATCATCACATTCACAGATTTATAACTTTAAATGTATAGACTAACACATTACCCACCTATGACAAGCTTAAAAATAACACTGCCATCATGTACAGACATCAAACCAGACAGTTTCAGTTTTTCAGTGGAAGATTTTTATGGTGCAGCTTATTTTAGGTCATAGACATTTGCTTCTAAGGTTACTTCCTATTCCAATCTGATCACAAACCTCATAGACAGCCATAAGATTAGCAGTGGGCCAATTATATGCGCTATATGGCCAAAAGTTTATGGACTCCTGACCATCATACCTATATGCTCAGCCATGATAACCCATTTCAAGAAGCTCCTGATGCACAGTTCTTCTGCTGATGGTGTTTCCAGAGGCGGTTTGGAGCTCTGTAGTAAGTAATGCAAAGAGGACAGGCTGCAACACTCAGCAGCCGTGGTCTACCACTTTGTGACTGAGCTGTTGTTGCTCCTAGATGCTTTCACTTCACAATAAAAGCACTTACAGTTGACTGGGGCAGAACTAGCAGGGCAGAAATTTGTGAAGACTTGTGGCAGAGGTGGCATCCTATGACAGTGTCATGTTTAAAGTCACTGAGCTCTTTAGTACGACCCACCCTACTGCCGGTGTTTGTCTATTGAGACTGCAAGGCTATGTGCTTGATTTTATACACCTGTCAGCAATGGGTGTTGCAGAAACACCTGAACTCTATTTCTATTTCAGGACGTTGTTCATATTCAGGGACCTTATGTTGACTATTAGGTCTAGCTAGCTTGATCTATTTAGGCAACTTTCTTACATTTTCCTTCACTGTAAAAATGCATATAATATAACCAACAGTTATAGTCGTAAGCATATGTTTAAGCCTAATTGGTGAACTGGAAAATTGGAGAATTTCAGCCAGAAAAAGGAAAGAAAAGCAACAAAAAGGTTTGTGTAGGTTGGAATTCAAATTTACAGTAATCATGAACTTGAAAGCGGCATTAGTCTCATCAGTCTGCTACCCAATAGACCTCTGAAGTCATGCTGTCAATGTGTTGTTACGAAATGCTTATATTCAGAATTCTGGGTCTAAGTCGTTTTTCTCTATGGGAAAAATTGATGGCATTTTTGAGAAATGGTGCCTTGTGGTAAATAATAATGTTTCAATACCAATAAGTGTTTTGCAGTGCATACATTCCCCAGGATCACTGGATCTTCTGAATTACAAGGCTGCTAAAGTAATATAATCAAAATATATGTATATTGTTATATGCAAGCTAACACTGTCTTTATTTGACTGGCAACTGTGCCAAAATACCAACAACCTCTTTCAAATGTGATACTTAAGTTGTTCTGACAGTAATAAGCTGTGTTCCACTGCGTTCCCGCATTTCTCGGCCGCTACATCAAAAAAGGCCATTCTAAAGTGACCCTTCATATACAGCCTAGAAATGCAGCCTACGTTCTGTGTGATTTCAAGGACTCAACTGAGGTTTCCTTCCCGGCCTTCAGTTACCCACAGTTCTCTGCGCACTAACGATGCAAAGGAAAACAAAAAACAGAACCACGAAAGTTGTTCACATACTTGAATCCATCTTCGTTACCTTATAAAGTGTTAAATGATCAATTAAGACATTCGTCCATATATCGAATTTTAAGTCCAAGTTTTGTGCCGCAATTGCAAGAGCTGGGACTTTTCAGGTGACGTCACCACGCAGCCTCGTTAGGGATCTTCCATTTGTGTGACCAATAGGCTACTAAGGAGGAGTCTTCATAGGACAGTCCTACCGAGGACCCACCCTACCTCGGCTGCGGCCCAGGCTTTGGAATGCAGCTATAATCTACAATTTTAGAGTTACTGTTGGTGGAATAACGTTGTTTAACAGCAGATTTACTTTTATTTTCACTGTCATTTCAAAGCACAGGAGTTTAGCTCACCTATGGCACGTATGTAGCATTACTGGTATTTCGATCACCCTAACCCAAACTCCTAATTCACAGGAGGACAGCGGTGTTACCCACTACACTGCAGGGACCCTCAGACCAGAAAACAACAAATCCAAAGAAACGCCATCCTTACCCAGCACCTGCCCAACGATCATCCTTCCATCCTCCCCCACCACAGCGGCTCGCGCATTCCTCTCATTGGAGTACTGGACGAAGGCGTAGCCCTTGTGCACAGAGCAGCCCACAATCTTGCCGTACTTGCTGAAGATGGCCTCCACGTCGGCCTTGGTCACCAGCAGGGTGTTCAGGTTGCCGATGAACACGCGCGAGTTGAGGGAGTGCGGGTCCGTCTTGTTGGTCACGTTACTCGCCATTAGGCTGCAGGTGGTGGGCGAGCAACTGGATGGACGTGAACAAGACAGACAGGAGAAGGAACAGGGGATGAAGAAACGAGGATAAGTGCCAGAATGACTGTTAAGCTACGCTAGCAAGGATATTAGCCCCAATGGGTTTGGTCCCCGACAGAGTGTAAGCTGGCGCAAGTCATGCGTAGCTACTATTATTATATATATTAGCTTCTATATAAAGAGACAAATAAGAACGTACCTCATAACAGGACACTAATAATAAAGATATACTAATAATATTCACAAATTTTCACAATTCTCCCTTCACCTCTAATGTAATGGATTAGCCAATACATTTGGTGTCTGAAGTCTGTACAAGGCTAATGTGGCTATCAAGTAATGAAAGCATATGCTTTGTAATTAGCATCATGCTAAATGCATGCCTAAATCATGGTTTAAACCACATTAAATTGTTGAGTTCTCAAACAGACTTATTATATACAGTTTCGGACATTGCATGACATCCTGTTATCTGAAAAATGATACGGAACCTTACAAGAAAATAACAAATGTACTGAAAGAATACAGGCTTCAAGATGCTAACTGCTGTTTTTGCTGTGTAGTGTACTTTTACCAATTTTAAAGGAACAAACTTCAGACACAGAACATCTTGGCTCATTGAGATTTATGTCAAGAAGAAAATTGTGTAAATTTGTGTAACTTATTTGCTTCCTTAGCTAATTGCTAAAGAGTTTCAAGTGTGCCAGTTAGGCCTACCAGTATCTCTCACCCATTAAACACCTAAGCATGCAGCACATTTATGCAGTATGCAATGTATTATGAAAAAGAAGCAGATATTTTTCCTCCTAAAGGACAATAGAGACGTTGTAAGCCAATAAGTTGCTTTAAGTGATCTTTAGAATCTTACAATATAAAATAACCACATTAATATTGAAAACAAAAAACACAAACTGGACTGTGGTTTTGCGTGTGTGGACCACTATGAGGCAAGGCCTTATTTTGAGACTGGAATATTTGCATATTAACATATAAAACCCACACAACCATTTAAATCCTCTTTAAAGCATCTCAAGTAAACACTGAAAGCAATATCAGGAATAATGTCCCCATAGTGCAAAACATCTTGTCTGTGTTTTTGTAATGTACCATGAATTTAAGGCGTATAGATAGAACAGTAATCAGATTTGCATGCTGCTAATAAACGCATATGGAGACCATACTGAATAGCATTTTTCTGTTTTTTTTTTTTAAGACCCTGCTAATGCAACGTCACGGAACAGCTCAATGTGCTTGGAGGAGAACACTAACGGCCAATTCTGTCAGTTAGCGTCGCCTAGCAATGTGCTGAGAAAAGGGAAGCAAAGGTGGGCCATCCTACCCACTCAAAGACAGCCTGGCCCTTTATGCCTTTTTAGGCCCCCAGCCACGGATGGCTGTGGCAGGGCTGTGGATTGAACTCGTGATCTCCTGACGATAGGGCGAAGGGCGAAGGGCGAAAGGGCGATAGGGCAAAAGGGCGATAGGGCGAAAGCTTCCAAGCTATCGTCAGGAGATCACGAGTTCAATTCCAGACTCCAGATTCCAGTCCTGGATTTTGTAATCTTTGGTAGTTATTGCACTGTTCATGTACCTGGCTGGGCACCTATCATCGCACGTACCAGCATTACAATATTCACCACTGGAATCTGGATTCAAGGTAAGGAGATGGCAGTGTTTTGGTTTTTTTTTGGCTTTTTGTTTTGTTTTAATCCCAGGCACCACATGTCCGTGTTTTGCCTTTTCTTAACAAACCTGACTCAACTCATTGGGTTAAAGAGCTGATTCAGGCCTGACTGTACAGGGAATGCATAAACATGAAAGGCACCGAAGACTGGAGCTGAACAATAGGCCTACAGTATTAGGCCACGTTCACAAGACATTTTGGTATCTGTCAAAAACGCACTGATATGCGCTTCTGGTTTGTTGTGGGCAGGAAACGCATTCAAACTTGAAGGCTTGTCAGCAAAATCTGCTAGCAGCTGTTGTTCTTCTTCATAAAACAAATTAAAAAGGCGTGTAAGACCAGTAACTGTCTTGCTATATCTTTAGTGCTGGATTGTACAGCCCTGAATGTGAGTTTACAGCGACAACTAGTTGCTCCTTCATTTATTCAGAATCATCATGACTGACTGAAGCTCCCCCACCATCATTTGCATTCACTGTTATGGACTGGTGTCTGCTGTCCATCAAGCATAGTTTTTCACTGACATCAATGTCAACAGATGAGTTTTTGATGGATTCCAGAATGCCTTTGTGAATGTGGCCTTAGGGAGTATTCGGTTACAGATAAAGGAGAAGACCTTATTTTTAAATCTTTCATGAGTTCATGAAATTATTATGCTGGACAACAGCAGCATCTAAGGTCATCTGGATTCCACTCCCCCTAATATGTAGCTATACAATAAAAAATAGATAAACAGTACAGATGGTACTGAAGGTACTGTTTTGAGCACTGGAAGTGGGTCTGTGGTGTTGGGTTGAGAAAAGCATTTTCTTTACATTTATATGATAGACCTAGAAGAGAGGACCACGTGTTGAAAACCATCAGTATATTGTATGTTAGTGGACCATTCCAGTAGATATTTCTCCCCAGTTTTAGGCTGATATTCATCACTTCTCAGTGCACCAGCAAGCAGAACTGAGATCAGTTCAACTCAGTGTCCCCTTATGCATCTAATTCTACCCCCTGGTTACTCCACTAAAGACGTTTTCCACCAGGCAGGTACAAGTATCTGTAACCTGGTTGAGTATCTGTGTCCATTTTCCATCCGGTGTTACCTCAGAACAGTGGGTGGGGTTCTCTGGAGGTCGAGTGGCCATTTAGAACTCAGATTCCCGGAAGCATATTAGTATCAACATCATCTTAAGTGCTAGAGAGAGTGTTCTGTGTGATGCTCACTCTACCACTTAGACATCATTTTGCCAAGATGCTTTCAGGAAACCCACTCTTGGCTGGCTAAGCTGGGCCAAGCCAAGTTGTCTGACTCCGTAACAGCTGCATCTGACCAATCAATGCCCAGCACTGTTTTAAGCTCCACCCACACAGTTTGGTATGCTTTGTGCAGCCCAGCAAGAAGCGTAACCCTATTTAATCACGGGTACTCCGGAACAGTACAGCTCACTTGGCATTGAAAATGTCAACAAAGCGTGCGATTGTAGATTTGTAATCATGCCGCACTGCACCGCCTGGTGGAAAACGGCTTAAGAGTGGTGTTACATATAGATGGCTGAGGTGACTGGGATACTTTGACATCTCTATTGACATATAAAACACACCTAAACGTGGTCATTTGTGTTTAAAATCTAATTCTTTAGTTTTGTTTGCGTTTCTTTTATATTATAGCCTTTGGACCATTATGAACACTAATAGGATAGTGGTCAATATGGAAGGTAAGAGCTTAATGTATCTTATTACTCATGTATGACCGCAAGAGTTTGACTGGACAGGCTGAAATCCTTTAGGGCAGTTTTGAACATCTTGAAGATCAACCTTGAAGACACTATTTTGAAGTCAATGTGTTTTTTCTCTTTTTTGTACAGAAGCATGTGCAAGTTTTGTTTACTTTTATAAGTTTTGTTTAGCGCTGGAGCTACAGAGCTAACAAATACTTGAAGTCAATAGTCACCTAAATCTTGTCTGTACATACAAGCTCAAAAATACCTTTTGAGGCAGGAGTTGGGGATTTTTTCAAATCATGCTTTTCATAGCATGATTTCTCAATTTAGCAAGATAATTCAAGGTTTCCATTAGTACAAGAAGTGTTGGACAATCCTCAACATTGGACTCATTGGCTAACTGAGAAACCTGGCTTTGTGAAACAGCCCAGTGGTCTTCATTAACCCCTTAACAAGTCATGGGCCCAAAGTTTTACTACACACTTATATAAGGAATAGCTCCATTAGTTTGCACTGAAGTCCCTGTACACACTTAAAAAAGATGGTTCTTCAAGGGTTCTTTGGTTAAAAAAATGTTTCTATATAGAAAGACGAACACAATTTACATGATTAAAGGGTTCTTTGTATGGTGAAATGGCTCTTTAGACTGATGGAGAATGTGCTGTAGATGGTTCCATATAGCACCAAAAAGGGCTTCTATTGTTACGCTGTCAAGCTTGTTACAATAGAAGAACCCTTTTGGTGGTATATAGAACCATTTTCTTCATTAAAGAACCCTCAAAGAACTGTCTTTTTAAGTGTGTGGTTACTGAATAATAAGCCTTTGTATGAAATCAACTTGGATTGTGAAGTTTTGTTCATAATTAAGTTCAGAGTAAGTTGTGCTGTATCCTAAACCACATCTACAAGTCTGCACAAACTAACAAAAACATACTTAGAGTTCTTATGAGACGTTCTTATGGAATCAATTTGGGTGTCTATTGACCTTTAGTGCTTACTAGCAACGTTAGCTCCAGCGCTAAACTAAACAAGCAAAATTTGGACAGTAACACTGTCATGGCTGATGGCCTTGTCTGATGGTAAATGGAAAATCGTGTAAATTTGTTTTTTTTCACCGAACCATTTCTTCAAATGACCGCTCAATACGCAGTCTGTGTGAGGTATAACATGATCGCTCAGTCTCCAGAGAGTGTGTGGGATATTATATATGACCCTTTAACTGACCCATCTATACTCCACCCACAAATATGTTCTTTTGCAGTAATTGCTAGAAGCTTGGACAAAAATCCCATTTAACCTAATGACAAATTTTAAGCCACAACTGAAAATGCCTAAATATGCTAAGAATTTCAATTAATATCCATTATGTATGCTTGTGAAGTAAGAACAGAACAGATGGAATCAATTTAGACTCTTGGTGGCTACAATTTCTCATCAGGTATGTGATTTTTTTGCCCTTGTTCAAGACACTACAGGTGAAGTACAGTCAGGTCAGTTACACAGTGGTCAGTATGGGTCTATGAGTTTGTATGCAGCAGTTCAGTTATAGGGCATGTTTGGGGGGATGTGAATAACCAGCACTCACTCCATTCTGTCTGTAATTCAGGGTCGAGTCGTCTGTCTGCCTGATTCTGTTGGAGAAAAGAGGGTCGTTATTGATCACTGGGGAGCTCCTGCTCAGCAGTGCATTCTGGGAAAGGGTGATACTGGTTAGGAGGTGGGTGTTGAGAGGCAGTGACACATTAGCAACAATCCCCCACCCCTCAAGGTCACACAGAAGGCCCAGATGCAAGAGGCACTGCTGGCACCCAGTGGTGGAAAGCAGCAATGACCAGCGAGTTGTGATATAGATAGTAGAAACCCACCAACCACCCCCAAAACGTGACAAGGAAATATATCTGCAATGATCTATGACCATTAAAAGCCATTATGAAGCCTGAATATCCCATTTCCACTTCCAATCATTTGAGGAGGCGAGGAGAAAAAGGAACCACTCCCTCCAGGCATTAGACACCACGGTGCATCACTCATTTTGAAAAAGCTGAGCTTCTATTTGATAATCTAGATGGTCCTTTTCAGGAATGGACACCCCACCCTCAGGGCTAAGGCACATAATTAATCCTTATACATAGACTGCTATTGGTGGACACTTTGCCAGTGTTGCCATCATTCTGGAAACAGAAGGCGAATCACTGGCAAGTCAATCTGTCGCTTTTGGCCTACAGCGAATCTCCATTTATACTTACAGAAAAATCTCAAAACAAAGTCATGAGTCAGCAAGAGAAGTAGCTATAAAACTGTCATCAATGCTTCAATTTCTAATGCGCTAAACATCTACATTCTACGTTAGGCTTGGCTATAGTGGGCACTTTCGTTTTTTGTGTGGACGGTAAAGCACATGTTCATGCCACACAATTCTAACACAAAACGTTCATGGTTCACTAAAAACGTCAAAAAATAAACCTAAAGCCTATAGGGCAGGGCAATTATCTTTAAGGGAACTAATTCAAAACTGCCACTAAACTATAGAGCACAAGCAATAATCTGACAGTCTGGTCTGTAACGGGGTGGGGGCAACAGAGAACAAGACTTACGGACTGAAGCAGCTGGCAGGAAGGGAAAAAAATAAGACAAGAGTAAATGAGAAACTGTCTGAAGCTCTCAAAAAGGGGGATATTAAAGTTGTATGGAACCATAATTGTGCAACACAACCATAGCATCGTATTACTGACTTGTAAATGGTCATGGGTTTGGGGCCTGTACTGGTACTTTTCCTTTTACTGGTGGAATGACGAGGCAGAACATGCCCATCCGTTAGATGGAGGTTTAAAAAGGTAAGCCTGTTTGGGTACATGGGCTTAATAAACCTGCCAGGGAGGAATTATACAGATTTATCAATATAAAGATGTAATACAAGTGATTCAGAGATGAGTGATGTGAAGTGGTGCACTGTAGAGAAACTTGGAGAGTCTGGACTGTTCAGAAGAACAGTGATTCCAAAATAAAATGGTTTTAAGCACAGCTTGAGGCCTGAGAGCTTACAATATAGCTGAAGTCTAAAATGTCTTATTTAAAATCTGTTCATGGTGGAGGGATATGCAGGAAGTTATAAAGCAAAATAGTTTCCCAAAGAAAATTTGGCTTGGTTTTCCCACTATTTTACCACCTTAAACAAAATATAATGGCAGCATAGACATTGTAACTGGTTCCAATCCCCACCATTGCCTACCGGTTTCTCTAGAATGAAGCATTTTATATCCAACCAACCCAAATGACTTGGTTTACATCTCAACAACTCAATTAAATGAACAGACATCTTCTCTTGTAAGCACAGTCCCCCATAAGAACACTTGGATTGGCGCTGATGTGAGTAGAATTACTTTTATTCCTTACTTACGCTGGAGTATAGACACTGGCCATGATGTCATGCCATCACATTACAAACACATCCAACTATTTCTTTATTTCTTCCCAAATATATTGAGAGTAAGGAGATCTGAACCAATTCTGGACATGCTGTCAAGACATGACTGGTCTTCAAAGCATATACACTGCTAAACATGGAGGGAAAGCCATGACCGAGAACCCTGGGCCTCTATTCCTTCACGGACGGGGGGATTGAGAAATGAGAAATCGCCCTGGATCGTCAGATAATCCTCGTTTATTGTGTTTAGATGACTTTTACGTTCATGTCACTTCTTTAATGGCAGCATTCAAGGTTACAAAATGAAGCAAAGGCCCACGTTTGTAAGACATAAACAACCAAAATACACAGCTACACAGTTAAATGATGGTTCTTTAGCAAAGGCAATGGTTCTATTTCAAACCACGAGTTCCATATGGAACCGTTTGCATGATTAAATTGCTCTTTACACTGTGAAATGGTTGTTTAGATTAGTGGAGAATGTGTTGTGCGTGGTTCTATATACAACCTCTTTGAAAATGGTTCTATGCAGCACCAAAAAGGGTTCCGCTGTTGTTACGTCGTCAGGCTTGTATCAGCACCCTGCTGAAGAAAATTCCACACTGGTCTTGGGCTGGTTTAGCTTGTCACCCAGCATGGTCATGCTGGTTGACCAGCATACCAGCATCAAAAACACAACCAGCAATGGTAAACAGAAGACCTTTTGGTGCTGTACAGAACCCTTTTCAAAAAGGTTCTACTTAGAATCATATACAACACATTCTTCATCAATCTGAAGAACCATTTCTCCATGCAACAAACCATGCATGCAAATGGTTATACACTCTTAAAAGATGGTGCTTCAAGGGTTCTTTAGTAAAGAAAACGGTTATATATGGAACCACGAACGCTCAAAGAACCCTTTGCATGCACTAAGGTTCTCAGCATCATAAAAAGGTTCTTTAGATTCATGAAAAATGTGCATGAATGTGCTGTAGACAGGTTCTATGTAAAAACTTTTCAAAAAGTTCTATACAACACCCAAAAGGTTCTGCTATCGTTACGGTGTCAAGTTTGTAACAAATAAGAGCCCTTTTGGGTGCTATAAAGAACCATTTTCAAACAGGTTCTCTATAGAACTGTCTACAGCACAGTCTGAAGAACCTTTCATGATGCAAAGAGCCCTTAATCATGCAAAGGGTTCTTTGAGTGTTTGTGGTTCTATATAGAACCATTTTCTTTATTAAAGAACACTTGAAGTACCATGTTTTTAAGAGCGTACAGTACACACTTAAAAAGATGGTTCAAGGATTCTTAAATAAGGGGAAGGGTTCTATTTAGAACCTATGGAGCTGTTTGCATACTTACATCGTTCTTTGCATGGTGAAATGTGTCTTCAGATTGATGGAGAACGCGTATTTGGCTCAAGCTTGACATCGGAACAGAAGAACCCTTTTAGGTTCTGTACAGAACCACAAGCAACATATTTATCAACCTGAAGGATTAATTTACCATGAGAAGAACCATTTAAGCATTAAATGGCTCTAAACAGAACCCTTCCTTTTACTAAGGAACCCCTGAAGCACCATGTTTTTAAGAGTGTATAATACACATTTACAAAGATGGTTTTTCAAGGGTTCTTTAGTAAAAGGAATGGTTCTATTTAGAACCATTAATTTTATATAGAGCCATTTGTCTGCTTAAATGGTTTCTTTGCATGGTGAAGCGTGTATTCAGATTGATGGAGAATGTGTTGTATATGGTTCAAGCTTGACATTGTAACAGAAGAACCCTTTCGAGTTCTATACAGAACCATACGCAACACATTCTCCATCTCCATTTTCACCAAACAACCATTTAAGCATGCAAATGGGTCTATACAGAACAATATCCTTTACTAAAGAACCCTTAAAGAAGTCTCTTTTTCAAGAGTGTAGAACTAATGGTTCTACACAGAACCAATGCCTTTACTAAAGATCTCCTGAAAGAACTTTATTTTTCAGGGGTGTAAAACTTGTAGTTCTATACAGAACCAATGCCTTTACTAAAAAATCCCTGAAGAACCCTCTTTATCAAGAGTGTAGAACTAATGGTTCTATACAGAACCAATGCCTTTACTAAAGAACCCTTGAAGAACCATCTTTAAGTGTGTAGGAATGTGTTTTTTTACAGGCAGGTCCATACAAACACAAATACAGCGTCATTCCTATGACAGACAGCTCTGCAGTCCATGAAAACATCGCCTGAGGGGTTAAAAAATCGAATTGAATCCGAATGAAAAGTGGCTCCAAAAACAAACCGCATTGAAAACCATGGAAACAGCATTATAGGGCCAGGCTTCGGTCCAAAACGCCTACGCTGATACCAAAAGCAGACTAGGCTGGAAAAACAGTCTGGAAGTTAAAAATGGCTTTAAAAGGCTTTTAAAAGACTCCTAAATCCCGGACACGGAGAAACGGGAGAGGGGGAAAAACGGGAAAAACGACCATGTTGGAAACCCAAACCAAGCTCGTCCGTTCTGAGGCTACACATCCTCCAAAACAACCGTCAAAAATACTCAGCTCCGCACCAGACAATCTGCTCTACCGGTAGCGGTCTTGCAAAAAAAGGTTCAAAATAACTCTGACATTGAAAAACAAAAGCAAAAAAAATAATAAAAAAGTGCGTGTCGCCATCTCAAAGCTGCTCTAGTTACCTCGGCATCACAAAATGTACGCCATCACCAACCAGCACAGAGACACTCGCCAGAAAAATGCAGTAAAAATAAAAACCCAAAAAAGGCTCCAGAGACAGTTCAGTCAGAAAAAAAAAACAAAAATAAAAATCACCTCAAAAAAAGCCTCTCGAAAAGCAAAATACTCACCAGGAGCTTAAGACTAAAAATGACTAAAACCGGCGCTGTGCTGTGTTTGGTGCTGAACTCCGGCTCGGCTCACTCGGAAGGCTTTCTACAGGCGAGTACACGAAATGGCGTCGTGCGCATGCGCAACAACGGTCGCGCCTGTGTGAAGGGCAGCCTCTTGGGGCGCTGTTATGCACTGTTTAAAGGGGAACTCCACCGAAATTTCAGTGAGGTTTGGTGTGAAATGGTTCCGATTTATTTACAGTGGTGGTGACAGGAACCAGTTGTCGCCATGACTACAACACAAATATAGCCATTTTATTTACTATCCAATCATCAGTGTGCCTGCAGGTTCCTTCCTTCTGAGTGTTTATATGTGTTGAAGATGTTAAAATAGTGGTACAACTTGAAAAATATTTTTTCTTTGGGGTCTATTTTGCCTCACAGCGCCCTGCATGTACCCCTCCGCCATGAATGGGGTTAAAAACTACATCTAAGGCCAAAATGTATTTGCAAGACTGTCATAAAACAGTGTCTCAGACATCAGGCAGTGTATTCATAACCAGTTAATGTAATACATTTCTGTGAGGGAGCTTTTAGAGGTGGACGTCTGGTTGCTATTACCATCAGTTCTGACTCTAAGTTTCTCTAAAACAGAGCATTTCACACCAAACCACTCTGAACGTCTCTGCGTTTAATCATGCACAAATTTTGAAAAATCTGTGAAGTTCCCCTTGAAATCTCTTATTGGTATTATTATTATGTCAGTCAATACAATATGTAATGTTTCTAATTTTGACAATGGTTGTAGGAATATTATGAGTGTTTAACCCATCTCTATACACTTTCTATTGTGTTTTGTGTTTTAAGTGACATCATCTCACTATATTGGCAGATAATTTTGTGGTTTCTTTTTTAAAGTGCTGGAAAAAGCAAAATTATAAGCAAAATTATCAGCCAACATAGTGAGATAACTTCATAAAATTGCTCAAAACAAATAAAAATGATAAATGTTTGTTATTTATTGACTAGATTTGAGATGTTTTCTATTGCTAAAATGAAAATGTAAAGTTTCTTGATATCAGAAATTTCCACCAGTAAGAAATGTTTAACATGTAACAATAAATATGTTAAAATTAATTTTAGTAAAACATGTTAAAAGTGAATACATACTAGTAAAAATGTTCCTTCCATTGAAATAAATGGGGGCCAGCCATGAAATCTGATGAATGCTTATATATAAGCTTGACATGTTGGATTTTATTTTTTTTGTATTAAATATGCTATTAGAAACGCTTTTATTCCTGCAGTTTATTCTTTGTTATTATTTTAATTATTTGTGGTCATGCTGTGTATAATAATTTTCTTTTGAAGCAGTGACTTCACAGATGCTGTGTGTATCATTACATATAAAACAACAATTTCAAGTTTAAATTATACAAATGCATTAAAAGTGTCATGTCTATGTTAAAATCATTTTAAATGCATAGTTTTATTTTGATAATAAATCTTGTCCCAACGTTTTTGTCAGGGAAGTTACAGAAATAGAAAATGTAATTGAAAAAATAATTTAAAATAAATAAAAAAGGGACTTTTATCTGTAAATTTTCCACCCATAAACTGAATCTAGATCTAAAAAAATATGTTTTTTAGAAAAACAAAATGTACTGAAGGCAAATATTAAGTTAACTACTCATTTACAGACTGCTGAGAAGGCTGAAGGGCTGATGTAGACTAAACACAGCAATTAGCCCATTAGCTAGCTGTAAGTATAGTGTTTAACACTCTATGCCCCTGAATTGACCTATCAGAGAAGTCACAAGCCTAATGGAACAGTGCATTATGGGTATTCTGTATTCATTCAGTCCCTATTGTGGACATTCTTCACTATGCTTTCAGACATGGTGGGTTCCCAAAACAGGTCACTCTAACATTAGTGATGTTTCACAGTGGAGAAAGAGGGGGAAATCTGACCTGGGTGGGCCACAGCGCAATGTTCAATAAAATACACTAAATGGACAAAAGTATCGGGACACCTACACATCACACCTGCAGGAGCTTTTATGAATCCCATTCTAAATCCACAGTTGGTCCCCTTTGCAGCTCTAACAGCTTCCACTCTTCTGGGAAGCTTTCTACAAGATTTTGGAGTGTCTATAGGAATTTTTGCCCATTCATACAGAAGAGCATTTGTGAGGTCAGACACTGATGTTGGACAAAAGAGGGCCTGGCTCTCAATCTCCATTCTAGTTCATCCCAAAGGTGTTTGATGGGGTTGAGGTCAGGGCTCTGTGAGGGCCAGTCAAGTTCTCCCACACCAAACTCACCCAGCCATGACTTTATGGACCCTGCTTTGTGCACTGAAGCTCAGTCATGCTGGAACAGAAAAGGTTCTTCTCCAAACTGTTCATACAAAGTTGGAAGCATAGAATTGTCAAAAAGTCTTGGTGCTGAAGCATTAAGATTTCCCTTCACTGGAACTAAGGGTTCTAGGCCAACCACTGAAAACAACCCCATATCATTATCCCTCCTCTTTACAGCTGGCACAGTGCAGTCAGGCAGGTAACGTTCTCCTGGCATTCGCCAAACCCAGACGTCCATCAGACTGACAGATAGAGAAGTGTGATTCGTCACTCCACAGAACACGTTTCCACTGCTCCAGAGTCCAGTGGCGGCGCTTTACACCATCGCACACTTGCCATTGTACTTGATGATGTACGGCTTGCATGCAGCTGCTCGGCCATGGAAACCCTGCCATGAAGCCCCCGGTGCAGTTTCTGTGCTGATGTTGATGCCAGAGGAGGTTTAAACTCTGCAGTTGTTGATCAGCAGAGCATTGGAGGCTTTTATGCTCTATGCTCCTCAGCTCTCAGTGACCCGCTCTGTAACTTTACATGGTCTGACACCTCGTGGCTGAGTTGCTGTCGTTCCCAAACACTTCTACTTTCCAATAATACCACCCATAGTTGATGGTGGAATATCTAGGAGGGAAGAAATTTCACAAACTGACTTGTTGCAATGATGGCCTCCTGTTACAGCACCATGCTCAAATTCAGTGAGCTCTTTAGAACGACACATTCTTTCACAGATGTATGTAAAGGCAGGCTGCATGGCTAGGTGCTTGATTTTGTACACCTGTGGCAATGGGACTAAATGTACCACCTGAGTTCAATAATTAAGAGGTGTGTCCCAATACTTTTGTCCATATAGTGTATAAGAAGGATGTCTTTGCCATGCTATGTTTTGCAAAAATCTGGACCATCTGGGGGTCCCCGAGGGCTGGGTTGTGAAACACTGCTCACAGTGATATCTAGATTCAATACCAGATACTTGGCAAAGAGGCTTAAAAGGCCCATCTTATATTTATTGGTGTTACTTTATCTCAAGATTTTATGTACCAGAAACAGTCACAATTCATTATTATATTCATTTTCCAAGCTCATTAGAACTTTTAATGGCTGTTATTGTTACTGTGCCTTTAAGGCTGATCTATAGAAATGAGCTCTGTTCTGACTGGCTGCTCTACATTGTGCCTAATTCAAAAAGCACTCCAGGGTGAAACACTCCTTATAACTTCAGTGTGAACGGGCGGGGCTAAACTGCTGTAGGCTGAAATAGTTCTCTGAAGTTGTGCATCATTCTGTAATCAGTGGAATGGCCATGTTAGGAGCGCTGGGTCTCATTATGTTTCATTTATGGGGAAAAATAAATGGCGTTCTCAAAAAACACATCAGGCGTGCCCTGCGGTAAAACGCCCCAAAGCCGATATGTTTGGTCCTGTGTACATTTTCCAATTGAAAATACAAACAATGTTACATACATACTACAAAGTACTACACTACAAAGCCCATCTGCTTATCTTCCTGGAAGGTGCTGGAGCCTGTCCCAGTGGTCACTGGGCAGAAGGCAAGAAAAACTCTGGACAGAGTTTCCAGAGTCACTAGTCCAACACAAGGCAAACACACTACACATATTCACATGTAGGGGCAGTTTAGCATCTCCAATTGGCCTGACTGCATGTCTTTGGGCTGTGGGAGGAAACCCACACAGACAAAATGCAAACTCTACACAGAAAGATCCCTGGTTACCCAGCCAGGGAGTCGAACCCAGGCCCTTCTAGTTGCGAGGCACCAGCACTACCCACTGCACCACCACAAACAATAAACAAATTATATGCACATTTTTACTCTTTGACAAGGAGAAATCCCTTGTTTAGGTTAATGTTGTGGATCCACATGCATTTTCCACCCTTAATGACATGGTGGAAAACTAGCGACAGTCGTGGCAGCAAGTCAGATTTTTATTGTTGATCCCTTTATTTCATCTAGATTAACTTTATTTAAGCAATAAACAGACCATTTTATTACGTGAAATACTACACAAACAGAAAATGCTCATGCCTCACAATGCATATGTTAAATGACCCTTATTAGTCCCACAACAGGGAAATTTCACCTCCACATTTAACCCATCCATGCAGTTAAACACCACATACACACTAGAGAACACACACACTATCCATGGCGCCCAGGGAGCAGTTGGGGGTTAAGTGTCTTGCTCATGGGCACCTCAGTCACATACTGTCGGCTGAGGGAATCGAACCGGCGACCTTCCGGTCGCCAGGCTGGTTCCCTAACCTCCAGCCCACGACTGCCCCTGAAAAACATGCCTGTGTATTGGCCAGGAATCGAACCCGGGCCTCCCGCGTGACAGGCAAGAATTCTACCACTGAATCACCAATGCTGAGTTGTGTTGCATCCGGTGTGAAATAACAAGCAATGTGGAGTGGTTCTGGATTACCACATGCACATTTGAGGTGAAATGAACTTAAGTCTACTATTCAACACTGATACCAACACTAGTGGGGTACTTTGGTTCTGATGGTTCTAGCTTGCATACAACACTAGCCATATTTTGGCTTCTTTTTGTTTACCATAGAGCGCAACGGCAGCAATTTGTGAAAAAGCCATTCATTTTTCTCATCTCTATATTTAAATGTGCTGGTTTTTGTGACATCATAAAAAAAAACAATAATTCAGAACAGGTTGTTTGTACAGCTGAGGTTCCACATGTGGACCATATGGACTGCGGAGTGAGTAGTATATTCTCAAACATTAAGAGGTGTTAAAATACTACGTCAAACTTTTTATTAAAATAATTATGAAAGTTCACTTTTGCACGATATGGACCCTTTAAAACACTGAATCGATTGATTTAAGCAGCCATTTCAAGATGTTTTCTGAAAGAATCGAGGCAAACAGGGACACGACACACTTTACTGAAGAAGACAGACTGCTTTGCTTCTATTCCAGCGGGTACATCATTAAAAAAGAGAAATAAATAAAAAACAAATTTGAGAAAAAGACAGATTCAAGTTACTGCAGTACTGTAGACTGAACAAACATTTCATTCCGACTTCAAGTTTCTATTTAGTTTTATTTTAACTGCTGTGAACGTGGAATACGTTGACGTTAGAACACCGACGGAGTGAGTTTCCTCTACCACTTCAGTCTTGGCGGAAGGGAACCTGAAAATAACAGAACCGTAAGAATTACTAACATTACTAACACGTGAATATACAGTGCTGAGTGGTTATTTGGAATGGAGAGATTTACCTCTGGTGTTTGGGGTCTTGCTGCGGCGGCGGGGGAGACTAAAGTCAAAGCGAGAGGAAGACGTGGGAGTCTTCAGCACCTCCTCCAACTTTGACTGTTCCTCGTGGTCCTGCCGAGAGAGACAGAGCAGCTAGAACAACACTGACCCTTCTCACCGTGTTAGTTTGGGTTCCTGGTCGTTTTTAGCACCAAATCATCATCAAATCTTTAAAAAAAGCTTAATTCTTTCCATTAATATGTGAAGATTTTGCCCACCTTTAACATTTTATGATTTTGATGACATCACTGTGCATGAGGGGGCAAAATAATATTAACCAACACTATTAAAAATGATAGTTCTTCAAGGACTCTTTGGCAAAGAAAATTGTTCTATATAACACCAAAAAGGGTTCGTCTGTTGTACCAAGCTTGACATCGACATCTATTAACGATAGAAGAACACTCTTTGGTGGTATCTAGAACCCTTTTCGAAAAGGTTCTGTATAGAACCTATCTACAGCACATTCATGCAAATTTTCCATTAATCTAAAGAACGCTTTTATGATGCAAAGAAGCCTTTAATCATGCAAAGGGTTCTTTTAGTGTTTATGTTTCTACATAGAACCATTAAAGAACCCATCTTTTTTTACGTTCGTAGAACCCTTTGCATTCATAATTAGTTTGTTGCATGACAAGAGAGTGTTGTATGTGATTCTATGTAGAACGTTTTTGAAAATGGCTCTATACAGCTGTCCTGCTAGAACAACCTGTATTGACCAGTATGGCTGGTGTTTTTGATGCTGGTATGCTGGTCAACCAGCATGACCATGCAGGGTGACCAGCTCAACCAGCACCAGGCGAGCATGGTATTTTTTTTAAGCAGGGTGTAGATACAAGCCTGATGTCGTAAGACAACAGCAGAACCCTTTTTGGTGCTACATGGAACCATTTTTAGAGAGCTTCTATATAGTACCATATACAACACGTTCTCCACTAATCTGAAGAACCTTTTCACCATGTAAAGAGCAATTTAAACATGCAAATGGTTCCATTTGGAACTCTTGGTTCAAAACAGAACCCTTGCCTTTGCTAAAGAACCATGTTTTTTCAATCTAAAGAACCCTGTTACCATGCAAGGAACCCTTTAATCATGCAAAGGGTTCTTTGAGTGTTCATGGTTCTATATAGAACCATTTTCTTTACTAAAGAACCCTTGAAGAACCAACATTTTTAACCTTACTCTCCCACCACTCCCCCCTACCAAACTCTCAGCTAGCAGAGAATTCCGAAGCTGGAAGTTTCACTCAGAAATACGTCACATTATAAAAGGAAAATGAGCAACATTTTCCGATTTACATTGACCTGAAAGTGCTAGTTCTTCTTTAGCTTTGCATTCAAGCTACGAGGCTGGGAGGTTGCTAATGTGGCTACTGACGGGTGGAAATGGGCTGGAAGGCATCGGAACGCTGTTTCAAGGCAGGAATAGTGGAACAGTGTTCTGGCTCAGATTTTGAAATCTGAGGGTTAGCACGACGCTAACTGGTATCCATTACTTCTTAGCTAGCCTCGTAGCTCCAGCGCAAACCTAAAGAAGCAAAGCTCAGATGCCGGACAAATCTTAGCTGATCGGCTGCGTTCTTGCTAAGGGTAAAGCTGAACTATTGTTTTCAAAGTTTTCTATCTCACCTGAGATGAGCTTTGTAGAGCCTTGGCTTTGGATTTCGGAGTGGAGGGGTCTCGCCCTCTCTCTTCGTCCTTCTCTCGCTCCTTCTCCCGTTCTTGCTCCCGCTCTCTCTGCTGGAGGATGCCGTGGCGGGCAGCCCTGTACTCCAGAGCGAAATCGCTGACCGTCTTGCAGAACGCATCCGCACTCGTCTCCCTCACCATGGAGCGAGAGTAGCCCAAGTACAACAGGAACGAGTGAAACCTGAGAGAGAGAGAGAAGAGTTACCATAGACGGTACATAACCTACTTATCTGGGATTGTCTTTTTTCTCCTGTATGCTGATGAATATATTTATACCAGATCAGCTGATTGTAGATCAGCACTTTTACTCTGAAAGGCCTCCTCTTTCCAACATTTAGCATTTTTTTCATTACACTATAGGTTTTATGCTGATATGCTGCTCTTACATAACAAGCAAAAAAAATATTTTTTTCCCCCTTATCCCAAACGTTTGGTGCAGTCCATTTGGGGGGCAGGTGTCTAAGTAGGCCGCATTTTCAGGCAGCATTCTCGCACTCTCGAGACAAAGGCTGTCACGTTCAGATGTCAGCCGTCTCCAAGGTACCTTATTTTGACCTGATCCGAAGGCAGTGCTGCACAAAGGGAATCTCGCAATACTGTTCAACAGCCGGGAATTCCATTATTTTAAATATTCATTCATTCACTCATCATCTTTAACTGCTTAATCCAGATAGGGTTGCAGTAGAATCCCAGATGACCCTGTCCCCCGCAACTTCCTCTAGCTCATTCTGGGGGGACCCCGAGCCGCTCCCAAGCCAGCTTGGAGGTAATCCCTCCAGCGGGTCCTAGGATGAAGCCGCGGCCTCGTCCAAGTAGGCCGTGACTGGTAAACCCCCAACGGGAGGCATCCAGGGGCATCCTGATCAGATCAACCACCACAACTGGTTCCTCTCAATGTGGAGGAGTAGTGGCTCTACTTTGAGCTCCTCCCGGAAGACGGAGCTCCCCACCCTGTCAAGTAGAGTGTAGCCCGCCACCCTGTGAAGAAACCTCATTTCTGCTGCTTGTATTCATGATCTCGTTCTTTTGGTCATTACCCAAAGCTCATAACCACAGGTGAGGGTGGGGATGAAGACTGACCGGTAAACAGAGAACTCTGCCTTATGGCTCAGAAACCAGGCCAAGTTTCCTTTCTGGTTAAAATGCTGCCTTATAGGAGGTACAGGTATATGCAGGTACCTTCATGAGCAGTGACTTTTTTAAGGACCACTAAAGCTATCAGCTTAAATAGCTAATAAGTAGAAGCTATACTTCACAAATTAGCATTGTGGAAACATCGGACACCAACCATGTCCTGGCTGATCAGCTATATTTTGGGGGAAAATGGAAAACTAAATATTAAGAAAAAAAAACAAGACACGTGAACTTTTCTCAGTAGGTACCTGTTGATGACCCTCCGATGGACAGCTCGGAGCACCTTCAACCTCTCCCCGCACTCCTTCAGGAAGTGGGGCAGTCTCTGGCGGAGTGATCCCTCATTTCCAGTCCCCCTCTCCTCTCCTCCTCCTCCTCCTCCTCCCCCCTTCTTCTTCTCTCCATCCTTCTCCAGCAGACGCAGCTGCTCCCAGGATGCTTTGCAATGGGACTCCAGCTGATCAAGATTGGACTGGACCTGTGAGTAATCACACTGACCAAACAAAGGCATGTATTTATTCAGGGTATTCTTTATTTATATAGCTACTTCTATACATAAAATACATCTTGAAGTGCTCCACAAGGGATGTAATTCATGCTCTGTAGTTCTACATTTACAGACTGTAGTCCATCTGTTTCTCTGCATACTTTGTTACCCTGTTCTTCAGTGGTCAGGACCTCCATGGACCCCCACAGAGCAGGTATTATTTGGGTGGTGGGTCATTCTCAGCAGTGACACTGATGTGGTGGTGGTGTGTTAGTGTGTGTTGTGCTGGTCTGAGTGGATCAGACTCAGCAGTGCTGCTGGAGTCTTTAAACACCTCAGTGTCACTGCTGGACTGAGAACCACAAACATACAGACAACAGCGTCCTGTGGGCAGCGTCCTGTGACCACTGATGAAGGACTAGAGGATTACCAAGACAAACTGTGCAGCAGCAGATGAGCTATCGTCTCTGACTTTACATCTACAGGGGGTAAACACAAGGTAGGAGTGTCTAATAGAGTGGACAGTGAGTGGACACACTGTTTAAAAACCCCGGCATCACCGCTGTGTCTGATCCACTCATACCGGCACAACACATCAACACATGTTGAGACATCAAAAAAAGCTTTCAAATAAATTTCTTGTACAAATTAAGTACTAAGCTACTATTAAAATATATATATATATTTAAATATATATAAAACTATATATATTAAAACATAAAATGCAACTAAAATACATAAAAGTATTTCATTAAAATACAGTAACCTTCTGTATTTTTACAGAACAACTGTAAAAGCAATGCAACTCAGTATCCAGTAATTTACTATATATTTACATCTGAAAAATAACCAGTTCTATAAATATTTAATAAATATGTATGGATTTAAAGATAAACTAAAGAAATAAACTAAAATAAATGAGAAAATATCCACACAAATATTTATTCACCATGTTCTGCACACAATATCTTAAGTTTGCATTTTTAAATGCAAATACACACATTTTAAACATCACTACAATATTTTTATTAACATGTTAATGTCTTTTTAGCCTTCATATCTCATAATGCTGCGCAGCACAGCTCAACGTTAATCTCAGTAATGTGCTGTTTTATTACAGAAAATAACTCATAATGTACATAATGTATATAATTAATGCTTACAAGACTGTTTTCCATTATTACAGTAAATATCTTCAGACTTCATGATAAAATGATGAGTGCAGGACTTTTCTGTGAGAAATCAGTGTGAAATATAGTGCAATCCCTTTAATAATGAACAGTTTGCCTGCTCACTGTACTGTACCTTGCTGGCTCGAGTGACGGCTGTGATGTCGGAGTACAGATCTGAGGATTGTGGGTAGAGCTGGAGCAGCAGCACACAGACGTGGTGCAGCAGTGGCTGTCGGCTGTGTGTGTCTCGCACCTGAGAGAGCTTCCCCAGATAACTCAGCTCGAACCCTCGGGCCTGGAGAGAGCGCAGAAGTGCCCAAGTCAGGGGTCGGCAACACACGGCTCTTTTACTGCCTTGTTGTGGCTCCACAGCAGAATTAGTTTTGTAGGAAAAAATAAAATAATCCTCCTTTACAGTAAAATAAAGCTCTGCTGATCGTTCAACACAGTTTAACAATAAATGGTCTTAAACTCTGGAGTTAATGTAGAACTGCTAGTTCACCCTTTAACCCTGAAGATCAGTGCAGACTGCTGGTCACCATAGCAACACAGACAACAGTCTCGCCTAGCTTGTAGCTAAAGAAACGGCAAAGAGAGATTTAAGACGAACATCGATAATTTGGAGACGAATGGACTTATTTGCCTTTATAATCACTCCAGCTGGTTTCCTGATCAGTTTAATTTGCAACGGGAAACACTAAAAAGTCACAATATGAAGTCGCTTCTCGTTCGCCAGCTTCTTGTCCAAATTCTCCCGTTCCACCTTAAATGATGCAGCAGTTATATTCTGGCACCTCAGGCACTACTAAAGGTGGAACGGAAAAATTTGAACAAGAAGCTGGCGAATGAGAAGCTGACTTGAGCCTTGTAAAAAAAATCAAACGTTGAGAGACATTTTACAAGAAACTGCTCTACTTTGAGGAAAAGTTTCCTGCTGATCTAAAGCTTAAAGCAGAGCTCAGTAAGTCTGTGTTTTCATTTATATCATATTTTTAGCCTATATTAGGATATCAGCACATACTGAGACAGATTTACAGCCAAGATGGTAAAATGGACATAAAATGTTGTGGCTCCCAAGGTGGTTTGATTTTTGTGGCTCTTTCTAACATTTGGGTCGCCGACCTCCAGCACAAGTAAACAGGATGATGTTCCGTTTGTGTGTGTGTTCACAAAAACAAGATATTTCTGTAATTCTTCTGAATATTTAATGTTTTAACACCCTTGTTTGTCTGTGGTATAGTGGTGGTTGCTATATATACATGTTTGTGTGGGTTTATGTCTCGTTTTACATGACCTTTTTTTCCATTTTCCTTGCTCATAAAGGCCTCAGCATACTCTTGCATAGACGACATTCGCTTGGCTTCATCCAACAATATGACGTAATTGCGGATAAAACGAACAACTGCAGACTTCGCACGTCGAGGCTTCATTCATTGTGACGTATGTGGCAGCTGGATGAACTCCGCAGAGGGCGATGCTACACGACAAAATGAAAACCTCCTAAATGTAAGATGTTAAGTCTATTATTCAGTAGTTCTGACTAGTAATACCAAAACATACAGGCTATCTTATATTTGTTGTCCGTGACTGGCAACACGTGAAAAGTATGCGAGCTTGTAAGCTCGCAAAGGCGCTTTCAGCTTCGCACAACCCTCGAGAACTTTGTTTCGCAAGAAGTATTTTGAGGCCTTAAGTAGTTTTGGGACACTTCTATCATCATATTTTTTTTTAGAATTAATTCGTTTGTTAACGTATTGTGGAAATTATATGCTTATATGAGCTACTTTATGACTTTTCAATCAATATGTTGTGTATAAATATACTTCAGTATTTGATAACTGTAACTCCTTTTGCCCATCATTTACATTATCATTAGTCTATTTAATGTATATGTACATACAGTGCTTAAAAGTAGTTTTAGAACTCTTCTATCAATGCTTATTGTTTTTTTTTTAATTATTTAGATGGTAACTGTATTGAAAAATTGTGCTTCACCATATTTAAGCACTTCTTAATCAATACTTTGAGTCCAACTGAGCAATAGCAGAGTAGAACACATTCTCTCAACAGCCATTTTCCTTCGAAACAAATGTTGGGTCACTAATCTAAATGTTCAAACCAAAGATCACCCAACACCTCAGTGTAAACTTCATACCATAGAGGAAGCTAGAAAACTAAGAAAACTTCTACTGTATTTAATTAATCTGACTAATATATGTCGTCTCTCTGTAATAAAATATTACACACACACTTCAAAAGAATGAAAAATGTACTTGAAGTGCAAAAACTGCCTCACTCTGACCAGAAGAGATCTTCCAGCAAACCGGGCTGACCATCAGCTGTGCAAACTCATGCACTCCATGTCTAAAGTCTCCACACTGTCATCCAAAGAATCCGTAAGTAACAAAATACTGACCTACATTAAATGCTAAGCACTAACTTATGTAAAGGAAAGAGACACTAATGTTTGTTCCACATGTTTCAGTACTTTAGTTTTTCAGTTAATTACTGAATCATTTTAGTTTAGTAAACCTGGTCAGTATTGCTGGTTGTTATAACTTTTCAGATCGATACGAATGAATAAATGATAAATGATGACTTTAGCCTGGAAAATAATAAATAAACAATAAAAGATAAAAATTGTATTCAGAGAGTGTACAAATAACTGATAAAATGGACAATGAGCGTAGAAACAAGGAGGTGGTCATAATATTATGCCTGATCGGTATATAAAGGGAATTTACCTTGCAACCATTTAGAAAGTTGCCGATGGCGAGTACTGTTGCCAGTATGCATCGGAACGTCTGATTGGCTGCTAGCTGCTCCATTGCAAGCTTCAGATGAAAGAGAGGCTCCGCAATTTCCTGTTTATCCAAACAGCCAAGCAAAGCATGAAAGCAAGTAGCATGACAACAAACACTGCCAGTGAGAAAAAACATCAGAGAAAAGCGGATCAAAGCAGGAAAACTGTTAAGTCAGCCTTAATGCACTTTCAGATTCATAAGCTTTGCACTGTAAAGCTCTATTTTATACGAAATGTACTACTTTTTAACAGCATACTCGTATGTTTCAGTATATCAATGCAGCAAAACTTCAAAATTTAGTTATGAGGCAACTGGGTTCCATATTAGTGATACACAATGTTGAAGTTGACAGTTCACAAAAATGTACGAAATTTTCATTTCACCCCAAATGTGCTTGATCAGCGTTGAGACGTTTGCTGAGTTCTGTGCTGGAGCTTTAGGCTAGTGCGGCTAACAAGCGAGGAAGCGCCCCAGTTAGCATCGTGCAAACCGCATGCATAAATCATCACATGTCTCAAAAAGTGCTAAGTAATCTCACATAGAATTCTTCAAGATGGCAGATACTACTGTTTTTTGATGATAACAGTATATCATATGTTAGTTAGCACAATGTGAACTGGTGAAGGGATAAGCTTAGCTACATTAGCCTTGTGGCTTCAGCGCTTAACTAAAGAAGCAAACCTCAGACACCAAACACGTCTTGGCTAATCGACTACATTTGGGATCATGGTAAAATTGTGTAAATCAGATTTTTTTAAATATTATTTTCCACTCATCAATCTCCTCACCCTCTCCAATGCATCGTAGTCCAGCGCAAAGGCCCAGAGCTGAAGCCTGGAGCTCAGGTGTTTGATGTTGCCCAGAATGTGGAGGCAGTGCTCAGCAGGAGCCAGAAGACAGGGGGAAGCCTGGGCCTTGGCCTGCTTAATCAAATTCAGCTCCTCCTCAGAGGGGACCAGCGACTGAAGCCTCTACATGAGATTCAATCAAGATTACAGCTGTCAGTCTTCAGAGACAGTAAACCTTACACACACATCACAGCCTCCAGACTGCATTAATTCACTGATACCGCATTGCTGCATATGTGAACAGGTCATTCTGGAGGTTAAATTACTTTAGAAACAGTTTAGTCCATGTTCTCCAGAGTCTACCTGACAACTTTTTGAGTATGAAGCTTGAACCAATATGTGAGCGATAATTACAGCATTCCTGTTAACGGCAGCCTTCTTGAATTAAGAAAACTGAATTTATGGTGTGTTTAAAGCTGGGGTGTCCAGTCTTATGGGCTGGTGTAGCTACAGGTTTTCTTCCCAACAAAGCAGGAGCCCACCTGATTCCACCTATTTTTTCAGTTGGTCTCAATCTTTAAACTGTAGTTTAAGGTGCTCCTGCTTGGTTGAAATGAAAACTGGTGACTGGTGACCCAAGCTCTAGAGTAACCAGTTTGAGCTCCTTAAGGAATCATGTTTGAAACAAAACACTAAACTGTGCAGGTCAGGGGGTCCTCCAGGATTGGGAACCTGTGTTTTTAGGGAACCAAAATTGGTTCTTCTATGGCATCTTTATTTTTAATAGTGGATCTTTGCAGATGAGACTGGACCCTTACATTTTACCATCTAATGGGCCCTGAGGACTGGACTGAGGAATACTGCTTTCAGAAAAAGGGGATTCATTGTTCAACATCTGGTTTGGATGTTGCTAATATGTAATTACCAAGAAAATAACCTCAAATCAGCTCTCCAAGTATGTGAACCCTCCAGCTCCCAACACATAGGGATATAGCAAATTCAGACCACCTGGAGGGCCCTGCAGACTAGACTGAAAACTTTGAGATAATTGAGATGATGATGCATTAGGGGCCTACCTGTACATCCTCCCTGTCCAGAACACTGGAGTCCATGCTGTAGATGGCCGGTGGGAGCAGGTGGGGAGGGGGCAGACTGCTCAGGGCTATGGTGATGATGTTACTGCGCTTCACACCCAGGACAGACACACATGGCTGCTTCTGTTGCAGATAGAAAGTGGGATTTTAACCTATACTCTATAAACTATGAGTCATAGTATGTGACAACCTAGTAAAAGTGGCTGCACTTCTATCCGCTGCTAATACTGAATGTAAACTAGTAAGCTAATTAGCATTGAGCAAATGAGACATTGCTAAATGGTATCCATTCGCTTTCATTCCATTTTACATATTGACATATTGCTTCATGACAGTGGTTCCCAACCCCGTCTCGTGCATTTCAGGGTTTTCCCATTTCTAACATATTCACTTCGACTCAAGAAGAGCTGGTTACTTAGCTGGTTAGTTTGCATTGGTTACTCCGGACAGGCTTGGGATCCCCTGCTTTAACAGTATGAGGAAGCTGGCTCCACTATATCCACTGTAAACATGCTTACTCGCATCCTACAGTGCCATTCTAGCCTCTACAGCTAGATTTTCCGGTTTAAAGTTTAGGAAAACCCCCTTCTGGTGATGTATCTTGAAGGTGGGAGGAACTTCTGAAAAACTACAACTGCTCCTGGGGTGGATTTCTTGGAGTGGACTGTTTTAAAACATTCTTTTTTTCGTCAGTTGGTGAATAATAAGGAAGCCAAATAGCTAACGTTACTGCAAGGAAGCCAAATATCTTATTACAGCCATATAATTGTAGTGACTGTCTTCAAATCATTATTACAATGGAGAAAATGGGTTATTTAAACAACACAAATGATGTCACATGAAGACACTAAAATAAAAGCTACAGCTAGCAAGGTAGCCGGCTATACCTTTCCTCAGTTTGGCTTTTTTTTACACTCGCTGAAAGGTAAAAAACTCAGATCAGTAGCTAGTCTAGCAGTCAGGACAGGTTGACACCACAGGGATTCCCAGTGATTGCCTGATGTGTTTGCATAATGCATGCTGGGTGGTGGGAAAATGGAAAGATAAAAACGATATAAAATGATAGAATATGACACATAACATATTAAACTCTAATTTTGGCTTAACCGTATGACAAAACAATGATCACTCTCACCTGTTTTCCACTCGTCAGACTAGAGAGGACTTTGCTGCTGTTACTCTTGGTCTTAAACAAGTACTCCAGCCTGTTGGTGTCTAGACGCACCGGTTCCAAACCAGCCCAAATAGACTGCGGCCCAAAGCGGCTGACTCTGGGCAGGGGCTGCAAACTCAACAGCTCCCTCCAGTGGAGCCTCAGAGTCCGCCGGCCTGACTCCAGAGGTACCGGACTGGTACCAGACAGAAGAGGAGGAGCCAAAGGTGGGGCTGGTGGAGGTGTTGGAGGTATCAAACTGTGTCCTGGGTTTTGAACGGGTGATGACTCGCTATGGGAAGAGTCATCATCAGCAAGGTCCTGGTCTAGATCTTCTTCGTCCCACAGGTCGGAGAAATCTAGAGCGTTGATCCGCAGACAGTGGGCGCGCTTTATGGAAGAAGTCCAGGGCTGTTCAAGAAGGGAGCATTCCGTTTCTTTCATTGGTTCTTCTTGGCAAGATTAATCGAGTACGAAACAGAAATATAGCAAATATCGATTATGGAAAAAGCTTCAGTGCAGATTCAGCCCACAGTTACATTTGAAACATTCCAAAGCCAGAGACATGAGATCGGAAGTTTTGGTCTCTCCACATTCACAGTGAAGTTTTAAAGAGTGTCAGGACCAGACAATCTGAGGTTCCTCATCTCTCATCTCAAGAAGTTCCAGTCCACTAGAACCTTCAAATCCTAAGCTTAGTGCAACTGTATATTACCTTCAGAAATGATGAGTGGTGTCCTTCTTCTGCATACCCAGTTTAAAGTCAGTTCATCCCAGAAATACAGTATATCCCTGCAAGAACCTAGATCCAAGTTGGATGGTCCAAGGAACAATGGGTTCATCTAGCTGAAGCTTTGACGTCAATCTACAGTCCAGGCTGGTTTTAGTAGCAAGAAGCTCCTATGAAAGCTGTGGCTTGGTCATCATCTTCTTAAACGTTCTCCAGGCTGTTCCTTGGCTCTGAACATCTTCCACAGCTCCCCAGTACGTGTGTGAGAGAGAGCGAGAGAGAGAGTGAGAGGGGACACTCTGTCTACCCCTCTACAGTATGTGACTGACCGTTTGAGCAGTCTGACCAACTGTATGTTTATGTATAAGTCCATGTTTATTTGAGTTGCACCCTTTTCCTTAATTTCCTTATCACCCCAACATCTCCTGTTTATATTGCTGCTTGAGTGTACACAACTCCTCTATCTTATTCTGTTGACCTCCACCCACCCAACAGCCCACTCTCTCTCTCTCTCTCTCTAACCCAATTCACGATGCCCTCTTTCTCTTTGTTCCTGTCTGTTGAATAACATGGAAATCTCATTCTTTAAATGATGCAACACACGAGACGGGAACTCAGTGTTTATCTGATCATTCCAGTAATGCACTTTTGATTACAGTTAATAATAAATGTTTTTGACACATATGCAACCCTCCAACACCAGCACAAATTGTTTTATTAACCTATTTTTTTGTTTATCCATTTATTTATTTGTTTACTAACTTTGTCCATATATTTAATTTCCAGCAAAATGCAAGATATTAATTTTTCAGATGTTTCTGAGGAGATAAGATATAAGACAATCCATTTGCTGAATGAAGGAGAAGGTCAAATGATAATAAAGTCATATGCAAATGTGGGTGCGCCCCTGGTCAAATTCCAGCTTTGTTGACTTTCTAAGTGGAAATAACACATCCTCTACAGCATGCACGTCAAACTGGGGACCTTCCAGGCCAAAGTGCTGTAGAGATCAGTTAAACATTCTGAATTCAGTTCATGAAGGCCTTGTTAGTTAGCCGATGAGCTGAATCAGGTGTGTTTAAAGGGGCAGTGTGCCAAAATCCTCAGTGCTTTGGCCTGCAAGGACTGGAGCCTGATGCATGTGGTCTATGGAGAACATATTTCTGCACAATTCAATCTACCATTACCATTATTTGCTGAATTTAATACAAACATAAAATGTAGCCTGTGCAAAAGTGTACATTTTACATTTTGATCCATGTTAAATTCAGCAAATAAATAGATATTGTGCAATAAAATGTACAAAAAAATTGTCTTATTAACGTTTGCTCTTTGAGAGGATGTAAAAAGCAATGAATTTGACCAGGCATGTTCATATGACTGTATTCCAAAACTGGACATCTTAAAAAAGAAAATGAGCCCCCTAACAACCACCTGGAAGACCTGGTTGACCCCAAAACTGCCCCCATCAGATAAACAGCACTTAAAGCTTTCATCTTTGAGAGAGAGGAGAAAATCAAGCTGCTTCAGATCTGAAAACATCCACAGGTGTTTCTGTCCATCCTTCCACTGTGAGAAGACGACTCAGCGCTATGGGTCTGAAAGGATGTGTAGCTGGTCAAAAAGAACCTCACTGAGAAAAGGAGACGGACACATCAAACAAAGAAGCTGAACGATGGACTGACCACCCCAGAGTCCAGACCTCAACATCACTGAATGTGTTTGATTACTTCAGAAAATGATCAACCAGCTTCTGAACTTTGGAGGTGTGGAGGAATATCAAAATATCTTTGAGAACAAAATGGCAAGTCTCTTGAAATGAATGGAATCTGTGACACAAGTAAAGTGTGGACATACTAAATAAGAAATATAAAAAATAATAATAACGTGCGGCACAGTGGGTAGTGCTGTCATCTCACAGCAAGAAGGGTCTGGGTTCGATTCCCCGGCCGGGCAACCAGAGTCCGGTCTGTGTGTTGCACGTGTGTTTCCTCCCCTGGTCCAACGACGTGCAGTCAGGCCAATTGGAGACCCTAAATTGCTGCTAGGTGTGTGTGAGTGTATATGTCTGTCTGTCTGCCCTGTACACTAGATGGGTGAACTGTCCAGAGTGTTTCTTGCCTTCCCTCCAATGAGCGCTGGGATAGGCTCTATCACCCCCGTGACCCAGAAGAATAAGCGGCTTAGATAATGTGTGTGTAATAATAATTAAAAACAAAAATAGCTATATGTAGATGTGTAATTGATGTGCTTTCATCTATATAACTTGTACTTAGTGGATTTTTTTTAATTGCCCATGGAATCAGTTTTGCAAAGGCGCAATCACAAAAACAGCCTGTTTAATTCTAAGCGGCAAACAGAGGTTGGAGAACTGTCATGTAAAAATAATTTATGATTTATTTCAAAGCCCACTAAAACATCACAAGAGCACCTCAGGGAAGAAAACGCAAGTAATACTGCACAATGTGGGCTCTTTAACGCTTTCCAAGGTTGTCTACTAAACTAAAACGCTGTTTCCATCTCATGGTCAAGGAGCTGCGTGAAGTTTAGCTGCTTCAGAAAAGCCTTTTCACGTCTGGCTATACAGATACTGCAGTCTGTTCTCCTTCATGCTGTTGCATTGAAATTAAGTGCAACACTGTGCAATTTACTAATTCACCCTATAATGACATCCATACATCAGCGTGGACCATCTGACGTAGGGGTCTTAAAAGAAGGCCTGTCTGTTGTGCACTATTAGCTTTACATGGTTCATTGCAGTTTCAAAGAGGAGCCAAACCATATGGCCAAGCTCAATAGGTCTGTGGTCTGCAAATGTTGCTTAAGGGAAAAAATGCACTTAAGGCCCGAATATATATGAACATATGTATTGTATAAAACTCAAAGACGAACATTTCTTTATTTAATTTCCTGTAAAACAGCTATTTAGTACAAGTTATTCATTTTTCAGTGCATACATTTAACAGAGAACTACCCGGAATCCTCAACAACTAAATATGATATTATATTTTTGAGTACTTAATGTGTCCACTCTTTGCCTTTATTACAACTTCCACTCTTTTCAGGAGACTCACCTTCAGTTCACCTTCAAAGAAATCTGCAGCCACATATCATCCAAAGTTCAGTCTTAGAAGTTGGTGGCAGTTTTGTAAACTCTTGATTTTTCCACATATTTTCCTTTGTCTTATTCTTAGAAGTGGATTATTTTATTTAATTTCATTTATTTTATATTATCCCTCAGAAATATCCCCTCAGAATGTACTTAACAGCTGTTTTTTTTTACTATAAATAATACTAAATGAATGAAGGGTGGCCTCTGACCTTTGCACAGCACTGCAAAGTAACATGGTAGCAGTATAACACGTATTGGCTGGCATCTTTTGAAATGTCTTCTGTCCATTGCGTTTCCCATGTGAGCGGCTCACTGCACCTTCTACTACGTAGCTGATCTCTAAAGTTGCAAAGCAGGCTTTTCTAACGTGGCTGCGCTCAGAGATGCTGTAATTTTCTTGTAAACCCAGGAGGGGTGATAGGAATCGCTCATTTGGATCTGCCCTGGCCATAATTATGTATGATGATGCTTAATTAGCTGGTGGCTCCGGGAGGTGGGGAGTCCCGTGTCTGGTAGAGCCAGACATTAAAGACAGCTCTGATTAGGATCTGTAAAACATGCCTCTATGTCACTCTCTTCTTTTAACAGCTTGTGTGAGACGAATCAGACTTCAGCTTCCTGTTGGAAGGAGGCAGCTGTATGTACACCCCTCGATATATATATATATATATATATATATCCTGAAATATCAAGTAGCTCAGCATCAAACACAACAGCCTAATACATGCAGCCTAATAATCCATTAATAATCAGACTAATAGCTCAATCAGAATAGAATGCGTCCATGTAAGCACCTCAGTCAGAATAATCCAGTCCGATTGAGGCCATTCGGAATACAGTTTCTATCCGACTGATCGAGGTGAGTAATCCTGTAAATAATCTGTTAAATAGACGAATAATATCCGTGTAAATGCCTGTATCTGATTACATTCCCTATCGGAGAGTTTAAGTCCGTTCTGATCATGTTCGTCACGTCATAGTGAAAGTTTATACCGTTCAACATGGCGGAGCAGAAACTGGTCTGCAGAGGAGACGAAGTTTATGCTCTGATCTTTAAAAGGCGGCGGTGGGACGGACGTCCAGCTTATGTGTCTCAGAACACGGCGTCTTCCTCTCGGCCTTCTTTAATAAGGACATGTGAAGGACGTTTTCCTGAGTCTGACATCATTTTAAAGCAATTAAAAACACAAGCACTGCTCACTACTGCTCATCTCACTCTGACTGGACTCACGTGATGCTGGTTGCCATGGTAACGCCTACACTATGTGGTTCTGCGCATAATTCTAGATTGGATTACTTGTAGTGAGCATGTAAACAGAGATTTTCCATCAGATTGTTGAGTAGAGTGAGCAGATAAACACCTCAGTCTTAATCCATAATGTATTCAATCACACTGGTTGTAGTCTTTGTATGTAAACATAGTCAATGTTGATATGTAGGTAAAAACGATCCTGTGAGGACATTTAAAGGGGCATCTGGCCTAAACCTGTTATGTTACTTAGTGTTCTCTAGAGCAGCACAGCATCCCTCAGCCTCACCAGTTCAAGAGAATTAACATTTTTGTATCATTTCCGTGTTTTCGGCCAACAGTGTGCTCTGACTACAATACCCAGCATGCATTACGCAACTGTTATTGGGAATCCCTACAGCGCTCAACTAATCCTGTCTGCTACCCACTGATCTAGAGGCTAATAAATGCATCTGCCATACTACGAGTATTAGTGATGTTGCATTACAACAGCCCCCAAGTATCCACTTGTTGCTTAAAATTGACTTCCACTTTCAAGATGCATCATCGGAAGGGGGCTTTCTGAGTCCTTAAAGATGTGAATACTACTGCGGCCCCGCTGTAGGGCGGGGAGGAAGCATGTTTACAAGAGATGTAACGATGGCTAAATTTGTCATTTTGCCCAGAGATTCACTTTAACGTATTCAACAATAAATCTTATAATGATGCTGAAGGAAATTCAGGTTTTAGTTCATTGTCCTATGCAGAGATGGCTAAACACCAAATGGGGGACATCAGGTAAAGTGGCTTGGTCCGTAGCTCGGTCAGTAGCCTGAGCCAAAGTTAACTCCCATGAGTAATTACCGTGAGGGTGCTTATCACTCAGCATTTGTTTTCACTGGCCTGGCATGATCACTACGGGTGTGGTCATGATCTGGTATCAGTCTGATTCCACCAAGCATGCGGTTAGTGGACAAACAAAACAAAATATCTCCATCATACGTAAGCACTGGTGGGCTTAAGGTGGGGGCAGGCCCCATGGGTAAAAAAGTGTCGCTAAAGCGGCATCTGGAGTGGCAAAAATGAGACAAAGTGCCCTATAGGCTGCCTTTCACATGGGCAACAATGATTGAGTGCCCTCTAAGGTGCCCCTTCATGCAATAAATAAGCCATTATGAAGTGCCCTATACATTCAAGTGCTCCCTCCAGTGGATAAAATGTGATGCAGTGCTGTAAAGGCTGTCCCTACCTCTGTGATAATGTGGGGAGGTTTCCTATTGGATGCCCCTCCATTGGAGAAAATGTCATGATGTGCCATATAGAGGAACCAGGGTCCATGATATCTACAGCACAAATATAGACATTTTATTAACTATCCAAAACCACAAGTGAGCCTACGTGTGCCTTTATGAGTAATAATGATGGTAAAATAGTCATAAATCTGAAAAAATAAGTTGTCTTTGGGGGCTTTTTGGCCTAACAACGCCCATTGTGTACCCCTACGTGATGAATGCGCTAGAATAAATGGATTAAAACACATTTTAAGACAAAACTTTATCACAAAACTATCACAGGACAATGCGTTAGACATCAGGCAGCATATATCTAATCATTTTATGTAATAACCTTGGGTGACGGAGCTTTCAGAGGCATTAAACTCTTCAGACGTCTGGTTCCTATCACCACCACTGTGAACAATTCAGACTCGGCAAGTTTCTCTAGAACGGAGCATTTCACACCAAACCACTCTGAATGACTTTGTTTTCATCTCAACCATTTAATTATGTAAAATTTTTGAGAAATTAGTGGAGTTCCCCTTTAACTCGGAGCTATTTGTTTAACGGACTGCACTAAAAGCTAAAGTGAAAATCACTAGCTACGTACTTTATTTGGGAGCTCTCCACTCACTGAGGTCCGGATTATAAGCATAAAAAAACGTATCCATAACATATAAAAATATCATTAAAAATATTCTCACTCATCATTTTTATTTTTTAAATGTAATAACTGAAAATCAACGCCGTTAAAATGCATAAAAACCGCTGTACTTTCGTCGTCCTTCAAAAAAAAAAAATGGCACTTTCCGCGACGCTGATTGGCTCCTCGAAACGTCCGTTATTTTATCCCCGCCCACACGCGTGCACGCGCCCGCTCCCTGTTCGGTTCATTCGGTCCGCTGCTGTGAAGCACTACAGAGGACTACAGTGGACGACAAAGGACTACAATACCCAAGTGCCTCTGACTACCGCGAGCTTCCGTTTTCAATCCGAGCGCTGAAAATCCGTCGTGATTTTTTTTTAAATGTATTTATTTATTTATTTATTTATGCATCGGCTCGAAACCGACTCCACCGACACTCGGAGTGAAAGTATTATTATTTTTTTTTCGCGGCATAACAGCGAAGTGATGGCGTCGTCAAACTAACGGTAAGCTGAGGCTCGAGCGAATGAGCTGAGCTAACGGTTAAATTCGGGTAAACAGACAGAGCCGCGGTGCTGAAGTGAACGACGAGGAATTTATTCGCCTTTACAGTTCACGACGTGGTTTATTTTGCAGTTTAATTATGTAACTGGGTAGTTAGACAGGCTAAGTGTTCTGTTTCTGACGTTAAATCTGTTAAGTTAGCGGACTCGTGTGTGTTTGATGGGAATACAGTCAGCATTAGAAAAGTAGTCCTCGGTGACAGACAGCCTATTGCGTAATGAGTACCGTTAGCTGTTCAGATCAGGAGTTGAAATCAGGGGACCACCATCTGTTTCACTGCAGATACCTTCGTTTCACAGACCACCTCTCTGACTTCAGAGGGTCGACCAAAGAGTTAAAGGGGAACTTTTTTGGAAAGGGGGAATTTTTTCAACATTTCTCAATTATTCAGTGGTAAAGAAAGTCATTGAGAGTGCCTTGATATGAAATGATTCGTTTGTACAGTTATTTAAAAAATGGTTCTTCAAGGGTTTTTTAGTGAAGACAGAACCATGAGTTCTATACAGAGGCATTTTCATGCTTTAAGCGTTCTCTGCTAGGTTAAATGGTTCTTCAGATTGATGGAGAATGTCTGTGTAGAACCTTTTTGAAAACTGTTCTGTATAGCACCAAAAAGGGTTCTGCTGTTGTTTACAATGTCGAGCTTGTAACAATAGAAGAGCCATTTTGGTGCTAAATAGAACCATGTACAATCATACATCAATCTGAAGGACCGCTCCACCATGCAAAGAGCCATGTAAAGTATGCATATGGTTCTTTGAGAGTTTGTGGTTCTATATAGAACCATTGTCTCTACTAAAGACCCCTTGAAGAACCCTTTTTTTAGGAGTGCAGAGAAACGTAGACATTCCTTTACAGTGGTGGTGATAGGAACCAGGGGTCACCATGAATACAACACAACTATAGGCATTTTATTTACTATCCAGAACCACCAGTGAACCTACAAGTGTCTTCTGAGTGTTTATATGTGATGTTGATGATGGTAAAATAGTGGTAAATCTGAAAAATAAGTTTTCTTTGGGGGCTATTTTGCCTTAGAACACCCTTCACGTACCCCTCCACCATGAATAGACTAACATAATTTGTACATTTTAGGCCAAAACATCACAAAACTGTTGTAAAACAGCATCACGGACATCAGGCAGTGAATTCATAACCATTTCATGTAGTAACTTTCTGTGAGGGAGCTTTTAGAGGTGGACGTTTGGTTCCTGTCACCACCACTGTGAACAATTCTGACTCGGTAAGTTTCTCTAGAATGGAGCGTTTCACACCAAACAAACGTTACGGCAAATGTGTTTACCTGCCTTTTCAGCCTACAGCAGTTTAGCTCTGCCCTTTTAGGCTGAAACACCCCTTATAGCTTCAACACGAATGGGCGGAGCTAAACCAGACATCCAGGGAAGCCAGTCAGAACAGAGCTCATTTACATGCAGTTGAAAGTGGTCCTGTGAAAATGAACGAGGAACGGCCTAAGTCAACCAAAAAGATGGTGCTTCAAGGGTTCGTTAGTAAAAAACAATGGTTCAATATAGAACCATGAACACTCAGAGAACCCTTTGCATGATTAAAGGGTTCTTTGCATCATGAAATGGTTCTTCAGATTAATGGACAATGTGCTATAAATGGTTCTATATAGAAACATCTTAAAAAGGGTTCTAAATAGCACCTAAAAGGGTTCTTCTGTTGTTATAAGCTTGACATTGAGAACAATAGAAGAACCCTTTCGGGTGCTATATAGAACCAATTTCAGAAAGGTTCTACTGTATAGAAAACCATCTACAGCATCTTCTCCATCAATCTGAAGAACACTTTTGCGATGCTAAGAATCTTTTAATCATGCAAAGGGTTCTTTAAGCGTTCATGGTTCTATATAGAACCATTTTCTTTGCTAAAGAACCCTTGAAGCATATTCTTTATAAGATTGTAGTTAAAATTGGACACTGCTTTTAGCCATTGTGGTGCATCACTTATCATGATAACGTCTTGGTTAACAGAGTCATTCAGAGTGGTTTGGTGTGAAATGCTTTGTTCTAGATAAACTTACCGAATCAGAATTGACTGAATTGACAGTGGTGGTGATAGGAACCAGACATCCTCCTCTAAAAGCTCCCATAGAAAGTTATTACTTGAGATGGTTATGAATTCACTGTTTTTTTTTAGATAAATATAGAAATCCTGTAGAAATTTCTGTAGTTTTACTAAACTAAGGGGCTTCCTCCTCCTCCAGACTGATAACACTGGGTCTACAGCTTTTCCCTATGACCCAGCCTTTATATAATTGGACCCAGTCATGACAGGCTTTGAGAAGCTTTAGGCACCACAGTTCTGAAAGAGTAACCCTTCTGCCTGACTGAACCCCGACAGGTCTGTGCTGGAGTGAGGAAGGCAGAGATGAAGGTGGTGCGGCGGAGAGACTCACACAGCCCGTTCTCTGAAAACTCAGACAATGACTGTGAGGTACAGAGGTGTGTGTGGGTGTGTGTGGGCATGCGAGCAAGAGTGAGAGCGAGAGAGCAGCAGAAAGAGTGCGTGTGCTTATTCGCCAGTACTGGAAATGCACATATTTAATTACAATTACATACACGTATTAAGAAATCAGCTTTTCTGTGTCGTTCTCTGCAGGACGAAAGGGGCGCCGAGTGCAGGAAGGTGGACGGAGTTTGTCTGTGTGAGAAGGGACCCTACTGCAAACAGCATCCTCAAACGGTGAGGGGTCTCTGCTTACCAACACACTGTCTACAGCCACAAACTAAACAGTAACTAATACATCAACTACAACACATAACTAGTAACCTAGGGTGAGTAGAAGGTACTAACATTTTAGCCCCAAACCCATTTCTTATTTTTACCTCTACTCCTTGTTTTCGAGTGTTTCCTTGCCTTTTGGAACTGAGTTACAGGGTAGTGGTTGAAATCTTCCCTATGAAACGGGACCCTCAAATAAAAAGAGCATCACGTCATTAACAGCTACTAGCGCTGCTCTGTAGGCGACCCTGCCAGTCTGCAGTGACAGCAGAGGAGGGTAAAGTTCAGCTCCTCACTGCTGGGCTTTAGTTACATTTAGGGGGTCATATGCCTTCAAAGAGGGGGCAATTATTTATTATCACCCACCGCTAATTCTTCAGTGATATGAAGCTGAAGTCAGATATTCACCAGCTTCTGATTTTCCCGTTCCACCTTAAATGGTGCAGAATGTAACTGCTGCAGCATTTAAGGTGGAACGGGAAATTTAGCTAGCTAGTTACTGAGACATCAGCAAACTATTAGCGATGTTAGCGATAATTATTTTTAAATTAAGTAATTAAAATGAAATGAAAAGAAGTTTTAACACATTCTCTACAGAGATCATATTTTAATGCACAGTTTCTGCTTATTTGCTGAATTTAGCATATTTGGAAAAAAATAAAACTCAGCCAATAAACCGAAAGATAAATAAATAGAAACTGTGCACTAAAATCTGCAAACAAAGGCCAAAGAGGATGTGTTAACTTATTTTCACTTCAGCAAATCAGTAAAATATGTAATTTGACCAGGGATGTTCAAACTTTTCCATAAGACTGTACAGAAAAAATCACATATGGGCCACTTAAACAGTTCTTTACTGATAGAACAGTTGTCAGCTGTGAATTGTCAAATATAATTGTCAGTTCTAAAGTTGGGGGAGTGGGGTGACTGTAATGAATGACTTTCTAATGGAAACATCCTTTTCTTCCCTTATCTCTTGCTGTTGTAGGAGAGCAGCCTAAAGTGCAGTGAATGTGGTAAAAACAGGGCGATAGTCGCCAGATACTCTGAAGGCTACGGTACTGAGGTGGGTAGGTGTGTGTGTTCATGAGAGAGAGCGTTTTTTCTGTAGATGTGGATGTGTGTGTGTATGGGTAATAGAAAGAGAGTGGAGAAACTGTGTGTGTGTGTGTGTTCGCTCATGTCTATGACTCATGTTGCAGGAGGAGTGTGTGCAGTCTGATCCTCAAGGAGAGAGTGATGCAGATGCAGACATAGAGGATACAGACAGCAGGTAACTGACTAATGCAGAAGGCCTCTACTCTGAAATATCCACTCTTTGGAGCAGTGGAGAAACACAGACCTTTTAGACCTTGCGAATGTATACATTATATGGCCGAAAGTGTGTGGACACTTCACAGTGAGTTCAGGTTTTTCAGCCACACCCACTTCTAACAGGTTGTGCAAAATCAAGCACATAGCCATGCAGTCTCCATAGAGAAACGCTGGCAGTAGAATGGGTCATACTGAAGAGCTCAGTGACTTTAAACATGGCACTTTCATAGGATGCCACTTCTGCCACGTGTCAGTTTGTGAAGTTTCTGCACTGCTAGATCTGCCCTGGTTAACTGTAAGTGCTATTATGGTGAAATGGACGAAGCAGCAGACCATGTAAACTCACCGAGTGGGGCTGCCGGGTGGTGAAGCGCATAGTGCATAAAAATCGCCTATCCTCTGTAGCATCACTCAGAGTCCCAAACTGCCTCTGAATACAACAACAACACAAGAACTGTGCGTCAAGAGCTTCATGAAATGGGTCCTTATGGCTGCGCCGCTGCAAACAAGCCTAAGATCACTATGTGTAATACCAAGCGTTGACTGGAGCGGTGTAAAGCATGCCGCCACTGGACTCAGGAGCAGTGAAAAGGTGTTCTCTAGAGTGATGAATCACACTTCACTATCTGACAGTCTGATAGAGGTCTCTGGCTTTGGCGAATCCCAGGAGAACGCTTCCAACAGAAATGCGTACTGCCAACAGTAAAGTTTGGTGGAGGCGGGATAATGGGCTGGGGCTGTTCTGTTACTCTTAGTTCCAGTGAAAGAAAATGTTAGTGCTGCAACAAACAGAGTCTCTTCCAGCATGAATGAGCCCCTGTGCACAAAGCGCGGCCCACAAAGACAAGTCTATTGTGGAGGGACTCCAGTAGCCTGCACAGAGCCCTGTGGTCCCTTTCAATGGTTTGGTGGGGCAGAGGGTGGCTGATAATTTATGTAGCAACAGATGAGCTACAGTCAGTAAATCTACAAAGTGCACGCAGATGTTATGGCCAAAAGTATGTGGACATGTGACCATCACACCTAAATGAGGTTGTTGGGCATACCAACAATATCAGTGGCCTGGGAAAACCTTAGCAATCACCTGGGATCAAGGTGCAAAATACAGGGGGTCCTGGAGGTGCCCGGGACACCCTAATTAACATTACCTGAATGTCTCATAATCAAAATTCTGGGGGGTCCCTGAAAATATTATGATGTTAGTCTGTCTGTTGGGGAAAAACAGACGTTCAAATACAAATTCAGGGAACGTCATTCACCCACAAAACAGCGAGCTTCTGTCTTTGGTATTCTTAACTAACTAGTGATGCAGCACTGGTCAGCCTCAGGGTGTAGCAAACTGGTTCACCCAGTTATTCCCATAGTTTAGCAGCTGTAGCTATGCCTTAGCAACATGTTAGCAACAACCAGGGATAGCAGAGCAACAGCGTAGAAACACCTTAGCAACCACCTAATAGAGCATAACAATGGATGCAACACAATAGCAACCACCTGGAATTACTATATAAGCCCAGTTAAGTCATCATAGACAAGCCACAGTGTTCTACAACTGCTTTATCTTGTATCAATGAACCGTCAAGCCAACTTAAAGTTTGTTCACAAACTTTCCTATTCTAGTTATTATTATTATTTTTTACCAGTGTTGTAGGCATTAGGTAGTGTCACATACTGACATAAGCATGTATATCAGTAATAATGTCATAATCAGTCATAAATCAGTCATAATCAGTCATAATGTTACATGACTGTCATTTCATCAGTCAGAAAATGGTGACATGATCTTATAATAACTAAACTGATATTATCAAGAGTTTGTCCCAGAAGAGTTTATGTCATCCTTACGGAGTTCAGACAACATGTTCTCTTGGTCCAGGCTACAGGTGGTGGGTTCTCTTCAGCGAATCAGCTCTCGCAAACGAAAGCGCCAGCGAATCGCACGGCAGGACACGACAGAGAGTGAGGATGACGGAGGGCGGAGCCACCGGACCCACCGCTGGAGCCTGAGGCTGAGTCCCCATCGCACACACAACAGAACCATATTAGAGGTGCTCAACCCTCACACACAGTTTAGCCCAATCTTAGTCGAAAGCTCTGTTCACACAATATGATACCAGATAAGACGATTATACAGTGTTTTAAAATGCAGTTTGATCAGGGTTAACGCTGAGTGTCTGCTGTCAGATGACTTATCTTTATTAGTGAAATAACTGGCCCTATATTAGCTTAATCACTAGAATCTAATTCAGACTGTCTGGTTATCATATTACTCAAAATAATTACAAAGGAGTTCGAAGTTTGTACCTCACTCTTACCTAGTTTCTGAGAACTTAAGGGACGATAAAAGAAAGTGTTATGTATGTATTCAGTTTTATGCAAAAGTTTGAAAACCCCGGTCAGCGAAAATTTTACATATTCTCTATAGAGATCACACTTAAATATGGCATTTTCCTAATAATTTTGGTGCACAGTTTGTATTTATTTGCTCACTACAGAGTTCCAAACTGTCTCTGGAAGCATAGTTGCATATTTTTAACATAATTGAAAAACTAAAATATGAAATATAAAATGTACCATAACTTTAGTTAAATAATGTTAAATTAAGGAACTAAACAGAAATTATGCATTAAAATATTCAGAAATGTGTTTTTTTGTGGAGCATATGTTCAACTATTTTTAACAGGGGCATCCCAACAGATATATATATATATATATATATGACTTGTATATATATATATGTATACATATATATGCATACACACATATATATATATATATATATATATATATGAATGACGTAAGCATCAGTAACTACGTAGCTACATAGGTGACGCTGATTTCAAACGAAGATGCAGGAGAGATGGAGGTGCATCATCTCGCCCTCCGAACTCTTCAGAATTCTCTGGCATAAGCATGAATCTGTGGTGCTCTTCTTGAATCCCAGCACTTTTATCACTCTGGATTTGACATCCTCGCTGTTTGTTGTGTTGCGAGTGACGCAAAAGACACTTTGGAATCCAGTTTGAGAGGCCAGAGTGTAAAGACTGAGACATATATGTAAAAATCCGATTGGAATCGCATTTCAAACCACCTCCAAATGTGGTTTGGATCCGCAAAAATATAGAAATATATAGACATATAGATAGATAGACAGATAGATAGTACAAGTACAATTTTGCAGAATATAATGGCTTCCCTACAGCACAAGCTCTAATTTTCTTCCTCTTCTTTCTTTCTCTTCCTCTTCTCCTCCCTCCCTCAGGAGAGCGTTTCTCAGGTAAGGCCGCTGGTGATTTGTCGCTGTAACGCGTTAGAAACCCCGGCCGCCTCGGACAACAAGCCCCAAAGAGGAAGATGGCTGCTGAAAGCTTGGCCTTTCTCCCTCTCTTTCCCTCTGTTCTTTCTCCTCATCCTTCTTCCTGTCTCCATATCTATCATAATTGTGTTCTTTTCATTCCTGCTCCCACTTACTAACACCTGACACCCTCTGCACCCCGCACGTTACGTAATCATTTTTATTGTATGGTATTAAGTGTGCTCAGTGTTATTAGAAGGTATTGCACTAAAATCTTGGAACTAAAGTGTTCTGCCTAACAGGTCATCCGAGTTGTCACCACATTGTCTTTGAGTGATACACGTTAGTGGATATTAGTTATATTAGTTATTTAAACTCTTATGTAAAAATTTACAAACGTCTGCATTTTTAGTATGTTTCCTTTAGGGTTTTTTGAAGAAGACTAATAAATTATGTCCTTTATTGTCAGACAGAATGCTGTAATTCACTGTTCCCTTCCAGTATGTACTGTAACATTTAGTAAATAATTATGATTTAACCCTTAGAAGTTGAGAGTCATAACTTTCGCACTATAGGAGGGAGCGGGGCACAACCTAAAACTGTTTTTTGCTAAATAATTGATGAAATCTTTTAGCAAGATCAATAATTTTCCTTAAAGGTAACCTAAACGTCTCTGCTACAAATGAAAATGTGAACTTAGTAGAGTGCAGATGTCACAACTTGCCCCGTAGGCAGGGTTAATTGTAATTAATTGTAACATTCACGAGACAAGTCTGGCAAATTGATGTAACACAATCAAAACGGCCCTATGTTGTTTGAACCAGGCAAACTTTCCAACCTAAATATATCGCTGCTTTCGGGAGAAAACCTTGTATCTCCATTTTTGCCGTTTTTCAGCTTTTAACATAATTTAAAGAAGCCTGTCGTCCTTTACATTGTGTATAAATTTCATGATGAATGGGTCAAAAGAAAGGGCCCAAAATTACTCTGAAAAAACTCTGGTTCCATTGACTTACATTAAAAGTACAGAAGGTTTTTTTCCTTCTTCTGTAAAGTTATCATTTTGGACATACGAGGTTTTGTTCAGACAGCAGTTATATATATAAATATATGCATCAAAATATGAAAGTGTCAAAAAGATATATATTTATTTTTGACCACAAAGTGGGAGAAAAAGATCAGCATGGTAAAACTGAAATATATTTTATTTACAGGATACCTATAGTGTGTTTTTTACTAAAGCTGCACCATGTATGATTTTTTTTTCTATGTAAAAAAGAGTCAGGAGAAAAACACTGCCACCTGAATAAGTCATTTTTTTAAAAAGTGGACAGGTCCAGTCCACTCCATCGGGACAGGTGTTTTTCAGATTATGCCATACGTGTTTATGCATTAACGTCACATGTGCAGGCTCAAAAAGAAGGTCTGGCTCGATGTTTAGCTCTCAGATATAAAATCAACATTATATTGATGAAGATACAATGATAACAGTAGACAGTTCACTCACATCCTCAGAAGACACATCTTTCACCAAGTTCTCATTGAATTATTGTTCATTGCGCTCACAGTCATCAGATTCGTCTGCTTGGGGAAGTGGTCCACCATACAATGTTCTTTCACATGCTGCATGCAGTTACATCTTTCCACCAGAGAGGTCTCCAAATCCCCCATACTTATATAGTGCAGGTTTATTCTGTGAATGAGAAGTTCCAAAAAAAATAAACTGAATTTATATAATAGGACATCAAGTTGTGTCATTGTTTACTTAAGGAGGCTCGGTGTTTTTGTAACACAACCTATATTTTAGGTTGGCTGGCTCTGACTGTGAAATGTATATTTCTTCAAAAGCTCCTAAGAGAGTGATAAAAATAACATAGGTGTGAATTCTGTGACTCAATAATCAGTTACTTTCATGGTACAAAAGCAGCAACTATGCGCATAAGAGAAAGCATTATGGTCAGCGAGCTGGCCATCCTGGTGCAGAGTTTAGCACATGCTCAGCACAAAGCCATTTTTATAAACAGCTTAAAAATGTACCTCTCGTTTGCTGACAAGAGTTGACCAAAAAGATGTTTAGTTTTTATGACCGTGAGTGTGTTTATGTGCACATAAAAATCAGATAACTGCAGAAAATCTGATTTTGTCAGTAATCCGATCAACGCATTTACATGCACTTGAGTAATCAGATAATGGGGAAACTCCAGGTCTACATGAGTCAGACAGTAATCAGGTTTCTGCTTTACAACCAGCCAATAAACTCACAGAAAAGGACGTGACGTAAACATAATGTAAAACTCAAACTTCATTCTGCGGCTTTTTTTTAGACATTGAGCCACTTTACCTGAAAATAAAAACATACATCATCTAGAAGATGAAGAATATTGAAGTCCTTCATTTCGTGTTTGGTTCCAGTGACGCTGCTCACTTATTTCCGGTACCGCTGTCTGTTTCACACATGCCCAGACTGAGGAATCTGAAAGAAATCAGAGTAAGAGTTCACATGCACTGAGAAATCTGATTACTGAGCTAAAATCCAGCCTCTTTATCAGTTTTTTTAATTAGATCTCTAGACCTTACTCCGATCTAAGAAATCAGCGTGTGCTCTTTACATGACAATTTGAATAATCAGGTAACTGCAGAAATCTGATTATGATCGGATTATTGAGTGCATGTAAACACTCAGTGAGGTTGTAAAGACACTTTCCTTTCCGCCACTAAGATGCTCAACACGCAAACGTTGCAACCTGGTCTGGGTTGCCAGGTTGGGCAGGATCCCTTGTTTAATGCTACTTGCTATGACAATAGTTTATCAGTGATGTTTTTCAGTTACATTTTAGTGCTTTTTCATTAATAAATAATAACAACACAGGTAAGATTTTTTTATGTAATAAAGTGAATCACATATCTTGGCTTTCCTTATTCATATAGAATATTCAATAGCATAATTGAAAATAAAAATATATGATATGGGAAGACAAGATGGCCAAAAGCGCTTCACCTTGAATCTGTTTAATTACATACAGGGTTGTTACACTCTCTGTGGTTGTGCTCCGCCCTCCCTTACTGTTGAGATGTAATTATGTAATTATATTTTAATTTGCATAGCGAATTACACGATATAATAATCAATTTACAGCTGTTTCAACAGCTTTGAATCTGCACTTATATCTTTTTTCTATTTGTTCTGATGTCAAGCACTGACAAACTTGGCAAAAATGTAAGTATAGTGTTTTTGCTAAGTAGCACATTCATGGTGTTGATTGAAAGTATCGACAGCTTGTTAAAATGAGCTCTGAGTGAGTAATAATTGATATAGAATTATGGAATTACACCATGTTTCTGCGTTTGGCAATAGCTGTGACTTCTAAGGGTTAATCTGAGTTTTCTTTGCTCTAGCACTCCCTTTATTCTCGCATGTATATTAGAACTCATATCCCATACCTCATACACAGTGTGTGTGTGTGTTTATGGGAGAGACGGTGCACGGCCAAAGCATCATGTGATGTGTGTGGTGGGCAGAGCGTGAAAATGTAAATGAATTAAACTATGCAATGTACAGGCAATAGTCTTTCCAGAGTGTACTTATGAGGGAACCTCTCATCTCCATCTTATGCTTTCTTTTTCTTGATGCATGTCCAACTCGTGGAGGTACACTCTTAAAAATAAAACGGCTCTTGGCGTGGGCATACTGTACTGTGCAGAGGTCAGAGGCCTCCGTCCTTTCCAGTCAAAATGGCAATTAAGTACAAGTTGTTCACTTTTTAGAAAATTTCTGAGGATATACAGAATATAGTGCTGAGCGATTTAGGCAAAATATCTAATTGCGATTTTTCTGAGCAGTATTGCGATTACGTTTTAAATTGTAATTGTCTATTGAGGTATAAATTGAGGTATGGGCCTTTTTTGGCTAAAGCACAAGTTTGTATTTTTCTGGCTTGTGACTTGAACTGTTAACACAGTGCGCCAGCCTGCCAGTTATTTGTGCTTGTGATGTCACAGCAGTTCTAAGCTTCATGTTATTCTGTAAAATTTCCCTACTTAAAACTTTGTCATATTAACTGCATCAAAACTTGCATTGTATCAAAACTGTTGATAATTGACTGCAAGACTATAATAAAAATTGCATTCGTTCAAATGCAATAGTTTGAACATCCTCGAGTCCAATTAGATGTTTTGTTGAGTGAAAATAACAGAATCTACAGTGATGAAAAATTAAATATGACATTCTAATTTTAAATTAGAAAGTCAATAAAAGCAGGTCAACTGACCGGGGGCGCCCAAACTAGTCCAAAGAGAGTCCAAAAAACAGAAAATGCAAAAACAACTTCTAAGACTGAACTGTGAAAGTGTGTAAATATATTCGTACAGATTTTTCCAAAAAATTGAAAGTGAAAAGAATGAGCTGTAATAAAGCCAAAGGGAAAGTTTGCAAATGTTGATATTATATTAACATTAAATAAATGAAAGGTGGTCTCTAACTTGCACAGCAATGGACGGTTCTTAAAAAAGCCTGTAATCGGTATAGAAACTTTGGGTTCTTCAATGGAAGTTTATTGGAAAATGGTTCTCCACTGGGAACCAAAAAGTGGTTCTCGGTCATCCTTTTGCCGCCTTTGTTTTGAAGAGTGTATCTTCTCTCTGCAGGCCAAACGGTTCTCAGATGCTGCACTGAGTCTGTGCTGAGTGGCCGAGCCGAGTAATAATACTGTTTTACAGTATTTTAAGTACAGTAAGTTTACAGTGAATGTTCATGTTGAATGTTGAGATGTAATTTAAGCTTCTGTGAGTGTTTTTGTCATTTTTCTCCCCCACATTATTCTCTGACATGGACAGTCCCTCAGTGTCTAACAGCCCCAGGGATTCTTATTCAGTGTTATGTTTAATTCTATTATGATGTCCTTTCTGCTGTTGTAACTCCAGGCCATGACCTTGCTCTCACTGTCCATCCTCTTTCCCCTTTAAAGCTTTAAAACGAATGTCTGGTGTATGTTTGTGAAGAATTTTTGGGTCCAGATTTTAATAGAATTAAAAATCTAGTTTGACAGCACACGTCTGAGTGCTTCTGTTGTGTTCTCATAAAAACTTTGACTGGAACTGTATTACAGTAACACTCTTAAAGAAGTGGTTCAGTGAGAAATCTAGTTTACACAGTTTTACACTTACCACAGATGTATATTGGTGATTAACAAGGACATGTTTGTGTCCCAATTTTGCTTCCTTGGTTTGGTGCTAGAGCTGCGAGGCTAATGTCGCTAACAAACACGAGAAATCCAAATAGCGCAAAATGTTTCTGCAAAAATCACCGAAACTTCTCACAGCCTGCTCAAATCATGACCAGGTCTTTGTTTAGGTTGCACAGACTTGTCAGTGTGGTTTGACTGGCAAAACTTGTCATGTCTGTTTAAATAAAAGCCAATAACAGCTACTAATGATGTGTCGGGTTCTTGGAAGGTTGTCCTATTTCGTAAATCGAGAAAGATTTCAGCCACAACCCCTTATACCTCAGTTGCAAAGGGCAAAGGTGTAGGGGTAAAAATAAGAATTGGGATTGGGCCTTGGTCTGACTCTCTCTGGGAGAGTAAGATGGCCCTTCCTCTGCCCCATCCCTCAGCGCTATGCTAGCCAAAACCTGCGTCTGTTAGCTGACGTAATGGAATCGGCGGTTAGCGTTGTCCTCTAAGAGTGTTATGCTAACAGAAGTTTGAAAATATGTGTTGACTTTATGTGTCTCAGAGGAAGCACATGCTAGCCTTCACTGTCCCAGCTTGATACCATCTGCCAGCAGGTGGACACTGCGCACAGGTCAATGACAAAGTTTTCAAAATGACAGTTTTTTAAAAGTCTTATTAAAACGTGCATTTTTATATATGTGTATATATATTTGCGTTTTGTATCTTTATGCATTTTATATCTTAAATATAGTGAGTGTTATTAAAGCTTTTATTTGCTTATATCAGTTATTAAACTGTGCTGGTCTCTTTGCACCATTTGACATTTACTGGTTGTGCCACCTGACTTTTCAGACTAATTCCAAATCAAACAGCCATCCATTTAGTCACCTCTAATAATAACCTTTGTCCTTGAGCATGAGTCTATACCTACATTTTTTTCAAATAATAAACATTATTATTATAATTCCATATTTTCATGCTTTTCCAAAGCTCAGACCACCTGACATGGTAAACTGAATAGTTCTAACCACGACTCAAATATCACTTTTTTTTTTTTTCCAAACAATTTGTGAAAGGGCTACTGACCTTGGCATTGCACCATGAAGATCACTTGGGGTCTTCTTTATGAAGCGGTACCCTGGCCCGTCTTTCGAAAAAGCATGTCAAAATAAAAGTCCTTTGTTTTTTGGTTGTGCCACCCGACATTTAAGGAAGTAAAAACTTGCAGATGAAAGTTTTTTGCCTTAATTTGCAACATGGTTTATATTTTTTCAAACATAGTATACGTTTTCAAACATAAAATCATGTCAAACTGTTTTATGTAGAATTTTATATAATGAAATCGCCTTTTTTGATAGTTTACTCAATTAACATACCTTGTTGGACAACCTGGTTGGATATTTTTAGACTTTTGGAGGCAAACAGAAACTAAAATAAATTTTATATGGATGCACTGAAAATGGTTTCACATAAAAGAGGTATTGTTGAATAAATTGGTATATATGGCATGTATTTATTAAATTATATTTTGGGAAAATAATAGATTCGGACACAAAAAATGTACATCATGTCAGCGACCCACATAACTAGATTAAGTGAAAAAATGGCTAAGAATTTAAAAATAAATAAATACAGTTTTTCAATGGTTCTTGGCTTGGACATGCAGTTCTTGGGAAACGTTTCATTAGTATAGAACATTTACATTATGAAGAAAGTTCTGCAGTCTTCAAAAAGTTTCATAGCGCTTGCTTCTGTAAGGAACCAAATGTGGTTCTACTACAGCATCACTGCAAAGAACCCTATTTGGCACCTTTATTTTTAAAAGTTTGCCCAATTGTTGTGATCAGTTAAGTAAACCAACAAATACTTCCAGTCTACACCAGCTGTAGATCAGATTAGGAACCACTGTGTTAGGTTGGATGAAGTTTAGAGTATTTGGTGATGGTCTCCATGTATTTCATGGCTTACAGGACATGAAGAGATCTACTTATTGTAGAACAAACGTACGAGAGCCACTTATCCGACATGAGAGGATAGCAGTCGTGATCTGAAAAGAGAGAGAAAATGTGGACGAGATGGATGCTTACCGAACGTTCTCACACGAGGAGGTGGACTCTCAGGAGTTGAAGTTGAACAACACCTCCATCAGCCAATGGACATGATTCATAAACAGCATTTAAGAGAAGTAGTGCTGGTCCAGATGGAGTTCCCAGTTCCCTTTCCCGAAGCACATTTCCATAGCAACCATCTGTTTTGCGTGAAGCAAGGATTGCTCATCTTCTCGAGGTTTGGTAGATTGTTCCATACTAACACATCCACTGTGGAAATCTGCACAAGAGTAAGTACACAATGGATGAAGTTACAGAATGAGGAGCTACAGATGAGTCAAAAGCATAACCTTAAAAAAGTTTTCAACTATGTTTCTGCACTCTGTCCATTTTATCAGCTCCACTAACCATATAGTTTCACTATAGTTCTACAGTTACAGACTGTAGTCCATCTGTTTCTCTACATACTTTGCTACCCTGTTCTTCAATGGTCAGGACCCCCATGGACCCCCACAGAGGTCTGACAAGGTAGAAGTGTCTAATAGAGTGGACAGCGAGTGGACACAGTGTTTAAAAACAAAATAAAGGATATTGGCCTTTCAATATAAAGAAAAAAGCAATTTTGGATCGTTTCTATTGGTCATTCAACACAAAAGGTTCACAAAACATAAAGCCCAGCTTTTAAATGGTCTGAACAGATCAAAACCAAAGAAAATGGAGGTTCTCATTTATGCCCAACACCCAAATTTGGCATGATTAGACATTTTGCATAGTTACAGTCATATGTGAAAGTCTTTGCACCCTGGTCAAATCCCATTGATGATTTGCTAAGTGGAAATATTTAATGCACCCTTCACAGAGAACATAATTACTGTTTATTTGCAGAATTTAACATGTTCTGTAAAAATAAAACACAAAATGGCCACACAAGGCGCAAAAGTTATGGCACATTTTATATTTTTTTATATGTTTCATTTTCCCCCCAACATGTTAGAGAAATATTGTCCAAGATTTCTTCTTAATGAAATAATTAAGATGTAAACAGTCACTGAGAGTGTTTTGATATAAAGAAACTGAAGAAAATAAAGTTACAAGGCATCAAAATGTGGCCTGTGCAAAAGTTATGACATGTTTTATACATTCTTTCCCAATATGGTAAAGAAGAATTCTGCAGATTTTCCAAGATTTCTGCTAAATGAAATACTTCAGATGTAAACAAAGTCACTGGGAGTGGTCGGATATAAAGAAACCGAAGCAAACGGAGTTCTGAAACTTTGATATGACAGCAACAGATACATTGTAAGGACAAAAGTATTGGGACACTCCTCCTAATTATTAGGTTCAGGTGTTTCAGCCACACCCTTTACTAACAGGTGTATAAAATTAAGCACACAGTCTTGCAGTCTCCATACAGAAACACTGGCAGTAGAGGGTCGTACTGATGAGCTCAGTGACTTAAAACATGGCTCTGTCATACAATGCCACCTTCGCCACAAGTCAGTTTGTGAAATTTCTGTCCTGCTAGATCTGCCCTGGTCAACCGTAAGTGCTATTATTGTGAAATGGAAGCATCTAGGAGCAACAACAGCTCAGCCACGACGCAGTAGACCATACAAACTAACAGAGTGGGGTCACCGAGTGCTTAAGTGCACAGTGTCTATCCTCTGTTGAATCACTCAGTAAAGAGGTTCAAATTGCCTTTGGAAGCAACATCAGCAAAAGAATCTGTCAGTCTGATGGATGAGTCTGGGTTTGGTGAATGCCAGGAGAACATTACCTGCCTGACTGCACTGTGCCAGCTGTAGAGTTTGGTGGAGGAGGGATGATGATATGGGGTTGTTTTTCAGGGGTTGGCCTAGAACCCTCAGTTCCAGTGAAGGGAAATCTTAATACTTCAGCACCAAGACATTTTAGACAATTCTGTGCTTCCAACTTTGTGGGAACAGTTTGGGGAAGAACCTTTCCTGTTCCAGCATGACTGAGCTTCAGTGCATAAAGCAGCTCCATAAAGGCCTGACTGGGTGAGTTTGGTGTGGGAGAACTTGACTGGCCCTCACAGAGCCCTGACCTCAACCCCATCAAACACCTTTGGGATGAACTAGAACAGAGATTGTGAGCCAGACCCTCTCGTCCAACATTGGTGCCTGACCTCACAAATGCTCTTCTGGATGAAAATCTTGTAGAAGCTTCCCAGAAGAGTGGAAGCTGTTACAGCTGCAAAGGGGGACCAACTCCATATTAATGCCTATAGATTTAGAAGGGGATGTAATAAAAGTGTAAAAAGTAAGAGCCGAAAACATGCCACCCAGCTGACACTCTGAGTCTCGTATTCCCCATCAGAGAGAGAAGAGAGAGATCCTCCCTCCCCCTCCCCTTCCTTCCCCTCTCCGAATGGCCTGTTGGCACCTCGAGTCAGTTTCCAGTCCAAGGCCGGCTGTCACATTCGCTCCTCTTGTTTGTATCACTTAAAGCACTGTGGGCATTCCATCTGTTGTCTAGTATATTCAGTTTCCCCAAACATAGAGAGACAGAGTCTCCGAGGAGATACAGTAGCCCTGCGTTCTAACACCGGCCAAGATTTCCCGGACAAAGCGGCGAAGCTGCCTTTGAACACGATGTGCGATAGTTTGCCCAGTAGGTCAGACACAGATTTCCCACAAAGAACAGCTTAATCTAATTCATCAACAAGCACACGTTCCTAATTCTCAGTTCTGGCGAATGCTCATTAGACTCAAACCACTCTTCAGCCTAGTGTTCCACTGTCTGATCAGCTTCTCTAACCGTCCCATTCATATTCAACAACTACATTTAGCATGATTAGGAAAAGAACATGCCAAGTTTGGGCACCCCTGGTCAAATTCCATGTTTTGATGATTTTCTAAGAGAAAAGAAGTACAATAAATGCATCGTCTACAGAGAAGACACCGCATATTTTATTGCACAGTTACTGTTTTTGCTATATTTTGCTGACTTCATGCCAAAGTCTTGGCACATTTCACATTTTATGCTTTATTTTTTTTCATAATGTTAAACGGGAATTCTACCAAATCAGAATCAGTCATTCAGAGTGGTTTTAGGTGAAATGCTCCATTTTAGAGACGCTTTCAGGGTCAGAGTTGTTCACAATAGAAGTGATAGGTACCAGATGTCTGAAGCACGTTAATGCTCTAAAAGCTCACAAAAAGGCTATCAAAGAGTTATAAATGTGCTGCCTGACTGTCTGAGACATTGTTTTATATTGTGAGATAAGATTTTTATTAGTCCCCAATAGCCCATAAGGGTTCTTTAGTAAAGAAATGGTTCTATATTGGAACCATGAACACTCAGAGAACCCTTTGCATGATTAAAGGGTTCTTTGCATCACAACATTGTTCTTCAGACAGATGGAGAATGTGTTTCATGTGGTTCTATATAGAACCTTTCAGCAAAGAGTTCTTCCACTGTTACTGGTTTGACATTGTAACAATAGAAGAACCCTTTTTGCGGGGCTATGTAGAACCCTTTTCAAAAAGGTTCTATATAGAACTCTAACTCAAGCCTGTGATATTAGTGATGGAGTTGTTTAGGCTGTTTGCTATCTTTTAGCCTGATAGCTAGGGTGCTGTGGTGCAGTAATACACAATTCATTTGTTGTGAGTTTGGCATAGGAGTGCATTTTGACGTATTTTACGCAACTCAGCCATTCAGATTTTAAGACTGGAACTATCCATTTTATAATAAAATATCAGTCACTTTGTTTACGAATACAAAATATCCAAATATGTATCCATGTGTGAAATAAAAACTACTCATTTTTATATTTTACAGTTAATCTTTCCAATGTTTAGTGCACTCTAACAATACATTTTGGTGGAATATATCTTTATATTAAATTTCACAGGCTGCCTATAAACAGCTTGTTGATGTCTACTGTACGTTGCTTGACCCAGATACCGCTCTCTGGCTGTGGAGGAGCAACTTGATTCCTCCTGACTCAGTAAGAATCTAATGCCTCGGGCTGTCACATGCTCCTCAGCCTCCTCTCCACACTCTCAAACGTTCAAGGTCAAGATGAGAAAAACAGTTACAGTAAATAACTTTCGCACTGCTCTGAAAACAGGCCGCAAAAGAAGTGAAGGACAGAGCCGAAAGGAAACTTTTACAGCAGGAGCAGCTTTGGTGAGCAGTATACAGTGGGAGGCCCAAAACTCTACATCTATGATAACAGGTGGAAGGACATGTTAATATGGGTAAAGATATTATTCTGTGTGCCGATCAACATATAAAGGTCTTTAAACGCCTTAAACAAGCACCATGAAAACCTGAACTATCACTACATCCGTTGTAAACATGCTCATCACATACTTTGGTGGTGCTACAGTATCTTGAGTTTTTCTGGTTTAAAGACTAGGACAACCCCCTTCTGATGATGTATCTTGAAGGCGGAAGGAACTTCTGGGGGGGTGGGCTGTTTTCAGACTTTTTTTTTAAGGTAGATGGCGAATGTAGTAGGAACGCAGATGGCTAACGTCACTGCTAGCAAGCTGAACATCTTATTGCAGCAAAATAACTGTAGTAACTTCCTTCAAATCATCATACACGTGAATGGATTGCTCAAATGACAGAAATGACTGGTCAGATGAGGCCAACAAGTGGAAAGTTAGCAAGTTATTGGGGTATTTTACCTCAGGTTAGCGTCTTTTAGCTTGCTTAAAAGGTCAGCAACTTGTCTCTGGTGTCCATTTTGTGCTGAATAAAGACAGAATTGCTGTTTTTTTATGATTTTGTTCAATGACTGAGGTAAGAATTACACCGACGTTAGATTGGTTGTATTTATGAGCCTATAGCTTTAGCCAACTACAGCTAGGATAGCAGTCAGGATTTGTTGACACCACATGGAGGCTGAATATTGTAGTGAAGAACCATTGATGAAGAACAACATGAAAACTATAAAACTGTGAATTCTGTCAAACTTATAAGGCTGAGGGATACAGTGATGTGCTGCAGAATACTGCATAACATGACAACTAACATTAAACTGTAGCTTTAGATGCAGCTTCAAAAGCTGGCTATATACAGGGTGATCAAAAAGACCCATCTGATTTTGAAATGATTTATTTCACTTATAAATCATTATAGAACAATGCAGTAAACTGTAAATGGTTTAGTTGAGTATAACATTTATTGTGTAATTGTACAAGTGCTCAGTATGAACCTCCACCAGCTGTATGGACATCAACGCCATAGTCAAATTTATCCATACTGGATTGAGCATGTTGGGTGTGGCTGCACTTACAGCTCTTTCAGTGCAATTTCGGAAATCGTCCAGTGTTGTGGAACCAACAACGAACGCTCTGAACTGTTGGAACTTCACTGCCGATGAAAATCACGTTGCACAGTTATGATGGATTCACTCTTATTGAAGTGGAGAACGCAGAGAGCTTTCTTCTCAGGGGTCTCCAGGGTCTGCTTCAGTCTCGCAGACTTAAGGGAGCCATCTTCCGGTGACAGTCAGAAACTCTATGACCCCCTCTTAAAATTGGAATGTGATTGGTTCCTAAATGCCTTACGGTTGTAAAAATATGGTGCTTTGAAATCGGATGAATCTTTAAGGAAATCTGTAAGGAAAACACCCCATTTTTGCCCATTTTAATTTTTTTACATAATTTTGCTGTCCTTTATATAGTGTGAAAATAAATAAACCTATAATAAAATAAATAGACCAATAGAAATGCCCCAGAGATGCATGCAGGCATGCATATAGGTATGTATACACACACATGTGTATAGGTATATATGTGTAAAAGACTGTGCTGTGTTTCTGAATGTAAGGGATATATATATAGGTCAAATTAGTCTGCTTGGGAGGAGTAAGGTGGTGGTGGTGGTGGTGGCAGGCGGGCGTGGGGGGGGGTTCAAATGAGCCAGATGCCAACAGCATAAGAAAGGGAGGGAGACGAGAAGCACTACACACTCAGAACAGTGACAGAAAGCTCAGCTGACTTTAAGTAGCTGCTTTGAAAGTCAGTCAAATTTCTTTTTCACTCTAAAACATTGAAAAGTTAGAAGGTGGATATATAATATCCTGAGAAGACAAAGAGGTGAAGGCTACTCATGGCTGTGGCTAACCTTCGTCCTTCAAGGGGCTTGGCAGCATCCTGGGAAATGGAGAGAGGGGACAATGAGAGAAGGAGAAGAGAAGGAAGAAATGGAAGTAGCTGGATGGACCTGAATAACACAGCGAGCTCCACAGGAGAGGATGAGGAGGTAGAGGAGCATCCAAGAGGCAAGGAAAATGGAAAGAGTGATCATCATAATGTGGCACTTGATGATGAGGGTGGTGATGATGACAGTGTTGCTACGTCTTCTGTCTTGAGTGATGATGATAACAGCAACAATACTTGTTCTGATGATCATGATGATGATGGTGGTGGAAGTGGTGACCATAATGGCAACAATTTTGTTCTTTTGTCGACCAGAGAAGATGCTGATGACACCGCAGCTGGAAGTGATGAGATCCACAGGTTGGGTACTTTCAATTCTTCTATAGATGAAAATGACCAGAGAACAGAAACCACTTCCAAACAAGGGTTGGAAATGGACGTTTCAGAGAAGAGCTCAGAGGATGAGGAATATGATGATCATGATGATGATGACACAAATGATGAAACCAGTGAGGAATATGAAGAATATCCAGAAAAGCTATACTGCCAGCGTGCCTACTCAAAGAAGGTCTTCCAAGCTTTGGAAGAAATGAAACAGTCCTCTTTCTTCACTGATCTCCTCATAAGCACTGAAAGTGGGTTTAGCTTCCAGGCTCACTCTCTGGTCCTGGCAGCAGTGAGCACCGTCATCCAGAAGATGCTCCAAGAAAGGAATGAAGAGAAGATGTTTCTACGTTTGGGTCCAGAGGTGTCTGGTTTGGGACTGTCTGCAGTGCTGGAATTTGCCTACACTGGAGCCATCACTGGTCTGGACAGAGAATCTTTAGCTCAGATTCAGATGGCCGCTCTCTGTCTTGGAGTCTCCAGGGTTCTGGAGCTCTGCAATAAAGAGGAGAAGAGGGGGAGAAAGAAAGATGATGGCAAAGAGATGGTGGAAAACGTATCTGTTGAAGAGGAGTTAAAGCTCAGTCTGGAGTCCATTAGGCAGCTGTGGGAAGAGAGAGTGGGATGTGATGTGGAGCTGGAGGCAGAAGGAAGAATATTTCGTGGTAAGATACGAACAAATCACACAGTTAATACAGCCTGTTTATCACAATGTTTCATGAAGGTCCCGTGGAAAAATTCCGAAACCCTTTTCTTGGCACAATTAGTACTGAACAGCAGTCGAAATAAAAGGTTAAATCACGCTTGAAATTTTGGTCTGAACACAAATACAGCCCAAAATTGTTCCGTCCAAGCTTGAATTGATCCATAATACAAAGTTTTTGGTCTGAAACTGACCCAAGCTCAGGAAAATTCTGTCAAAAACTGACCCAAACTGGCCCACCATCATCCAAAGTGCTTAAATGAAACCTGACATTTCTAATCATCTAGTGTTTCTAAGCATCTAGATTATGTTTTTAATCTACACACTTCAAGGGTTCTTTAGCAAAGAAGACGGTGCTATATAGAACCATGCGCACTCAAAGAACCCTTTGCATGATCCAAGGGTTCTTTGAATCTTGAAAAGGTTCAGATCGATGGAGAATGTGCTGTAGATGGATCTATATAGAAACTTGTAAAAAGGGTTCTGTATAGCACCGAAAAGAGCTCTGCTATTGTTACAAGCTCATAACAATAACAGAACCCTTTTTGGTGCTAAAGGTACCCTTGAATCATTGAGTGTTCATGGTTCTATATAGTACCATTTTCTTACTAAAGAACCCTTGAGGAACCTTATTTTTTAAGTAGTTTGTTGTTGTTGTATGTTATGCAGTATTCTGTAGTGCAGCATGGCATCCCTCAGCCTCATCAGTTTGCCAGAACTCACAGTTTTTCATCATTTTTGTATTTTCCTTCATTCTCTCAGTATAATACCCAGCATACATCATGCAATTGTAAATTCCTGGGCTGCTCAACAAATCCTGACAGCTAGACTGCTGGTCTAGGGAATTTAGCTCAGGGGTCGCAACCTAAATGTTAAGAAGAGCCATTCTGTCCTTTCAGCAAAAATCAAACCACCTTGGAAGCCACAACATTTTATGTCCATTTTACCATCTTGGCTGTAAATATGTCTCAGTGTGTGCTGATGTCCTAATATAGACTAAAAAATATAATCTAAATGAAAGCGCACTTTCATTCTCTCTATGGCGCCAGAATGTAACTGCTGCACCATTTAAAGTAGAACAGGACAATTCGAACAAGAAGCTGGTGAATGAGAAACTGACTTCAGCTTCATGACTTTTTAGTGTTTGACAGTTTCTCATTGCAAATTAAATGTATCAGGAAACCAGCGGGAGTGATTATAAATGCAAAAGTCTCCAAATTATCGATGTTGGTCTCTCTGGAACTCTTTCTCTTTGCCATTTCGTTAGCTACTAGCTACACGAGACTGTTGTCTGTGTTGCTATGCTGGGCACAGGCTTATGTGTAATATTTCTGTTAAATAACTAAAACATGAAATGTAAACCTGAAAGTAATGGGTATTCCTTTTCTGATCATTCCCAGCACACAAGGTCCTCCTGATTGCAAGCAGTGACTACTTCCATGCCATGTTCAGCAGCGGTATGAAGGAAAGCCAGCAAACCTCAGTCGCCCTGCTACTGGTAGGAGCACCAGAGCTGGGAATCCTGCTCGAGTGCTCGTACAGTGGTACTCTGGCTCTGGACTGGGGTATCGTGTTTGAGTTGACCTGCACTGCCCTTCAGTTCCAGTTCCAGCCTGCTCTCTCGCTGTGCCTCAGTTTTATGCAGCAGGAAATGGATGCCCACAGTTGTCTGGATGTAGCAGCCTTTGCTGAGGCTTATGGGATGAGTGACTTGCAAGACATGGCGGAAGACTTTGTCCTTAGACATTTTGAGGAGGTAGCGGCCACGCTGAAGTTCCAGGACCTTCCAGCGGAGAAGCTGAAGACATACCTGCACAGCAATTCTCTTTGTGTTGCATCAGAGCTGCCTGTCCTCAAGGCAGTCATATCTTGGATTGGGGCCAATCCCAGGAGACGAGTGAGAGAAGCCAGAGAGCTGCTGGCAACTATCCACTTTCCCCTTATGACCTTCAAGGAATTCAAAGAAGTGAAGGCCATAACCTCATGGCCAAAAGTCAGCACTGAGGACCTCTACGACTCCCTGCTAGAGGAGTTCTGTTCCAGTACCTTTAATGTCCACTCAGACTTCAGGACCTACCTTCCAAAAGAAGCCCTGGTCCTTGTTGGTGGTGAAAGGATCACAGAAGACTTTGATAAACGCACACCCTGTAGGGAAATCTGGTTCAGCAACTCCTTCCGTAACCACGTTGGCCTAATGAAGAGGGTCGAATGGAGGCTGCTGGGAGACTTGCCTGAGAAACCGAGATTCAGTCACAGTGTTGGAGTGATAAGAGGAAATCTTTACATAGTTGGCGGACGCCACTATTATGGAAAGACCGACACCATGAAATGCACCTATAGGTAGTACAGCAAGTTTCTACTCAATTTGCATGAAGTTCAAAGATCTTTACTCAGTTTTTCTGGTTCATTCCTGCCATATGCCCTTTACTACAGGTATGATCCCATGCAGAACAGCTGGCAAAGGTTGGCTGATATGCAAGAGCGAAGAAACAGCTTTGCTCTTGTGGTTTTGGATGAAAGAATATACGCCATAGGTGGAGACAAAGATTCAGAGGCCAATATAGAGAGTGTAGAAGCTTACTGCCCAAATATAGACTCTTGGAGGTAAGAACACAGAGATTTATGTTAATAATTACACTTAAAGGAGAATTCCTGAATAAAATGTATGCGCAGACAGAGTCATTCAGAGTGATTTGGTGTGAAATGGTTAAATGTACAGACTGATTTCTTTACAGTGGTGGTGATAGGAACCAGGGGTCACCATGACTACAACACAAATAAAGACATTTTATTTACATTCCAAAACCACAAGTGAACCTACAAGAATAACTTTTCTTTTGGGGACTATTTTGCCGTACGATGCCCTGTATATACCTGTGGCATGCACCTGTCCCCTGAGCCCCGATGACAGCTGTGAGAGCCTGCAGGCAGGTGGGGCCTGAACAGCGAGCAGTGATGAAGCCTGGCGAGGATGGCGGTAAGAGGAACACAGCGAGTCAGGTGTGACGGCATGTGAGTCCCGAGCCCCGCCTCCTGGGTGCCGCTTCTGGTCCCACAGTGAGGCCACTTCAGTTTGCCTCATGTTCGGCCCGGGTGGACGAGCTGTGGAGTGGTGACAAGGAGGCAGAACGCGGAACTCGGAACTTGTGCGCCGTTCCCCCACTCACTCGCTGTGTTCCTCTTTCCGCCGTCCTTGCCGGGCTTCGTCACCGCTCTGTGTTCGGGCCCCGCCTTCCTGCAGGCTCTCGCGGGTGTCATCAGGGCCTGGGGGGGTGGGTGCATGCCACAGTACCTCTCTGCCAAGAATTGCATCTTGCATCACATTTATAACCATTTTCTTTAATAACTTTATATACAATATTTCTAAGGAGATTAAACAGAAGATAATCTACTTGCATAAGGAAGAGGAAAAGTAAGTAAATGAATAAATGAATGATGTTAGCAAGACCTTTAAGACATTCTGTTCTGATTCCTTCTTTAGCTATGTTCACCCTCTGGACCAACCCCTAAGCGGCCATGCTGCCAGTGTATGGAATGGAAAGATCTTCATCTCAGGGGGCTTTGACTGTAGATATCAGTGCCTGGTATCCATGCTGCTCTACCACCCAGACAAAGGTACCACATACCTGGCGGACATGTCCCAGAGCCGGGCCCAGCACTGCATGGAAACCTTTCAGGACCGCTTATATGTAGCCGGAGGAGTCTCTGATGCTGGCGGACAGGTGGTTGATCAGCTGGCCTGTGAGTTCTATGACCCAGTTACTGACTTCTGGGCCGCCATTATGCCCATGTCCGTCCCCCACGTCAGTGCAGCATCTGCAGTGTTGGAGGGAAAGATCTATATCATCGGAGGCTACTGCCAAGAAGACTACAGCGACACAAGGCGGGTGCACAGGTACGACCCTGCAACACAGTGCTGGGAAAACATGTGTGGAACGCCGGGCCCCACCACTTACATTGCGGCTTGCGTCTTGCCTATACCTCCTCACCTTAGGCAACTATAGAGAAACTGACTGGCTGACTGATGCGGCGTGTGCAAAAGTTTTGCCACCCCGGTCAGGTTCCAACATTTGCACATTTTAATGGACAATTGCTGTTATTTTGCTGATTTGAACACATTTTGGGGAAAAAAAAACAAATACGTAAAGTTAGATGTTTTATTTGCCATTATGCTAAACTCAGCAAATACAAAATTAACACAACCATATTTCAAAACTCAAATTACATATTTAGTTGATTTTTTAAGTGAAAATAGGCCAATTTATGTGCACAATTTCTATTCATATAAATTTAAGGTTCTGGAATGAGCATAAAATATAAAATGAAAATGAACATAAAGTATGTATCATAATGTATCATAACCTTTGCACAGGCAACATTTTATGCTTTATTTTCCCCCCAATGTGTTAAATTTAAGTATGGTCCCTGTATGGGTTGTGTCTGTTTATTTTCACTTTGAAAAAGCACCAAAAATTTGATTGGGACACCTAAACTTTTTCATATGACTCCATGGAAATGCTGCCCCACACTGCTAAAATGTTGCATTTTTTTGTATTCATATGTATGGAAGAGCAGGGTTAGTTGGCACGTTGTTAACTTTCAGGTCAGGATGAGGAGCTTTCACCAAAGTGTAAAATAAAAATGATTGCTCTTTGGACCAATGTTCAAAATCCCTGAAAAACAATGAAAAACAGTGTTTATTTGTATTTGCTTTAATGTTGTGCCAATCTTCCCCATGTGCCAACTAATGTACACAACATGAACTAAACCTAAACTAAATATTTTGTGACTGTCTTTTTGAACTACAATGTTCAGCTTTTAATTGTTGGGTTATGCTAATGTATGATATGTCTGAGATATGTGGCAAAGAATGAAAACTGTGCCAACCAACCCCGCTCCCCCAGATACATGTGTGCTAATGTATGATATGTCTGAGATACGTGGCAGAGAATGAAAACTGTGCCAACCAACCCCGCTCCCCCAGATACATGTGTGCTAATGTATGATATGTCTGAGATACGTGGCAGAGAATGAAAACTGTGCCAACCAACCCCGCTCCCCCAGATACATGTGTTTTATCAGAAATCAAGGTACTTTTGAGCTTTAAATCAGAATTAAATTTGAATTCCATCTGCAAGAAAAGGCCTTGAAAGTTTTATTCTAGAAGTGGTATTCTTGTTATCACCTATGTAATAATCTCACTGTGTTTTTATTAGCAAAATGTATTTTTATGGTAGATTGCTTGGGAAAATGTGATAAAACTAGCTTGGTTGGCAACACTTAATAATAATAATGATAGTTTATAAGACATCTGTTAATTATTACTAAGTAATAAATCATGAACAAGCCAGGTATTAGTCATTTATTATTAATTAATGGATTCACATAAGTTTATAAAAGACATAAAAGCTGTTACCTCACAATAAAGAAATGAGCTTCTATGTAATATTTAACAAATCATTGCCTGACCTGTATTTTAATCATTATTCGTTTATAAAGTTTGCCTACATGTGCTAATACATGCATTTTCTCTTACTTTATAATTAATAAAGCGTGAATAAATCATCAATTCAGGTAATTCTTCTTCTTATTATTATTATTATTATTATCAGTTTGTAAACACTCACATAAAATATTCACTAATCTCCACTATTAGTGAATATTTTATGTGAGTGTTTACAAACTGATAATAATAATAATAATAATAATAATAATAACAATAAGAAGAGGAAGAAGAAGAAGAAAAAGAAGAAGAAAAAGATATGTGTTTTGTAAACCTCAATAAAAATAATGCTAAAAACTTCAAGCCTCCAAATGATTTGGTGAACATTGACCAATAGCAGTGATTTTCTTGGTTATATTTTACATATTATGTATAAATGATATATAATCTATCTGCAGCATCTTTGTGAAACCATTCAGTTTCTGTAAATATCTATAAACGACCACAAGTCATTTTGCAAACTTCACTTTATGCTAGTTAAGCACGTCGGTGTGATATTTTCAGTTTTATTGAACTTAAAAACAAATACTGCAAACAAAACATGAAGCAAATGATGACAGATAAAAACAAACAGCAACATAAAATAAAATCCATAAGAAAAATACTGAGTATCAAAATGTCCAAAATATGTCGCAAATACAAATAATGAGTTAAATCAACTTAATTCTTCAAAAAGATTACTACTCATTTTCTGATATTAATTTATCACTAATTTTGCCATTTTTTGCTTCAAAAAATCTGTTTGCTGATTTTGCTGGTATATTTTTTTTTGCTTCTGGACTCTTTCTTTTGCTTCTGACTTTGGGCTCTTTTTAAAAAGGGGTGGGTCTTAGAAGTGGACGTTATCTTGCACTCTCTATTAGTCAGCTGATTTGGAGTGACAGGCCTCCTGAACACGTGGCCAATTAACTCCATAAAACTGCCCCCTGCTGTCCTATTTATACCCTGTTAATATTCCAGCTCAGATCTATAATTCTTAAAAAGATAAGCTTGATTTTTCCACCTGAGGGGGAAAAACTTCAAAAACCCACAACTGAAAAATCAGCATTGAAATTTTGCACTAATGTGTAAACTGTAGTTTTTGCTTGAATTTTGTTCATGGAAAACTATGAAAGGACCTGCTAAGCCCTGTGAGTTGGCATCGACTGAACAAGAAATCCTAACCCTAGACTTATAAATGCAATGAAGTGCACCTTAGGGCCCCACTTTACATTGAGCTTCTCTAATAACAGTGTCATTACACATTAATTAATACATTTAACAACAATGGAACTACTATTTACTGTTATGGATGGATTACAATATATAAATACATGTGTATCAACTTCAGTTTTCACTCATGTAATCTTAATAGTTGCAACAGCATATTTTCTCCTATGTAATTACATATGTATAACAGAGTGAACTGTTTTTTTCCTCAATTTTATGAATATTCTCACAGTTACTAAGCACAAACAAATACTCACAGAGAGTTTATTAACAGAAAACAGCTAATTGCTAATACTTTGGGTATATTTGGTAACATTCATGTTCATTAAAGTATAATAGTGTTATTAAATAGGTTGAGTCTAAACAAAGGCCTACTGTTAAAAGCATAGTGAGCAAAACACTTGAAATTTTTGAACTCTGAACAATGCATGAAAAGGGTTTGTGCCCAAACATTTGACACATCCTGTTTATACATACATTGATGGTTAACATTCATTAAGCTCTGCTTAAATTAAGGCCTTATAATGCAAATTACAGTCTATAGGGGAAACAATGAAAAGACGTTCTCTGCAAAGTGCTCTTGGAACAAAACTCATGTTTAGCTTTATGATATCAATTCCTAGATTTATGCAGGACCGATATAATCATCTTGTGATCTTGAGAGGTGATGCATTAACCCAAAAAGAGGTCTATTATACCCATAGCTGCTATACAGTATTATTGTTGGTAGCTATTTGAGCCATTTTTAGAGATACACCACATAAAAAACAGCCCACATCATGGAAAAGTGAACTTTTTACATATATAAGTCTTAAAGGCACAGTAACAAAAACAGGCTGTTTAATTCTAAGGGACGAAGAGAGTTTGGAAGATGGTCAGGTAAACATGAACTACATATAACCACATGAAATCCATAAACAGACCTCAAGAAAAGTGTAAGATTTGGGCTACAGCCAGAAAGAGGCTGTTCACACTGTCATTAAATGGGATAAAGCAGATACCCAGTGAAGGTGGAGTAGTTGTAACGGTAATCCACAAAGACCCAGGAGCGAATCCAGAGCCGCATGTGCACCTGTTCTCCAGTGTCCAGTTGCATGACCGCTCCGTTCGACGCATTATCGTTTTTCTCCCCTGAATTGTACTCATATGACGATACGAATCGTGAGCCGCCTTTAAAGATGCTCAGACCCATGTCGTGGGAGGCGAAAGCATTTCCGGAGTACCTGAAGTAGTACACTCCTTTAACAGGGGCTGTGAAGACACCTGGAACAGGACAGGTAGACTGAATCAGAAGGTAGATAGATAGATAGATAGATAGATAGATAGATAGATAGATAGATAAACAGACAGAAAGACAGACAGACAGACAGACAGATAGATAGATAGATAAACAGACAGAAAGACAGACAGACAGACAGACAGATAGATAGATAGATAGACAGATAAACAGATAGATACATAAATAGATAGATAGATAGATAGATAGATAGATAGATAGATAAACAGATACATAGATAGATAGATATAGATAGATAAACAGAGAGAAAGACAGACAGACAGACAGACAGATAGATAGATAAACAGACAGAAAGACAGACAGACAGACAGATAGATAGATAGATAGATAGATAGATAGATAGATAGATAGATAGATAGATAGACAGATAGACAGACAGATAAACAGATAGATACATAAATAGATAGATAGATAGATAGATAGATAGATAAACAGATAGATACATAAATAGATAGATAGACAGATAGATAGATAGATAGATAGATAGATAGATGGATAGATAGATGGACATTTTCCTTCCAGCTGTAATTCACAATTACTTGATGTTTGTTTAAATTTAAAAATAAAACAGTAAAAAATGTAGCCACTCTTTAAAAAGGTTTAAAGTCTTGTAAAGTCTCTTTTAAAGTCTCGGAACCTAATTAGCTTGTTAAGCCTAATAATCATTAGGCCACTGATGACTATTGTGGAGTGTAATCAATTCTCTGACTCTTCAAACCTTGTGCTAACCTAACACCTGATGCAAGAACTATTCAAAACTAAGGCAAAGAATATGCATTAGGTTACACCGTAATGCTTAAGTATTGTGTAGAAACCTGTTGTTCCATCGTATGCGCCTCCAACGTTGGTGAGAACTTTATCAAATATCAGTTTCGTCTCGGAGGAGAATGGCCCCCGGTGTGAGTTCACTGTGGAGGTCATGGAAGCTGTGAAGGCCACTTTAGGACTCTCTGGAAGTAGAAGCAGCAGCAAAGTATTAGGAAGCATCCTTAGTTTAATGTGATCTCTCACACAGATACAAATCCTGACTTCTGCCAGAAAATAAAAGCTTAAAGAATGCAAATTTTAACTTCACCACTGTCAAGCCATGTATGGTCTGAAATGGTGAAATCATGGCTAAACATGTAGTTGTTTTCAGAAAAATCAAGGCATGCATCTTTAGTATCGTTGTTTTTTCCAAACAAGTGGACGGCCATTCAAATTAAGCCTATTAAGTAACCGTCAGGTAAATCCTGCAGTGGCATTGTCTACAAAAGAGGCCTTAGTCTAAGATTTTCTGCTTTAGAGAACCAAGCGTGAAGAACATCCCCACAATTTAGAGCAGGGCTGCCTAATGTGTGGACTGCAGGCCAAACTTTGTCCATAAGTGTTTGAATTGGCCCAATTAGAGAAGAAACATACTTTTATACTAGGTATAATCTACCTTTTTTTTTTCTTCTAAAACTTTACTTTTGATTTTAGAAACAAAAAAAAAATAGTGTAATGTTTGAAAAATATATTTTGAAACCTACCTACCAATTTATTTGTATATGCACTTAGCAGATAAACCTTGCACTTTGGCCTGCCAAGACAAAAAGTGGACTCTTGTAAAGGTTCTAGAAAGAACCTTTAAACTAGTAAAGAGCCTTTACATAATTACATCTCATTTGCAAACAGTTCTTCAGGGAACAAAACTGGTTCTTGGAGAGGACCTTCAGCACTTACCTTCGATCTGCTGCTTCAGATTATACACCAAACTCTTTTGCTCGGTCAGTTCACTCTTCACAGCATTGAGCTGTTCGGTCAGTCCCTCCACCACAGCCTGGAGCTTCAGAAACTCAGTGTGGATATTCAGTGCTGGCTTCATGAAATCCACCTCCTCACCTTCACAAACACACAGCAGCGTGAACAGAAAGATCTGAATCAGCTGCATTATTGCTGTTATAGTCGTCGCTTCCCTCACAGCAACTACAAGTCAGTGGTCGTAAAGTCTGAATGAAGTCTGACGTTGGTGTTTGTGCATCTCAGTATTTGTAGTATGTACTGTTGGTTAATGATTGCTAGCCTTTTTGTTTAGAGTTCAGCAACTGTGTCAGTTCAAACTGAAGAGATAAAAACTTTCCAGGATTTCACAAGTTAGGACGATAACCCAGATATTTTCTGACTGGAAATGTTCCTGTATCTTGAAATGATTTGAAGGTGTTTGTTTTAAGCTTTAAAAATTCTAGTGTCAGAATTTTACAATCTATCCTAAAAGATAGTCAGCCAGTGCAGCTCTTTCAAAACAGGCGTGAAGAATTGTAGAGGATATATTGTTTTCTTAAGTAAACCCAGTAAAAAGAGCCAATATTAACAAATTTCTCTGCATCCCTCTGAGAGAGCGATATTTCTCAAAAGATAAAAACCCTATTTTAGTGTTTAAATGTGGGTTAAAGCAGAGGTCAGAGTCTAAGATCACACCCAGGTTTCCTACTTGCAGTTTGGAAAGAAGCTTTTTTTCTGAATTTTACTTCCAAAGATCAGTATTTAAAGATTTTTATGATACAATTATAGTAATAAAGCCAGTCTTGATTTTCAAAGCATAGCTTGATTTTGATTAGTCTCCTAATGACACCATCTAGAGCAAACATACACAGACAGAAAAACAAAGGCCCTAAAACTGAAACTTGTGGGACTCCACAAGAAGCATTAAAATCCAAATAATCCCAAACACATTCAGAAATGTTAAGGTCTGGACTCTGGGGTGGTCAGTCCATTGTTCAGCTTCTTTGTTTGATGTGTCTGTCTCCTTTTCTCAGTGAGGTTCTTCTTGAACAGCTACACATCCTTTCAGACCCACAGCGCTGAGTCGTCTTCTCACAGTGGAAGGATGGACAGAAACACCTGTGGATGTTTTCAGATCTGAAGCAGCTTGATTTTCTCCTCTCTCTCAAAGATGAAAGCTTTAAGTGCTGTTTATCTGATGGGGGCAGTTTTGGTGTCTACCAGGTCTTCCACGTGTAGCTTTTTGAACAGTTTTTCACATTTTTTATGCCTACTTCAGTTATTAACCTGTGCTGGTCTGCACCATCTAACTTACTGTTGTGCCACCTGACTTTTCAGACTAATTTCAAATATCTACTTAAGACAACTGTAGAAACCTTGGAACTTGAATTTATACAAACATGTTTTCAAATAAATAAACATTACTATAATAATTACACATTTTAATGGTTCTCCTGAGGTCAGACCACCTGACATGGTAAACTGAACCATTCTAACCACAACTTAAACATCACATTTTTTACTAAATCTGTGAAAGGGCTGCTGACCTTGGCACTGTACCATGAAAATCATTTGGGGTTTTCTTTATGATGCAACACACTGGTTACTCTTTTGTAAAAGCATCTTAAAATAAAAGCGTTTTCAGGTTGTGCCCCCGGACATTTAAGGAATTAAGAGCTTGCAGACAAAAGTATTTCAATGAGTTGAGTACTTTTAATGTTGCCCAATTTTGCCACATGGTCTTTATTTTAAACTTTTTCAAACATAAAATCATGCCAAACTATTTTATTTAGATTTTTATATAAGTAAATTACCTTTTTTGGTAGTTTACTTAATCAACATATCTGGTTGGATGGCTGCACCACCTGACATTCTTAGACTTTTGGAAGCAAAAAAAAAACTAAAATTAATTTTATATGGGTGCACTTAAAAATGGTTTCACATAAAAGAGCCATTGTTAAATAACTTGATATACTGCTGATGATATTCTCTATCACTGCCATACAGTGATCTGTAATACCCATATTATTGCATCAGTACTATAGTGTAATAAACTATAGCAACTGTCTGAATTTACTGTAAGATTCTCATAGACATTCTGGTGGTATTATAATAGATCTTTTTAATGATGGCATATTAATGTTTCCATTTTATTAGATCACCATTCAACATAATAAAAGTATAATAAGAGAAACTTTAAAATGGAGTTTAGACTGACTTATTCAGACTGGTTTCTTAGCAGCATAGAAACATTGAACAAAAGCATATAACACAAAGCAAACAAAATCAAATGTGTTGTTATCCGAAAAGAAAAAACATGAAATATCATCTCAGTTTAACAACTACAACACCCTGCTGTTTTTTTGTCATTCAGTTTTCCCACTGTTCCTGATTTTGAGGTAAAGAGGAAGCATATTTGAACTTTTTTCCCTTCAAGAGGGATCCACAGTGAGGGTGCTCCATGTGCTCCAAGCTGCACTATGTACGTTTTGGGGATTTGGAGACCTCTCTGGTGGAAATATGTAAATGCACAAAATGTGTGGAGGAACATTTTGTAGCGTGGGACCCCTTCCCCGAGGGGATGAATCGAATGATTGAAAGCACATTCAAAGAGAACTCAATTGATGTATGTAAACATGTAAAAAAATAATAAATATCAAGATAATGTGCGTCTCACAGTGCCTTAAATTCCACTGATTTTTCAGCACCTCTGCATATTAGACAGTGAAGATGTAAGTCATTCAGAGTGAAATGCTTGGGTCTAGAGAACCTCTTTACAGTGGTAGTGATAGAAACTGGACGTCTGAGGAGTTTCAGGGCTCTAAAATCTCCCTCACAGAAAGTTTTTACATGAAATGGTTCTGCATGACGTCTCAGACATTGTTTTACGATAGTTTTGAGAAGCTTTTGGCCTGAAATGCAGGGTGTTCTAAGGCAGAAAAACATTTTTTTATAGATTTCCACTATTTTACCATCAATATTAGATATTAGCGCTCAGAAGACACTTGTAAAATGTCTTTATTTGTGTTGAAGATGTTGTGACCCCTGGTTCCTATCACCACCACTGTAAAGAAATCTGAGTCCCTAAGTTTCTCTACAGCAAACTATTTCATACCAAATTACTGAATTATGCAGAAAATTTGAAAAATCTGTTTGAGCTTTTTGTAACTTTCAGTTACTTTAATCTGCGATTGTACCAGAAGTATCTTAACTTAAGCGTTACCTTAACAGCATTTTCAACAGAGCTTTCTGCCCCTCTCACTTTCTCAAACATGCAGGCAAGCGGAGCAAGCAGGCCCGTATATCTGTGACAGGGCCTGCCAGCTTGCCCATGTTCTCCCATCGTTGAGTGACGGGGTCATAGCGATGCACCAGCCTGGCCTCACTGTAATCTTCCTGGCAGTAACCACCCAGAATGTACACCTTCTCCTCCAGGACGGCAGAGGCTGCTCCCACATGGGAGAGGGGCAGAGGAGTAAACATGGTCCAGGAGTCAGTTATAGGATCATAGCTTTCACAGAGCAGCTGGTCGGTGTAGAACTTCCGCAGGTTGCACACCCCTCCAGCCACATAGAACCGGTTGGCCAGGTTCTCCATGCAGTGCAGGGCCCGGTCGTGGGCCATGTCAGCCAGGTAAGTGGTGCCTTGTTCTGGGTGGTAGAGCAACATGGAGACCAGGCACTGGTACTTGCAGTTAAAACCTCCCGAGATGAAAATCTCACCGTCCCAGACGACAGCTGCGTGGCCACTCAGGGGCTGATCCAGTGGGTGCGTGAAGCTAAAAGGCAGCAGCCAAATATCGATCAAGAAGTATTCTGTCTCCAAAAACACTAATGATGAATAAAAGCTTGTAGGTAACGATTAGCATCATACAAATTTCATACTGCAAACTGGCCTATGCAGCCTTTTATGATCATAAATCAAATATACTAAAACCATATAATGCTTTCACACATCATTTTGAGAAAAATTCTGAAGCAAGAAACTGACAGAACATTATTATTATATGCAGACATGGATAATTCTACTGAATTGGTGGAAAGTCAGAGTTCAAAATATACTTTTGATGACTGTGTTAAGCTGGAAGGGCATTTTGCTGGCATTGTTTGGGTCGACTTGTCTCCTTAGAGTAAACAGTCACTGTAAACCAATAAGAAATTATTCTGACTGGTTATCTTTATCCTCCTCTTGATGGAAGCGGTCTCTTTCAGAATGCCCCCATTTACAGAGCACATGGGTTCAATGAATGGAGCAGAAAAATGATGTAAATCATAAGCTATGGCTTTCGCATTTACCAGATCTTAACCCAGCTAAACATCTTTGAGATTCCCACCATCAACAAAATGCCATTTGAGAAGAGTGGTGTTCCATCTCTCCAGAACAGTTCCAGAGATATGTCGCATCTATGCTGAGGTGCACTGAAGCTGCTCTGGTGGCCCAAGAGCTTACTAAGACACTTCATGTTGGGTTGGCCAAAAATGATCACAATAGAAAGAATCAATGTGGCCATGGTGGTTTAAAAGGTTTACAGTAGATAAATGAAAGCTCTAATCAGTTAATACAGCTTAGACTTTGTCCCTTACCTCCAGGTGTCTGTGTCTGGTGAGTACTTTTCCACGCTGTCCAGATTGGTGTTGATGTCTCGGTCTCCTCCAATAGCGTATAGGCTGTCTCCTCTCACCACCATTATAAAGTTACTCCTCTTCTCCTGCATGTCCGGCAGTCTCTCCCAAGAGTTTTTTAAAGGATCATACCTGCGTCAGAGATATGTGAATAATGCAAATATGGATAAAAGTGTAATTAAATTGAATGAAATTCAACATAAAGTCTTTGAAAGTGACTTTAAGGAGCAAAGTCAAACTTGGAGACTAGTGGCTACTTGCACAAAGCATGTGGTGTACACTGGATATGTGGTGAGTGCAAAATGTGGTGCAAAAATCTGCTCACAGTGGAGATAGGAGCTAGATTTATGGAGCATTTAATGGATACTAATAACTCTGACATAACTAGGTTTCTATACAGTGGACCACCTCAGATGACTGTTTACATCTCAGTGACTTAGTTATGCAGGCCTCTTTAAGATGACCACAGGCACCAGTAATTCCAAACAAAGGGTTAGAGTTTATAAAAAGCTTTATACGACAATAAAAAGTTGTAAATATATACCTGTAAGCAGATTTCATTGTGTCCGCTTTGGCATAGTAGTGGCAGCCTCCTGCCACGTAGAGCTTCCCATTGAGGACGCTCACTCCATGCCTGAACCTGGCTTGCTCTGGTATTTCCCCCAGAATCCTCCACTCAATCTCCTTCACCAGCCCTACGCCACTGCGCATGGAGTTTGCGAACCACAGCTGCCTGCTTGGGAGCCGCAGGCCATTGTCTAGCTGGTCACCGCCAACGAGAACAAGGGCATCTTTGGGGTGGCGTACACGATCCCGCACCTTGGAACAGGACCCTCCAAATCCGAACTCTGTCAGCGCCGACTCATACAGCTCTACATCACTGTCACTATTGCATTCCATCTGCAGGTTGATGGCTCGGACCTCGCGGAACTCGCGGAAGGTCATAAGCGGGAAGCGCACTCCTGCCATCAGGTCATGCGCTTGAGGCAACCTCTCGTCCGGCTCGGCCTCGATCCACGTCACCACAGCCCTGAAGACGGCCAGCTCAGATGGAGCGCACAAGCTGTCTCGTCTTAGGAAGTCCAGCAGCTTCTCAGCTGGCAGGTCCTGGAACTTGGGAGTGGCCGCAACCTCCTGGAAGTGTACAAGGACAAAGTCTTCGGCTATCTCGAGCAAGTCGCTTATCATGTAAGCTTCGGCAAAAGCAACTACGTCCAGGCAGCTGTGGACATCGATGTGCTGCTCCAGGAAGTTGAGGCAGAGCGAGAGTGCAGGTTGGAACTGGAACTGAAGTGCGCTGCAAGTGAGCTCAAAAATGCAGTCCCAGTTGAGAACCACATCCCCTCTGTAGCTACAGTGAAGAAGGGCTTCCAACTCACGAGCCCCTATCAAAAGCAGGGTGACTGAGGCCTGCTGGCTCTCCCTCATGCCACTGCTGAACATGGCACGGAAGTAGTCGCTGCTCGCAGCCAGGAGGACCTTATGCACTGGAAGTGGACAGGAAATGCATTAATCTGAAGAATCTTTTCATGATGCCAGAGGTTCTTTGAGTGTTCATGGTACTGAAGAACCTTTGAAGAAGTGTGTATAGTTACACTGATTATTTTAAATATCTTTTCTTTACAGTGGTGGTGATTGAAACCAGGGGTCGCCATGACTACAAATATAGAGATTTTATTTACTATCCAATACCACCAGTGAACCTACACGAGTTTTTATATGTGATGTTGATAAAAGTCATGAATCTGAAAAAATACATATTATTAGGAACTATTTTGCCCTACAACATCCTATATGTACCTCCTCGCTGTAAACATACATAAAAATATATGTTTTAGGCCAAAATATTGTCTCAAACAATGTCTCAGACATCAGGCAGTGAATTTAGAACTATTTCATGTAATAACTTTCTGTGAGGGAGCTTTTAGAGGTGGATGTCTGGTTCCTATCACCTCCACTGTGAACAATTCTGATTCTCTAGAATGGAGCATTTCATACCACTTACCACTGACTGATTTTTTTTACGAATTAACTATTTAATAATGCCGTTGGTGGAAAATTCTTTGCATAATTGGTGGAATTCCTTCATTCTTTTGTGGCATTTTATATCTCCTTACCATGGTACACTTTTCCTTCAGCCTCCAGCTCCACATCACAGCCAACTCCCTCCTCCCAGAGCTGTCTGATGGACCGTAGACTGGCCTCCATCTGTTCTTCAGCAGAGATCTTCTTTATCTTTTCCACCTTCTTGCTTCCATCACTCTCTCTCTTCTTCTTCTCCTCCTCATCTTTGCAGAGCTCCAGAACCCTGGGGACCCCCAGACAGAGAGCGGCCGTCTGAATCTGAGCCAAAGATTCTCTGTTCAGACCTGCGATGGTTCCAGTGTAGGCAAACTCCAGCACTGCAGACAGTCCCAACCCAGACACCTCTGGACCAAAACGTAGAAACTTCATCTCTTCATTTCTTTCTTGGAGCATCTTCTGGATGACGGTGCTCACTGCAGCCAGGACCAGAGAGTGAGCCTGGAAGCTGAGCCCGTTCTCAACACCCAGGGTCAGGTCGGTGAGGACGAACCACTGCCTCAGTTCCTCCAGGGCTTGGAAGACCTCAGTTGGGTATGTATCTCTGTTGTATGTCTGTGTTTCCTGTTGCTCATTCCGCCCAAGCATCTCTTCGTCCCCTTTCGTTCTCCCATTCCTCATGTTCTCCATCTCTTTCTTTTCTTTCATCCCCATTCTGCTGTCATTGTAAGCCTTGATCCACTTCAACCTCCTATTCTCCTCCTCAAACTTCTCCCCTCCTTCCTCCATCACCTTCTTTCTTCGTTCTTTCTCTCTTCTCCACCTCTCCTCCCATTCCATGGGCAGGTATCGCCTTGTGAACTCCATGCTTGTTGACAGTCTCTGCACACAGATGAACCAGTAGGTGAACCTGCTTGTATTTAAATTCAGCTGCTCCTAACTTGGACCCTTTATTTTCTCTTGAACCCTTGAGTGCTCACGTGCCACCTCGAGAAACTCCCGGAGTAAACAACGTTCTAATTTTAGGTTGTGGGTCAGTAGATTGAATGTCTGTTGACCTGTGGTCTTTGCAGCTTTGGCAAGACAGTTGACAAGGCCAGACCGAGACCCAAACAAATCAGGCCCCTTTCGAGACCGAGACTTGTCTTAACCCCTCAAAATCCTAGGATGATTAGATACTAAGGCTAATTATTTAGCAACTACAGGGACTTCAGTGCAAACTGGCTGAGCTATTCTTAGGATATAAAAGTGTGTAATAAAACTTTGGGCCCACCAGTGGGCCCTGACCAGTGGTTGATGACCAGTGGGGTCTGGTTTAACAGCTTCCAGTCTAGATTTCCTGGTCTTCCCAAATTGTTTGGTGGAGTCATTTAAAAGTCTAGAGCTATTACTTTTATTTTGCTGTGCGCTCTTAAAAAAGATGGTTCTTTAAAAGTTCTTTAGTAAAGGAAATAAACTGTGACATCTACATAGAACCATTTCATGCTTGAATGTTTCTTTGCATGGTGAAATAGTCCTTGAGATTGATGGAGAATGTGGCGTACATGGTTCTATACAGCACCAAAAAGTGTTGTTCTTTTGTGTTACAAGCTAAGCTTAACATTATAATGATTGAAAAACCCTTATAGAACCATTATCAGAAAAGTTCCATTATACTGCACATTCTCCATCAATCTGAAGAACCATTTTACCTGGCAAAGAAGCATTTGAGCATAACACTGTCTATAGAACTCGTGGTTCTGAAGACAGAAGCCTTGGAGAAACATCTTTTTAAAGACTGTGTTGTTCAAAGGAAATATTATATATGTAGTGCATACACTCTTTAAAAATATGTCTCCTCAAGGGTTCTTTAATAAAGAAAATGCTTCTAAATAGAACCATGAACATTCAAAGAACCCTTTGCATGATTAAAGCATTTTTGCATGCCAAAAGGGGTTCTTCAGATTCATGGAGAATGTGTTGATGGTTCTCTACAGAACATTTTTGAGAAAGGTTTCTATGCAGTGCCAAAAAAGGTTCTTATTTTGTTACTAGCTAAGCTTGACATCATAACGACTGAAGAACCCTGATAGAACCATCATCAAAAAGGTTCCATTGTACTACACCTTCTCCATTAATCTGAAGAACCATTTCACCATAAAAAGAACCATTTAAGCATGAAATGGTTCTTTATAGAACTCATGGTTCTAAACAGAACCATTCCCTTTACCAGAGAATCCTTGAGGAACCATCTTTTAAGACTGTACTGTTTAAATGAAATAATACAAATTTATTGCATACACTTAAAAAGTAAAGTTCTTCAAGGGTTCTTTAGCAAAGAAAATGGTTCTAAATAGGACCAGGAACACAAAGTAGGAGCACTCAGCATTGTGAATTTGTTCTTCAGATTGATGGAAAATGTGTTGCACGTGGTTCTATAGAGAACTGTTTAGAAAAGAGTTCTATATAGCATAGAAAAGGGTTCTGCTATTGTTATGATGCCAAGTTCATAGCATGGTGCTATATAGAACACTTTCTAAAAATGTTCTATAAAAAAACCATACACAGCACGTTCTCCATCATTATGAAGAACCCTTTAATGATGCAAAGAACCCTTTAGTCATGCACATGATTTCTTTGAGTGCTCATGGAGAACCATTTTCTTTACTGAAGAACCCATGAAGAACCAGCTTTTTTTTTTTAAATGTGTAGCTTTGAACCAGCTGCAAGTCTGGCAGAGACTTTCTTCAGTCATTATTGACAGATTTGACTGTGGGTCCCCCTTGTGGTCATTGTTGGGGTTGCAGTCATACTGTTTACTGAGTCTATAAAAACCGTGTAGTTACACATAAAGAATATATACAACAGCAGTCTAATTAATGGTGAAATATGCACTGTTACAGTACATTAATTCAGCTTACAAGGACCCAAAACTTCTCTCCCTTTTTTTTTATATACAAACACTGATGTCTGGCTGAATAATTAAAAATCAAACCTGGACGATTTTATTGAATTTAAATTGATTTTATATTAATGCTTACCAATATAAGTGAGTACATTCTGTTGTATGTACACCTAAATATTGTTGTTGTTGTATAACTAAATATTTTGAAGACATGCACTACTTTGAGGTTTTATGTCATTATTGCCAGCTACTGAGGTATTGGTATTTGCATTTTGTTGCTTTGCTTAACTCCCATACAGTTTTAAGGCCATCAGTAAAGCAACAGTGAAAAGAAATACAATTTTTTTTTTTAAATCTAAATAAGCTAAAAAAAAAAAGAGATCAACATCGATAACAGAGAAACACATGTAGACACATTTTGGTATGAAATTACAAAAAAGTTTCAAACAGAAATATATTTTAACTTTTTACTGGACCGTATAGAGTTTTAAGTGTCCAACTAAATTATCTTAATAATTTTAATCTGCATGATTATTGTTGTCTTGGCTAATTCTATTTCTTATAACTACTGGTCTTCCAATAACAGTCGAATAGTTCTTAATAATAACAGCACAGTCCACTAATTTTGAAGAGTAATTATTAAGTGATTACCAAACTCCTAACTTTGATTAAAATGAGTTCAGATTAGACGTTAACCCTTAACAGTCCAGTTTTATAACATACTAAAGCTTATTATTCAGTAACAACAGAGACTTCAATGTAAACTAACTGAGTTATTCTTAGGTTATAGAAGTGTGTAATAAAACTTTGGGGTTAAACATGAGAGCTAAGGTAAATGTTTCTTGGACAGGAAGGACACGAGTCTTAATTACAGACTATTAATCCTGCTATAATCCAACACAAGAATCTTCTTAATTATATAAAGGTTGCACAGTCCCAATTTACATGATCTCTAATAACTGTGTAGTTACACATTAATAATGCATGGAACAATACTACTTGTGATATAATCGCTGTTCGATGGATTATAGCAGTACAGCTTATGTTAATACACAATAGTATCAACTTCACATTTAACCCATGTAATTGCACATATGTTGATAGTTGTACCAGCAAATATTCTTTTATGTAATTACACATGTATAACAGGGTAAACAGCTGACTTTTCTGATTGTAACAGGTGTGTAAATAGCTGTGTTGCAGCTTTAAACCATTCTGTAATGTGATGACAACTGCATAGCAACAGCAAGTGTCCGTTTATCTTTAAAAGACTGCTCTTTATGTACTGTACAATCACAGAGTTTAAACATTTGCTTGTGTTTTAGGTTGAACCTGCAAACCATTTTTCTCCCCAATATACCTTTATTTTCACTAACGGGTCACTTTATGACCTCTACCTCCTTACAGGTCAATTATACAGATAAACAATTACAGACTGTAGCCCATCTGTTATGCATACTTTGTCCACCACACTCTACGCTCTTCATTCATGGTCAGTTTGAGACCACAGGAACCACCACTGACCTGACAATATTTGGGTGCTGGAACATTCATGACATAACAGTGACAGTGACAGAGTGTGGGGCTGGTGTGAGTGGACCAAACACTGTGGTGTAGCTGGGGTTTTTACATGTCAGTATCACTGGTTGCCAGTAGACCACTACCCAAAAATATCCAGCCAAGAGTGATTCTGTGGTCAGACACTGACCACAGATATGCATAGCAACTGTGAATAACTGTACATCAGCGAGATATACAAGGCAATAAAGTCGTGAGTACAAGTGATATTGTTTTAAACCAAAAGGTGGCAGCATAGCATACCTAATTCAGGCAAAGCAAAAAGAACTGACCGTTTTGTCCAGTCACTCTGCCCACTCTGGTCTTTTCCAGACTTGCAGGCACACAGATTAAATAGCATGTTTGGAAAGGTATCAGATCAGGCGTGTATGTATTAATAAGGGCAAAATGCATATTATTGTAGTGTTAACTGGTAGAGTAGCATATATTAACTGAATTATGTGCCTGTATTACTGTAACACGATTTTGTGGATCACAAATTCATTTTTGTTACGTTGTTAATAAGTCATTCATTAACCATTGGTGGTTTTAATGAACTGTTCAATATTAGTTATTACGTTGTTACAACCCCGCAGGCAACACTATGGGACAATGCTGGGGGGCATATGGTTTTAATGGGAAGTGTGGAGAACAAACCAGGAGGGCACAGGACACGGATCAGTTTCTGGTTCAGATCCTGGACGAGCCCCCACTTCTGTTGTGACCTGGTCTAGGGTCAGCCCGTAACAGAAAACGAGAGTGGGCTCTCCCCGTTCGAGCTTCTGAAGAAAATAAACCATTTTCTGGTTTCAGTGGTGTCCGGTGTTTGGTCTGGCATTAGGTCTGGTGAGAGAGCCCACTCTCATCTTCTTTCACAGTCTGACCCTAGACCAGGTCACGACAGAACTGGGGGCTCGTCCGGGATCTGAACCAGAAACCGATTCTTCTCATTAACTGTGTACTAACAGCTGCTCGTCACACTGCTAATAAAGTGACGAGAACTAGCTTGTACTTGTGTTAGTCTCATTAATTATCTGTTAATAAATCTTCTGATTCATTAATTTGTCCTCTACTGTGTAGCTTTGTACAAAACACAGTGCTTTGGCTTTATTTGTATATATTCCACTTAAGTGTTCATTAAAACACAAAAAATAGCAGATAGCAGTTAATATACTAGTAACTAGTCGAGTCTTAGTCATGAGTTCATAGCATATTTAGTGATCATACCTTTACTCTGAAAGACGTTATTAATGGTTAAGAAAGACAATAATGGGTTAATAATGAGATATAATGTGGGATCCGAGAATAAAATGGACGAGCTTGTCCAGGAAAAGTGTGCCTACAGGCCAATTTCGCAAATTTTATTTTTCAACAAAATGTGAAGAATCACTGGATGTTAACAGTGACTGCGTTCACACGCACTTAATAATCCAATGATAATCGGATTTCTGCAGTTATTTGATTATTCAAATGGTCATGTAAACAGCATACTTTGATTTCTTACATCGGAGTAAGGCCTAGAAATCTGATTAAGAAATCTGATAAAGAGGCTGGATTTTAGCTCAGTAATCAGATTTCTCAGTGCATGTGAACTCTCACTCTGATTTCTTTCTCAGTCTGTGCATGTGCAAAAACAGGCGCTGGTACCAGGAATAAGCAAGCAGCGTTGCTGTGAGACGGCAGCAAAACACTTTTGGAGCGATGCTGAAACCGACTACTAACAATGAATATTAGCTAGCTCAGCTGATAATTATATGGTAATTATATGGTAATTACATTATCAGCAAGGAAAATGCAAGACAGCAAAAGGCTGTTATGGTGCGGTACTTTTGTATCACTATGATGTTGTATTATCACAATAATTCTGCAGACGGTAACAGTTTATCTGATTTACATCAAGTTTATTAAGTAACTGAAGTGTTCATATGCCATAAAGTAATGAAAGCTCTGAGCAGTCACGCAGCTGAATATGTGCAAGTGAGGAAAAGGACTTTGTTATAAAACTGCACGGTGAATAACGATAAATCAGTAGATTTATGAAGAGGTAATTAATTGACGGTATCTTTATTTGGACCTACTGCTAATGCTTTTAGATGATTATCCTGTAATTGTTTAACCTCTTCAACTCCTTGAGACCAGCAGTGGTTCCAAAATGCACTTTGTTATATTCTTCATAACCTTCATATTTTACAAGCTACATTCTAAAGGTGGGGGTTGTATGAGAGCTGTAACAGTCTTCTTTCCAGTCAAATAGATGGGTAATGTAATTTTAAACCCTTATAATAAAAGAAGCTGAAATCATAATTTTTTTTTTTCTACTGAAAGTCGACCCATTTTTCCACAAATCTGGGCTATAAACTATATATAACTATATATATATATATATATAAACTAACAGATGGCATCTTTTCAGTGATCTGCTCTGTAAACATTATTTTTATAAAATAATACAAAGAGCGTCTAAGATTTTTGGCCTTCAGCAGTAAATTGTAAGCATAACAATATGTGTGATCATAAAACATGTTCTGTTAATTTGAGGGGAACGTTTACAAAAATAAATAAATAAAATAAAAAATTAGTTATTTCATGCAGTTACTGAATAATTTGCCTTACAATTTGGTCATGTGAATTCAGATGGACAAACCAAAGTATACCCTGGTCAATAAGAGGTTAACTAACATTGTACTAATTCTTAATTAAATTCACCTTAAAATTCCCTAACCTAAACTTCAACCCAAATTTCAAAACCTGATTCTAAGCCTAACCCTGGTACTAATCCTAACCCCAACACTGGTGAAAATCAGCTGACTTTCAACAGAAAGTGTATTAATAAATTGCTAAAAACATCCATAGATGATCTTTTGAGGCCTATCCAAGTAAAGTAAGACCAATGTAACAAGAATTAGTAAACTCTCATGTTACTTCTTTTCATTAATAAACAGTTAAACTTATTGGCAGTGTAATATGCAGCAGTTATTACAAAGTTAGTGAAAATAAGCTATGAACTTAAAACAAACCATCAGTTAACAGGGCACTCAATTACTAATTACTTACTATGTAATAACTAGTGTTTAATGAACAGTAAAGAGATATCAATAATGGATAATTATGAAGAAAAACAAAGATTAGATCAGATTGGTATTTGTCGATCCTCAGCGTTAAAGCACCTGGATCAGGTGGGCTAAAACTGGATTCTGACATACCAAGTCTTACATGCACTTAGTCTAGTATAATGTAGCATTTTTCTTGTCGTTATGTAATTTTGTACAACCAAACCAGTCGAGAACCGTCACTGTTAAGGCTGTAACATAAAAAAATTCTGCCAAAACAAGAGGGAAAAGCCCACCTCAACGACGATGCTAACTTCTGCTAGCATCCCTTAGAGATTTTAGTAGCTTGTTAGCGCTAAGCTAACAGCGATTCGCGTGAACACTTTCTGACGAGGCTAAAGTCTGCTTCTTATTTTTAGGTTTTAAACGGTGAAGCAGTTGCATTGTGGCACATTTAGGCACCGTTTAAGGTGGAAAAGTAAATTTGAACACACATTTGAAGTTTCTAAAACATATAATGTTTTACTTGAAGCTTACAAGTACATATTAGCGTATATTTTACCAGCAGTTTCACAGTGACTCGCTAGAGAGGCTGGTGTTGCTATTTTCAGTTTCTAACAACTCACTGATTAGGCTGCTGCTTGTTTTCACTCAGTGATGTATCTAGAACCTCCAGAAGGCCTAGAGTGACATTTTTCCCCCATGAAATTGGTCCCACCTTTAGGAAATCAAAATGTGATTGGTTGACTCCTCTGTCACTTGATAATTAGGCTGATAGTTCATTTAACCTTCTCGTTAGGCCTTCTCTTCAGCTCCTGAAGTCCTGACCATTAGGAGAGCTCGCTTGGCTGTATCTACCTAGATACCACAAAGAAAAACAACTCCTGATTGGTTGATTTCCTGCTGGGAATTTCAAGAATTTACACCTTTTGTTTCAATCCTATCCTTAACAATGAGATTAGAGTAATACTGTCATAGTTGCAGAGTTTAAATGCAAGCATGTTTCTACTGAACTAAAAATTAACTAAAAAATACAGATTTGCATTATTTAGCTCCCAAGGTTGATACTGAAGGCCTAGACTGCAGACTTCAGCACTTGGATGCAGCCTGCGGAACAATAAAAGTACCCCACACGGTATTACATAATAAAAGCACACACATTTTAATGAATGAAAAGGGTGGAGTTTTCAGTAAACATTTTGTCGGTGGCACTACTTACATTCAGAATTACTGCAATTATCAATTATAACCATCAATCCCGGAGACGCACAAAAAGCAACAGAAGCACATCTGAAGGTAACAAACAGTAAGAGCTTATGCAGCACTTTTTTATCAATACAACAGAGACACTGCATTGTTCACAATACATGTTTATGAGTATAGCTTAGAAAGATAGAGGGTCCGTGACGGGATCAGTCGAGACCTTTGAAATCGTAAGAAAAGAAGACCGGAGCTCCTCTCCAGAGGATGGAAGTGCATTGGAACCATGCAACACACCTTCAACGTGGACGACGTGAACGGCAAGCGGTTCACACCTCCATCTAAGTAGACAAGGCTTGAATGGGGATATAAAATGAGCGTTTTAGTATCCACAGCAGCAGAAAAAGGATCAGGTTGTCCGTCGTTCGCTACCCGATCCGCAAAAATAAAAAGAGAACAACACCTCAGCACCCACCTGGAGATGGTAGAGTGAACATTAGACAGATACATCAAAATACCGCTAATAGTTACCACTTCACTAAAGAGGACGACTCCTTGAATATCTATGTATAAGAAAAAGGTTTCTCTTGGAAGTCTATGACGTTGGCACCTACGTTTGGGATGTTTGCTCACATGATGGAGGGGCGGGCAGGCGGGCGGTCAGTCGGTGAGAGTGAGGTGGACTTTTTTGGAAAGGTTAAAAGGTCAGCAACCCCGTATATGCATTCTGAGTAGGGACTTACTGAAAGGGAGGACACCGGTTAGGGGATACAATGTATAAAACCAAGAGTTAAAAAAAAAAAACCTGTGAAATGTGAGAGTCATTTCCACACTCAGTCATGTGTTTAGACCTCTTGACCCCCCCTGGCTTGTGAAACTGGAATGTGTTAGCCAGCCCACATCCTCTCGATAAATTCTGGCTTTAAAGAAACTTTTATTTTCCTTTTAAAAAAAACTGTTATCGTTGAAGCCGCTTCTAGATCAGGAAAAGCTTAGATAAAAATAAATAAAAAAAAAGAGAAAAGAACACAGAACTTCAAAATGTATTAGATGTAATATACACATGGAAGACAACATATACAATATTAAATGTTCCCCTAAAATCAACACACTGGCTCCTATTAGAACAAGGCCCACCGTTTTTCTGTTTTTTTTGGCCAATTACAAACTACGGTAGCTCGTACTGTGCTATGAGCGAGTTAAATGAACCAAATCACATAAAATAAAAAAAACAAAACAAACAAAAAAAAACACAGAGGAAGCCCACCAAATGTCATCCTGCCATTTTTTTCTCAATAGTAACTTCCAGAAAACACAGATTAACTCTTTAACATATAAAAATACTATACCAAAATGAAATACAAATATATATTAGAATCTGTTAGGCATTTTCTGTATAAAGAGAGGACTAAAGGAGTTAGGTTACATCAGGAAAGAAAAAAAAACACAAGAAAGCAATGCAAAAAAGCATTGAAATTAGAAAACAAACAAAACAAAATGATAATAATAGAGACGTTTACATATCAAATTGCAAGTCTTTCCAACATGCAATAATTTGCACAAGTAATACTGCAGGCATTGAGAGGGGGAAACAAGATTCCTCCTGCTCACATTAAGGGGAACGGAGGGGAGGTGGGGAAGGAGGGGCAGGTTAATTCCCATCGCTAAGGCCATGCATGCTGGGAGAATGGTCACCACAGGACACTACAGGCTTTTCTGTACAGTGTGGGAGCCATTGACACCACTCAGCTATACAAAAGCCCTCTGAACAACGTCACGAATGGATGGCGATTCACGAACCAAGGGGAGGGCTGTTTAGTCAACACACCGTCATAAAAGGAACTACCGGGATTTATCGACAAACACTGGCGGGGAAAAACCAAAAAAAAGAGGACGTGAGGCGATGTGATCAGCCGTGTTATGGGGTTGACGCCCCTGGACAATAGCAATAAGAACATTAACTACAGTCCCTATGTGATGGTGGACATCGCATCACGACAAGCATGCAACTTATGAAACTACTCCATGAACGGACGGCATTGTCTCTATCCCGCGCTCATTTCCGTTGCCGTGCTTTAGTTTCTGAATATGCCCTCCATTTACACTGGGTAACAGAAATGACAGTGCAAAAAAAAACAAGAAGTAAAAAAGAATAAGAACAAAATCTCCACATTCGCCGTGGACCAATGACGAAGAAACGGAAGGGCCCAAACCTGGACGTCACTGAACTCTCGGTGGAAGTTTCTGAATGTCGGTAAGCCCTCTCTTGTGAGCAACTGTACAAGTTAATGGCACCAGGAGCTTGTGCTCGCAATACCGTTTGGTGGAAGGCTAAGGGGGGGCCAGGCACCTCTTCCTGATACCCCCACAGCAGCTAGTTAGCTCCTCACAGCAACCTGCAGTAACATACATATCTTCACTACGACCAACATCTGCCTTCACCGAGAAGCTATTTGAATGTTTCAGCTCAGACAATGTGCCAGTAGTATCATCTCTTGCGCCGTACCTGCTGGGACGATAAGGTTAGGTAAAAGCCTGGAGATCTACAAGTATACATGAGGATGCACCTACAGCTCAGTGATGATGGTCGTCATGGGGCCCTATGTGTCATCACCGTTACTGAGACGCCGTTAGGGTACCTCGTCACCAAAGACGACAGTCTCTGTGCTGCAGGGAGCGCAGACAAGACCTCGCTTCTTTGTCCACTGCTCCCCTAATACTTTACCGAGCCCTGGCGTTTGAGCCAGGGGCCACGCAGGTCTCTGTTAGCGGAGATGACATTGTGTCTTGGCTATCTGAGGCCTAATGCATGGACAAAATAAAGGGTCGTAATTTCAGGCTGCGAATGGGAATCGTGCGACACCTGCTCTGAACACAATACCTCTCAGAACTTCTTCTCAGCCGCCCTTTTGTTTTGTTGTTTATTTTTTCTCAAACAATGTTTCACAGATACAATGTTGTTTTGTTTTTTTGTCGTTTTCGCATTTTGATGTTCTGTTCTTTTTTGTCTGATGCCATAACACCCCTTGGACAGGGAGGAAAAGTCCTATATTTTACAAACATCGTTGTCCATAATATATAGATAGGTTTTTAATATATATTTCTGTATACTCTCTTACTCGCGCTGGCTCTCTCGCTCTCGCTCTCTCTCTCACTCTCTCGCTCCCCCTCCAGTTTCTCTCTGACTCTGCGACGGCGGCGGGGTAGGGTTGTGGGGTCACACGTTAGCAGGGGGGGAAGGGGCATGCTACATGCACCCCACGCAGCCGCATTTGATCGTCTTCTCCACTTCTTCGCTGAAGGAGGTGCCGTCGCTGCACTCGAAGGTGTATTTCCGGCGCTTCATTCTCTGGCTGGCGCAGCAGGCGCCCGTGTCGCAGGCTCCGGTGCATTCCACCCATGACACCATGCGCGTGGTCTGGCAGATGGCGTAGCCGCGCTGCACCTGGTAGAAGTCCCGGACCTGCTCCCCGCGGCACTCTGATTCTGAACGGAAAAAGAGAAACAGATATGGATCGTTCTACCAAATTGGTTCAAAGTCAGAGTTGAGAAACAAATTTTGGACTATTAAATAATTTGGACCTTACACTAAAACCATTATGTTCATTTTATTAAAACAAATTATTGAAAGTTCTTTTTTCCCCACCAACAAGACTTCACCTAATGTTTCGGTAGAGACAATTGTAGCTAATTTTGAGCAGAACTCAAGAACAGTAGCCAGTACATGACTAACAATCAAAGCTTTAAACAGTTGTACACACAGGAAGTCATAATATTTTTAATTTTAATACAAAAACATTCATTTAATTGCAGAAAATCTGTGTTTCGGTAGTGACTTTTCTTAATGTTTAACTGATTTTCAGACCTTGGAACACATTTACTTCCAAACAATTGGATCTAACTGTTCACTATGTGGCCATGTGGGACAGCCTTGCTTCCTGCTCTAAAATGCAGGGGCATGGCTAAAATAAGGCTCCACCCACAGACTACAACTCTGTGTTTTGGTAATGACATGAGGTTTTTTTTTTTATGTAAAAATTAAACTCATGATAAATTTGAATATTTCAACTTCACATTAAAGGATTTTTTTAATTGTAAAAAACCCTTTAAAATGCAAGTAAAAAAGTTTTATTTTCACTGGTTTCACTAGTGTAAGTTTAGGGGTTAGGGTTTGGGACAGATACTTTCACACAGAAAGTACTCTATAAATGATGATTTTCTATATTTAGCTTATTACTATTAATGAGTGCCTTGAGTTTAATAGATAATAATCCTTATAAATACTTAAGACTGAATACTTTTTTTTAATTGGTTGTTCACTGCAGTTTGAACTAATTCGGTAGAAAGGTCCATCTACATGTGAATCCTCTGGATGGATGCACCCTTCCCTTCTATGATTTCCAAGTCAATGCTAATGAATTTGACTTTAACTGGCTTGATCGGGAATGAGCGGTCACTTAGTTTACCAGATGGTTTAACAAAGAAGCTTACTGACAGAATACTACAAGAAAGGCTCTCTCCTTTTCACCCTATTGGACACTATGTAAGACAACAAATTCAGCTAACAGAGCCACGGGGAAGATCTGTAGACAAGCTTAACTGGACTGTTAATTTGCCACCATGTTTAGAATAAAAAAGTTCCTGTGTACCACTTTTAGCCACCTAGGATTTACATGCTACGTTTACATGTTGGTGTGCACACTACTGACGGCGGCATGCAGCCATGAAAACACTGGCATGATGACAGCTTCACCAGCAAAAATGAACGTTTCTCAGACACCAGCGTTGTTTATTTAAGGTGGTAAAAAGGCAGGAGGAAGTCCTGCCCTTTTTCAGTTCTTTTGTTGTATGACACTGGGTATACCTCAACCAAAAAAATCAACATCTGGGTTATTTTCCTGCCCCAGTTGATGGCAGAAGTTGGGAAAACTGAACAGAACTGCTGCAATAAGCTGCTGACTTCCTTTTCGCAACTCCAGTGAAAACAATGGATCAATTTTGCCAGCGGCTGTCTACCTGTCAGCTGTTCCACCATGCTCACCTGTGTCGCATAACTCTCCGGTGTAGCCGCTCTCGCAGTGGCAGTAAGCATCACCCGAGTCTGAGATTTGACAGCGGCCATGTCTGCACTGTAGCCTTCTGCATGGGTTGAAGAGCTCCCCCTGCTGGTTGCACAGGGCACCACGATAACCCTCCTGACACTCACAGCGGTAGGACTGCATGTCTGCAGGAATGCATTTTCCGTGCACACACCTGGAAAAAACACAAAAAGGAAAGTTCCTCATTCAGCACTGGGTCTAACGGCACGGTAACCACTTACAACTGATACCAACAGAAGGTGTGAAATAACAAGACAGCATTAAGATTGTCATGATTACTTGATTAAAACAATTTATTGAAAATGATAATCATTGAAAATTTACATTAATAAATCAGTTAATGATTGATTTGCAGGTTGAAAGAAAAGCGGGGTAGCTGCAGGTCAGTATAAAGCCATATTTAGCAGTCTGAAGATTCGTCACAAGGAGCTATTAGCACTCAAATCGCTTTTATCCACACAAGCAGAATCCAGCGAATCCACGAATGCAGCAAATTTAATGTCTATTAAATAAAATTAAATGTTTGATGTTACAAATTGTGTCTACGTAAAGTAAAAGCGTATATGAAGTAAACAGGTAAAGGGTAAATTTGCAAAGTAACAAAGCTGTTGCTGTGGTGTCCCAGGTGGCTGCTAAGATGTTGCTAGGCTTTTGTTATTTTATCCCATGTGGTTGCAAAGATGTTGCAAGGGTGCTACTATAGTATTCCAAGAGGTAGCGAAGATATTGTTACGTGGTTGCTATTCTACCCCAATTGGCTGCTAAGATATCCCAGGATGTTCCTATAGTGTTGGTAGGCCACTGCTTTGCTATCCTAGGTGACTGCTAAGGTGTTACTAGAGCATTCCTATGTTATCCAAGTTGGCTGTTGAAGTGTTGCTAGGTCATTGCTATGATATCCTATGTGGTTGCCTAGGTGATTAATAATAATAATAATAATAATAAAAATAATTATAATACAAAGAAGATAACGAACAGTAAGCTGTCAAGCCAGCTTAACTAGGTCTGGGTTAAACAACATGGCGGGTAGTTAACAGGTTAACTAATAATATTCAGAGACAGACTTAATTGAAAGATTCACCATTAAACTACAACAAACAAAGTAAAGAAGTTGCCATCTGAATGTTTATTACAAGCTTCAAGTGCTTTGTGTTTAAGCACATGAAGTAGTATCAAATTCTGTGAGGAAAGCAGACACTACTGCTAGCTTGGTACTAACAAAACCCTGCAACTCCCATAGAAGTACTAGGAGAAACCAGCATTATCACATAGTGGTTGTACCTTGGCTATTTATTAAATGAGGATATCTGCAATAAACAAGTTCATAAATTGACTGGGTCAAAGGAGCATTACAGAATTCTCAAAATGCCATTTAAATGACTTTAAAGGCATTATATTTCACTTTCATTGATTTTCTAAGTGCAAATAAGTGAACACATCCTCTACAGATGAATCACCTGTACATTGTAATGTACAGTTACTGTTTATTTGCTCAATTTAACATATAGGAGGAACAAATACATAAAACCTGGCTGCAAAAGATTTGGCACATTTTACAGCTTTAATTTTTTTTGGTTGCAGGAAATGTTTAAGTTTGTTTCCTGTAGAGGACGTGTTAATTTCACTTCAACAAAACATGGAATTTGACTAGGGGTGTTGAAACTTTTGCATACAACTGTATATTTATGAAATGTACTCTTGAATCTAAAAAAGCTCCAGACAATATGTTTTGGTTCAGTTAAGCCCAGTTTTATTGTTTGGCCTTAAAGAAATCAAAAAGCAAGTTCCAGAATAATCGCCAGATTACTTGATTACTATAATCAATAGTGATGGCCCTACGCTTCACATTTTATGCATAATTTCACGTCTAGTTTCTTAAGATCAATGCAAGACATCACTGTCAGCTTGTACTCTACAGTCTTGCATTTAACATTATGCTAATGTCTTGTTTAGGGTGTAATGAAAATATGACAAAAGGACAAAGACACATTAGTCTAAAAATGTATGTTGGTGTCTCCTTTAGTCGACCAGCCCACGGCAATCAGCGTGAGCAGCTGCCGTTTCTCCCGAGAGGATTACTTACTTGCTGCCCTGGCAAGGATTTGCAGTCGGCTGATCGCAGTTCGGCCCGCTCCAGCCCGGCTGGCAGTGGCACACGGGGCCTGCGGCGGCATCTGGCTGGCAGATGCCATGCAGGCAGTAGATCTTTCGGCAGGGTTCGCATCCCGGCACCACGCCAGGCTTCATCTGGGTCTTGGTGAAGTCCTGCAGCTCGTTGTTGATGTATAGGTTCTGGATGCAGCCGTGGAAGCTGGAACCGTTCTGGATCTGCCACATGCGCAGGGCCGAGGAGTGCACGTCCAGGGGCATGCCTGATGTTCGGAAGGAAAGGGGGAGCCTGATTAGAGCTGGGTGGAGAGGAAGCCCAGTGGCACACTGACACAGATAACACAGGGCTGGCGTGGGAGTGATGGAGCGTGGCGAAGGGGAGAGAAATATTTCAAAGAGCCATGTTCCACACCTGAACTTGCACCACTAAGGTACCAATAGGTACGTATTAAGATGCGATAAGGCCAAGATTATTGCTATGCACCTACACATGTAGCAATGCAACCTCATGGAACTTGAAAAATGCAACAAAACTCTGACCCTAAAAATGTCTTGCTAGACCATAATCAGACTAATCAGAGTAACTGGGAAAAGAAATATTGCTGTTTTGTTAAATCGTTTTTGCCATTTGTGAATACAATTTCTACTTTTTCTAACTTTTTTCCCAGTTTAGTCATGGCCAGTTCCACCTCCTAGTTCTAGTGATCACAAGATGCTACCAATTTGGGAGGGTGTTTCCTCTAATGCATGTGAAGCCACCTCATCCTTTGTTACTGCTGCTAACGCAACATAATTGGACAGCTCAACAGGCTTGGAAGAGAGGGCTAATTGCCAGTTCTGTTATGTCAGCTAACAGTGGCTTGGACTGCATGAGTGATGTCACACCAAGTCACACTAAGTACAACTTTATCAGACCAAAAAAAGCGCAGACAGAAGACGGAAAAAGCAACGACCTTGAGTAGTAGTGGCAATATGTGGTAATAAAAACGCAGTCAGTATAAGTCGTGGTTGTAGTATGTCATCTCTAATTTAGCCATTAAACATGTTAATAAATCTAGTAAGAAAGAACGTGATTGCGAAAGTCACAAGATCTCCACCATCTGATGCCGCTTAGCTTAGCCTGATGCCTTCTTCTCTGAAGGCTTTGCATCTGATGCCCTTTGAAATGGCTCGTTTCGCCTCATGTACTGACACATGACTTTACTTGAGACCTGAAGCTGTTTTGTCTGATGTTTGAAACTTGATGCTGGTCTGGAATGTATTAAAGTGTACAGCAGCTCTTTGTACAGGGATAATATCTGCCTCCAGCACTGAGCATGTTCAACCAGTGCAGCTCAACAGCCCCTTTTACAGAACCATCTAATGTTCGTTAGCTACAATAAATGTGGTATTAATATAGGGTCTCGATTCACTCAACAAATATTAAGTTCAGTTATGTACATTGGGTGTGCTGGGTTTGCATGAAACAAAAGAATAAATAAATGATTGGTTTTCAAATTAGTTTTTGCAGCTTGGTTAACTTGGTTAATAGTGACAAGGCAGAGGCCTTATGCAAGAGCTGAAGCCATTTAGTAAGCAATTTTGAAGGTATTTTCATATGTTAGTAGGGGAAATAAAGGCACTGCTTCTGCTTGAGCTCTTTTCATTGTCATGTAAGCTGTTCAAGCTCTGCCCCAAGTAAGATCAGCTGTTCTGCTGCCATCTTGATGCACATTTGCTCAGCCTGCAAGAAAGCTCTGATGCGTTAACCTGATTTTTAACACATCTGACTTGGAATCAATGTAAAAGATGACACTAATATGCATGTGTTCGTTTTCAAAACTTGATGTGGGATTTTTTTCGTCCAGACTCGGTGTGAATAGGCCTTCAGACGAATGTGCCACTCGTACTAACAGTGCTTCCATATGTGCTACTCGCATGACGAAAGGAGTTTCTTCTTTCTGCTCTTTTGAATGAGAACTGGCAGTTGAGGCTCATTTGTTCAGGATCAAAATCTGGCCTTAGTCAATAAATTAATTTAACTGTATCAAGACTGTATTAAGTTTTGTTTATATTTGTTTGGCATGGCCTGACACTCAATTCAGTAATGTGGCACTTAGCATCTTTAAAATAATACTAAGACAGGGGCTGGGGATCATGCAAAAGCATCCTGCAGTTACAGCACAAGCAACAGAAAAGGCTACATAACAAAACAAAACACAAGCAGCAACTCGTGAGATCATCGACGAAGAATAGTCCTTTCCATTGGAAACAAATTTTGCATTCGCCTGTCACTCATTTTGCATTAAACTGTGATGCAGTGTTAATGTGAGGAGGTTCTTGCATTTATCGCATCACCTGTAGCCTGGTATAAACCATCCTGATTCTTGTGAGCTTTTACTTTTAAGTTTTCACCCCTTCCCAATGGTTTTTACCGAGCTACGTCACCGAGACATCCTCAAATTAACCTTTTTCATGAGGATCTGCATTTTGACTATGACTTCAACCTTATGATCTCAAGAGTAACCACAGTAACAAATGGTTCCACATATCAAAGAACACAAAAACCACCACCATGCAGAGACACATCACTTTCTTTCTTTCTCTTTTTTTGGAAAGTGTAGACTGTATCTGATAGGGACTTAGGAATGTGGACTTGAACCATGGTTGTCTGCGGGCTGGTTAGGATTCTGCATCTGACGATGCCAAATCAATTACAGTGGGGAATTTTTTTGAGAGGGGAGTTGGGCCATAGCAAACACAGTCTAGGAAAATGGTCTGAGGGGGTTTTAGTGGGTGGGTGAGGTTGATAGGGTTTTTTGAGGGTGGGGGGAGTGCAGGGGTGCTGGGGTTTGGGAGTGGTGTGACCAGGTGATAGGTGGGGGTTGGGGAAAGGGGGGGGGTGATTGACAGTAGTGTAATTTAGAGTGCCTGCGGTGGAGGTAGGTATCTGCGGTGGGCCCCTACCCCCCACGTATAGCGGAGCCTCTCCGTTCAGGGGCCGCAGTTTGCCAAAGCTATCCATGGTGGTGGGCAGGCCACCGTCGATGGACAGGTTTACCATCTGGTCGAAGGTCACCAGCTCCACTGTGTGGAACTGACCATCATTGATGGTCTCGGTGCTGGAAATGGAGACACAAAGAGAGAGAGCAGGATATATTAACGTACATTACATATACTACGTGTCAAAGTATCCAGACACCCCGTTTAATTAATGAATGCAGCTTACCTATAGATGGCATGGCCTGGCTGACTGCCAGGGTCGTAGCTGACCTTAACGTGACCTTGGTAGAGCTCCACGGCTATGTGGTCATTGTCTCCATTGTACAGGAGGATGCCGTTGTCCTCTGCAGTGGACACCTTAAGGATGCACACAAGACCCAGGTTTAGAAATGACTCCTCTCTATGGATTCACTGCATGTGCCAGTGACTGTATCTACTAGGTTCAATCATTTACAAAGTGACCAAGCAGTGCTTGGTTTCCGGTGTTTTTACAGTGGTCAGTGTTGTGAGGACTCATAGGAAACATGTAAGTCACACAGACAGCAAACAAAAGCAATTAATCAATTGAGCAAGCTGGGGACAGAACAGTGGGCGTGTCCACTACCTGCAGTGTGATGTTGGCCTGGGGCCAGTTCTTCAGGTCGCTCAGCAGCAAGTACGAGTCTCGATCCACGAAGTTGACGCTGACTAGTTTTTCGCAGCGCGGCCCGCCGAAGCCAGGGAGACACTGGCAGAGTGCGCGTCCTGCCTGCTCCACACACGGGGCCTCGTTCTGGCAGTCGGCCAGGTCACAGAGGGAGCGCGGGGCGGGGGGGATTTCACACAGCTGACCACTAGAGACAGGAGCAGAACAACACGGTCAAAACTCGTATCGTCGTCACAGAAAACAGCATTAATGATGTTATAATCAGTAATATTATTGTATGAAAATATAATTTTTGTTGCTCTGTTCTGATTGGCTGCCTGGTATTGTGCCTCCTTAGAGTTGGTTCTTGAGTCAACATAGAAGCAATAAATTCAAAATAGGCCCTTTCTACACCATAGTACCTCTATAATTAGAGATATGGATATATAAGGACTGCATAGTAGATGTTACATTTTGAAACTTTAACAGTGTTTACATAATACATCAGACTGAAAAAGCAAAGAAAGTTCAGTTTTCCATGATATGGGCATGAAACACATAATGCATTTTTCTTCCCGAGTAATGCAGGATATCAGGCAGGGTCTCTGAGCTCGCTGAGATGGTAGGTAGAGGCGGTGGGAGAAACATGGTATTACAGGTAAATATTATTTTTCCCGTCTGCCGATGTTCATTGACAAAAATCAGAAGGCATTTTATAGGTGTCGTTACATTTTGATGTAGGATATTACATTACACTACATACATTTATACCCAAAAAATTATCCATAGATTTTTTTTGTTTGAAAAAATAGCTCAAATTTGGTGTCAGGCTACCCTGTGGCACTGTCTATCCAAACAATGTTTGAAAATTTTAATAAACCTTATATTTCATTTTTCTAATTCATCTAAACCGTTATTCCTCCTGGTGTCGGGGTGGGGAGGGGGTGCTGGAGCCTATCCAAGTGCAGCAAGCAGGAAAAACACTGGACAGGTTGACATCCAGCACAGGGACACATACACACACACACTCCTAGGGGCAATTTCAGCATCTTAAATTGGCCGGCCGGCCTGTCTTTGGACTGCGGAAGGAAACCCAAGCAGACACAGGGAGGACATACAAACTCCACACAGAGAGGACCCGGTCGCCCGGCCGGGGAATTGAACCCAGGCCCTTCTTGCTATGAGGTGACAGCGCTGCCCACTGTGCTACCATATATATTTCTAATCTGGGAAAACAAGGAAATTAACTCCAGACAATAATTTCTCAAAAATGTCACATATATCCACAAGGAACCATATATCATTGTCACTTGCTCTGACTCACTTTTTAAAATTCCAGCTCAATGTAGTTTTTTTGTGAGTTTTTTATTGTACTTTTTTAGTCTTTGGTCCAAAAGGGTTATTTTTTTTTGTAAACTGCACACACATCTAAACAAATCACGAGTGTTCCACCACCCAAAAGTATTCAGAAATACCCAAAAAGAGTGAAAGAAGGGAATTTTGTTCGGATGCAGGCCTGTTTTATCACTTCATGAGAAATGATCAAATTCATTTTTTCAGGAAAGTACAATAACAAAATCTGACACTGTAGCCACATCATTTGACTGATTTTGATTCTGTTATCAGATTTGTTCTCTAAATTGCTGTAGTAAATTTTAAAATTCCAGGACAGACTATTCCATGGACTAACAAAGTAAAAAATTTGATTCTGTAAATCAGCTCCAGCAACATCGACCATCTCACCTACTGTCCAGCCTCATGGAAACATAGAAAATCTGATATGTGTTTGGGATTTTGGGTAAAAGGGCAGCTCATAGCTGGACCTGGTACTGACCTGTAGCCCCTGGTGCAGGCACAGGAGTAGCCGTTGATCTCGTCCACACACTCTGCGCCGTTCTGGCACTTGTGTTCCTGACAGTCGTCGTAGTCCACGCTGCAGTCATCGCCTACATATCCAGGCGCACAGACACACCTGATGCACACGGGCAACCAGTGATTAGCGCATGAAAATAAAGGATTCAACGTAAAGAACTTTGAAATTACAAGTATTTGATAATTCCAATTTGTCAATTATTTTTGCCAAAAATATGTCCAAAAGTAACCAGACAGGCCTAATTAGTTAACTGAACGACTTTAGGCTGAACTGCATGTATGAAACACCAAAGAGGATGTGGGTTTATTACTTGGGGCCTGTTGCAGTGATGAGACAGGTTGACTGGTGTTTGCAGGGACCGCGTCCAGGAGCACACATGTCTTCCATCTCTTCACACATCTCTCCTACACAAACACACAGGATCAATAACTCTAAACCAAACATAAGCAATCCTGACCTTATGATACAGTCGTATGAAAAAGTTTGGGTCAGATTACTTTATTATTTGAAGTCAAATATAACATAAGTTAACATATCCTCTACAGAGAACAACTTCTACACTTTTGAATTCACAATTACTGTTTATTTGCTGAATTTAACATATTGGGGGAAAAAAATAAATAAATAAAATGTGGCCTGTGCAAAAGTTATGGCACCCTTCATATTTTACATTCTTTTTTTCTCCTGATATGTCAAATTTGGCAAATAAATTGACTAAAATGTGCCGAAAAATATCCCTGTAGAGGATACGTTAACCTGTTTTTATATAAAAAAAAATCAACAAAACATGTAATTTGATCAGCAGTCTTCAAACCTTTGCATATCTGGAATTGTGCTGTGACCAAAAAAGTATTAAAAACTGCCCTATATTTTACACTCTTCACCCTAGTCCTCCTTCGCCTCAAAAGCAGCTTGTTGCAGCTACCTGGGATGGTTTTCAATTATCTTGAATGTCCAGATATTTGTCTATTTTGGAAATAGATTTATAGACAAGCGTCAACGTCTATTAGTATTTCTAATAGGAACATGTCAACACAAGCCTTTAGAAAAAAAAGAAAACCATGTATTCAATCACATTAAGGCTTCTTTGTTCCCAATGTCTTGGCAGGTCCACACGTCTATAAAGGAAACCGGACAAGCTGTGGGTGTGAATCTGCGGGTACCTGTGTAGTAGGGGGCACACAGGCATGTGTAGTTGTTGACCCCGTCTACGCAGGTGGCACCGTTCTCGCAGTCGTTGTCCTCACAGTCATCGATGTTGATCTCACAGCTTGGCCCTTCGAAGCCGAGCGGGCAGAAACAGCTAAAGGGGGAAACAGTGAAGCCTCGATCAGGGTGTTTTAGACAGATCTCTGCTTTTGCTTAGGTTGCTCAAGAGTTCTTTAGTTAGGCAATGGTTCTATTTAGAACCATTGTATGCTTAAATGGTTCTCTGCATGGTGAAAGCGTTCTTCAGATTGATGGAGAATGTGTTGTATATGGTTCTGTATAGCACCAAAAAGGGTTCTGCTACTGTTACAATATCAAGCTTCTAACAATAGAAGTGCACTTTTTGGTTCTATATGGAACCATTTTTCAAAAGGTTCTTTATAGAACCATATACGACACATTCTCCATCAATCTGAAGAATCATTTCATATGATTCTTAGAGCCATGTAAGCATGTAAAATGAAGAAAATGCGGAAATATGGTTCTAAATGGAACCACTGCCTTTACTAAAGAGGCCTTTAAGAAATTTCTTTAAGTGAGCAGTCAGTGCAGTGTGTAAACAGGGGTGTGTAAACAGGATATGAGCTCTATGTGTTGGTGTTGTGAGGATCTGTGCTGCCGCGTTCTGTATGAGTTGTAGAGGATGGACTGTTTTCTCCAGTAAGAAGATCATTACAGTGATCAACTCTGCTGTAACAAATGCATCAACAAGTTTCTCTGAACTGAGATAGAAAAGGCCGAACTTTAGCCACATTTCTCAAAGCATACAATTTTTTCCTCTACTTAGAGGTTATTAAATATTTGTTCAGGACTTGTATGTGTTTCTCTCTAGTTCCTTGGCCTCACACGCTACATACATGTTCAGTACAATGCTGAAGGACACATACGTGAAGGCGTCTCCTTCTCCTGTGACCTGGCACTTTCCGCCGTTAGCGCATGGGTTACTGACACAGGCGTTGAGAGCAGTCTCGCAGTTCTTTCCCTGAGAAACAACATACAGTAGGATGACTGTTAAAGCTAAACTTTACACCCATAAACTGTAATGTAATGAAATTAAAGTGTTATTTCTTGTTACACAACTGTAACCAATAGCAGGCTATGTGCTCTCACCTTGAAGCCCTCTGTACAGGCACACTTATAGAGTTCGGTGGCATCTGTCTGGCACGTGCCGTGGTTCAGACAGGGGCTGGACAGGCATGGGTGACACTTGGCCAGGATGGTAGGGTCTATGTCACCTGCAACGTTCACACAAAGTGGAAATAAGATCTCTACCATGTGAGCCCTCTGTTATCTAGTTAGTGCTAAAACAGGAAACACTAGGAAATAATTCTATAAGTCTGCAGCGTAAGTCCAGAGAACTTAACAGTTAGTCTCTGTTTTCCAATCACACTGAAATGTAGTGATGTAATTACATAACTATTTAAATAGTTATTTGATTTAACATGCTTTATCTATAGGTTTGAGCCTGCACTTCCATCTATTTTCTTTTTTTTGATGCCAAGAAACATGTCTTTGAATAATGTAACAGATGTTTTTAGTGAAGAGCAACTTAGCTGAGCAAATTCTACCAAAACTCATTAATCCTTATAACTCATAAATCAAAACTGAAAGTGAATGATACTAAACTAAATCTGCACTTAAGACTAACTAAAACTAAAACTGAAACAAACTAAAGAACAAAAAAAAGATGAAAATGTCAAAACTATAATAAACCAGCTGTGCAAACAAACCCTTTTCATCATATTCAAATCTTTCTGTAATATTTCTTACCAATTTACCAATTTAAATATGGTAAAGTCAGAATTTCTCCTCCAGTTTGAATGAGCTATGAGTGATAAATAATTTGCTTCATATTACACTATCACAGGTAATAACTGTGATTTCTATGGGTCACTGTAGTCATACCAGTTACACTGTTGGCAGGACATGACTTCCCAAAGCAGCAGCTGACATGCTAGATGTCGTCATACCTTGGCACTCGAACTTCTTGGCAGGTGTGGTGAGGAGCAGTTTGCCCTCCATGCCATGTGGGCCAGTGCAGCGGGCGATCCCCGGCTCCTTGTAGCCTGTCTTCACCCAGTCTGACAGCCAGCGCAGGCGGCAGTCGCAGTACAGGGGATTGGCACCGATAGCCCTGCAAAAAACCCAACACGCTGTGGTCAGATGAAGAATCCAAAATGGACAAAAGTACAAGCTTTAAGATTTTAGGCTAAACTCCATGTGCCATTCTAAAGTCTAGTAAATAATGTTAAATGCTGTAATAAATTGAAATTGGAAACATTAACCCTGCTGAAAAAAACATTCCACACATGTCTAAGCTGGTCAGGTGCTGGTTTAGCTGGTCACCCAGGATGGTCGTGCTCGATGACCAGCATACCAGCATCCAAAACACAACAAATATTGGTTTTGCTAGTGGCCATGCTGTTTTTCTGAGCAGGGAACATATTAACATAATTTTTATCCACTCCAATCGAATCAAATCTGGTAAAGAGATTATTCAACAACATGAGAGAGAGAAAGTGTGATGATTTAGGCCTGCAGTTAGCACAACGCCAATCTATTGGGTATAAGATTCTATTACTAGTAATCTATATTCATCAACAAGTGCAAAACTGAAGTCTACATTAGATTTTTTTTTGGTCAAACGTTTTTCAAAAATAAAAAAGATTAGCCTTGTAGCTCCAGGGCAAAGCTAACACAGCAAATCTCCAGGTTATAAACTCTGTTTATGGACTGAACCGGGGCCTGTGCCTGTATGATTTCACTTCATATTCCAGCATACATATCAAGAGCACAATAACATAGTAACGCTGCACTGCTGCAGTCATTTTTGAGTTTAACAGTGGGGTCCAGAAATCTGAGATTACACTGAAAATCTGGGATTTTTTCATTTAAACCTGGAAATAAACAACAGAAGGTTTTAGGATTTTGAAAACTTCCAAACAAAGAAAAGTTATGACAAGCAAAATGAAGAACACCATGTGGAGGCCAGCTTGTGGAGGCCAGCTTGAGTGCAAGCAAAAGGGGGAAATAAACAAAAAAATTCTGAAATTCATGTAACTATTTTAAAGATTCTACTTTTCACTCAAATTGTTACACCAACGATATAATTTCTAATAAAAAACTCTGCGTTAAATTAGGAAAGAGTGCAAAATAGAAGCATTTTCACTAGAGCTCTCAGACATTTGGACCCCGCAGTATGTAACACTTTTTATTGGCCAGTAGATGGCCCTCCAGGACCTTTTGTGATATGATATCACTTGCAACATCCAGTGCTGTGAAGTTATAACAGCTAACCAATCAGTTAACAAAGTACAATCTTTAAAGAATAAGATTAGCAGAGTGAACTTAAAGTGACTTCTCCTATGTAACAATGCAACAGCAGCTCAGAATGATATGCTAAATCAGTTCTGAGCCGAAGATAAAAGTCAAGCTCGCATTCAACTGCAGCTCTCATTGTCTCTGACAGCTGCAAACATGGTCAACATCTGTGTGCTCGGTGAGCTCAGACACTTCTGTAAGGGAGAGAGCTGTGTGATCTGTCTGATAAAGATCAGACAGGACATCTTGATGCCTCTGCAGTGTTTTAATAGCATTCACAAACCCCTGCACACTCCCAAAACCACATGTGCGCGCACACGTGTAGGGCTGGAAGTTCTATGGCCCAGTACTGGTTTAGCACAAGAATATTAACCTTTGATTGCACTTTAAATTGTTTTGAACACAAATATAGACATTTTATTTACTATCCAAAACCACAAGCGAACCTACACGTGTTCAGAGACTTTATATGTAATGCTAATGATAAAACAGTCCCAAGTCCTAAAAAACAGGCTTTTTTTGGGGACTATTTTGCCTCACAACGGCCCACATGTACATTTCCGCCATTAATAACATTAAAAAACACGTTTAAGGCCAAAACAATACTATCGTAAAACAACGTCTCAGGCATCAGGCAGCATACATCACCATTTCATGTAATACATTTCTGTGAGGGAGCTTTTAGAGCTGGACGTCTGGTTCCTATCACCACCACTGTGAACAAAGTTTCTTTAGAATGTAGCATTCCACATTAAACCACTCTGAATGGCTTTGTTTACATCCTATCCCATGATTTAATTATGCAGAAATTTAACCAAACTGGCAAATTCTATTTTAAAGCCTGGCATTTTTAAGACAAAATATCAGATCAGTATCAATATTGGGCGATACTTAGATTTTAATAAAAGTATCATTATCAGAATAAAAAAAATCTCTAATTTCTAGTTTTCACAGAATTCAGTTGTGCAGTATATCATTTGCTGGATACCTTAGATTGTTTTGAAAGAAGAATTCATAATGCATAGAAACTAAATAAAAAGTATGTTTCCTGTGTGGAAATGTGATTTGCCTGGCTAATGTTTACGGTTCCTATTGGTGTGATTTTAAGAAAAGCAGAACAGAACAAAACCGATGATCAAACCAAGCTATCTCAGGTATGTAAGACAACCTTTTAGCATAACAGTCCTCAGTTAACTTGCATCTTAATGAACTCATGTACACTATATGGCCACAAGTATGTGGACACCCCTCCTAGTCGTGTTGAGGTGTTTCAGCCACACCCACTACCAACAGGGGTATAAAATCAAGCACACAGGCATGCAATCAGCTGAATGGGTTGTACTGAAGAGCTCAGCGACTTTGAATGTGACGCCGTCATAGGAGGTCACCTTTGCTACAAGTCATTTTGCGAAATTTATGTCCTGCTAGACCTGCCCTAGCCAACTGTCAGTGCTACTATTGTGAAATGGGAGTGTCTAGGAGCAACAACTGCACGCCTTTCCTTTGTTTCAAGCTGTCTCTGGAAGCAACATCAGCACAAGAACTGTGGTTCAAGAGCTTCATGAAATAGGTTTCTATGGCAGAGCAGCTGCACACAAGCCTAAGATCACTATGCACAATGCCAAGAGTCAGCTGGAGTGGTGTAAAGCACGCATCCACTAGATTGAACTGAAACTGAAACTGGACTGAAAGTCTGAAAATCAGTGTGCAACCTTAAAAATCGTTATAACCAAAATGCATATCTTCTTAATGATAAATATTATATTATGTATTGCATGTATAATATGATTTTATGTGTGTGCAGCTCTTTACAGGTGTTTTTGCTAGCCCTGCTCTGGCTAGCGTTTATGAGTTCTGCTCATAGTTGGCTAAAATTGCCATGACCGAAACATTTGGGAAAAGTTTTGGTAGAGTTATGATTGTTTTGGTGGTGACAAAATGGAACGTTCGATCATTTGTTTTAATAAACGTAACTAAGGAATAGGGTCACTATTTCAGTCTAAAGTCCAAGTTAAAAGCCTGGAATGTGTCTTGAACTCTGAACCAATTCGAATAGAATTATCCCCACACACACACACACACACACACACACACACACACACACACACACACAGAGTGCAGACTGAACAGCATTAAAAAAACATGCTGGAAGTGTGTGGGAGTTGATGCAGTGAGGACAGACAGTGGCCAGTGCTGTGTATGGCAGCCGCAGGCTACTGGTAGACCACAGGGTGCCTGTGCCATGTGAAGCGGTTGTGATGGCAGTGACAGTTAAAGCTCTGTGTGCATGTGTTCTTAGATTTAACACGGAACAGACGGAACTGACTGAGAGAGACGGCTCACAGGAGAGCTCTGTTCTGTGTATGTATGTAGGCACAACTCTGATAGTGTAGCGTTACTCACAGGTGCGACAGGGACACCACGTCACTGAAGATCCCATCAGGAAGCTCCGAGATGTCGTTACCATGCAGGGACCTGAGGGAGAAGCAATAAAACGCAATCAGCGAGGGACACCTCACGATGGCCTTGAGCTACAGCGTGTTCAAAACGTGCAGTAGAACTGTGTTGAACCTTTAAGGCTAAGGCAAAAAAGCAGCTGCTGTTTAATCTGCTCTTCTTCAATAATGTGATGTTTCAATACTGTTGTTGTTTTTATAACACTGATCCCCACTCTGCCTTATTTTCACACAAGCTGGACTAGCATGTGCTTCCTGAAGCACCACCACATCTTATTAAACTGCTGCTAAAGCAATATCATTGGGTGGCTCAACACACTTGCAGGAGAGCACTAACTGACAATTCTGCAACATTGGCTAACAGACGGCCACACTGCCTGGAATCGTGCTGAGTGATGGAGGGAGACTGAGGATAATCCCACCAACCCGGATGGCTGTGACATCATCGGAAATCAAACTTGCGATCTCCTGACAATAGAGGCAACACTTAGACAGTTACCCCACTCAATGTGATCTTAAAATGACGAAAATTCTTTGATTTTATTTTCTGTCTCAAGCTACTTGTTTAAACATGCAAACACACGAATAGGAATATACTTTGCAGTTCATATACAGTCTATATGCACCAGTTAGCATCATGCAAATCATGCCATACATGGCAATAACCACACTGTTGTTAAGTAACCTCAAACAGACTTGCTTACGTAGGTTCTGACACTGTATGACACGGTCATCTACAAAAATGGACAAAACCACAAAGCATAGCTAAAAACCCTATTAGCTGTCACACTGATACCTGAATTTTGTCAGAAACCACAGAAGCAGGTCTATTTGAGATCACTTAACAACACAGTTTGAGGCAAGTATGTGATGACTTTTTTTAATTTTATTTTAATTTTTTTTTTTTCCCCTAATATTCATTAGAAAGTATGTACATAAAAGACTATCATTAGGTAGTTATTATTAGTTAGTCATTATAATAATTATATGGAAAAATAAAACATTAAAAATAGCTAAATGTTTAGGTCAAGCTCAGGGATTGGCTGGGTGAAAAGCACACGCTGCAAAAAATGGTCTCTCGTCAAGTGAAATGATCTTAAATCTAGTCGATATATATAATATTTCCCATTTTGAGATGGTTGTGCACATATTATAAGATTATCTAGCTTATTTCTAGACATTATTTACTTGTTTTAGGTCATTTTATTTAGTAAAATAATCTCACGATACCGGCAGATAATTTTTTTTGTTTTCAACCACATTTCTTGAAACAAGCAAAATTATCTGCCAAATAATAAAGGAGAAATATTACATTTATTGACTATAAGGTAATTTTACTTGACAAGATACCAATTGTTGCCATGTAAGTGATGTAACCGACATAGCTAGCTAGTTAATATGTTTATAATTTCAGGGCAAATCAGTGTAAAATGTCTCTCTTTTTGATAGAATGGAAGTCATCTGTCACAGATAAATGTCTACAAGCAAAAAAATATATGATTTTATTTTTAGTTTATTGTAAATTTAGGTTAACTAGTGCAGCGTAAGCTTCCATTACTCACTAGCTACATTAAATTGTATCTCTAGTGCTAAAATAAAGAAGCCAGGGCACCAAATACATTTGGGGCAATGGGCTGAGAAAATCTGATTTCGTGCCAAACTGCTCCTTTAACCTCATAACTGGCACTTCATTCATACAGCGGCGGCTCAAAGGAAAGAGGTTCCTGTCACTTTAACGGGGGCATTCAAGCAGCCACTGTGTATGTGACTTTGTCTGGTAACTTTTGGGAATGGCCTGTTTTTGGCACTGAGGTTTGCAGTGACAGCCACAAGGAGAGGCTTCACATACTGGAGAATGCAAAGAATTGCATTTTTTCCCCAGTCTACTTTATCAGCGGCCAGTCTGGTCTGGTCACGATGTCTCCCATGAAGCTTCACGTTCCCAGCCATCAAACTGAAAGGGGTCCCTGCGAACCGCAGCTGAACCCTGATGCTTGGCCCTTCTCACGAGAAGGCAGCCTGATTCTTTTAGTTTTCTTTTTCGACACCTGTCGCTGGTGCCATGGCGGACGTTGGGGCTATCTATTTTCGCGCTGCGGGCTTGGCAGCGAGCTCCAGTGGAATTCAGTGGAGCAGAGTGTCGGGTTACTGCGGACGGACCGCACTGGTCTGGCTGAGAGAGACAGGCAGAGAGGGAGAGAAAGAGAGAGAGAGAGAAACAGGGAGAGAGAGACATTTCCTTCCTTGTCTCTCAGCAAGGCGATTAGGTGACAAGACTGAGAGGGCTTAATGGCTGTAAAACAATATGGACGTCTTAATCCGCCAGGTCATTACCACGTGTTGCCAAAAAGACCCGCACTACAGGCCAAAAGTATAGAGGCAGGCAGTGATTTTCAGTTTCAGAAAGATTTGAGAAGCACAACACAATTTTCTCTGCGTAGGCATAAAACTGAAGCCCAAACGTGCAATTTTAAGACCCAACTCGCCCCGGCCCGATTGGTAAGGCTAAATTTGAAACCCAAACCCAACACAAACTTGCTCGTATTACTGCAGAACGGCTGCTGAAGAGACGATGTGCCAGTCCTCCTGCTATCATAGGTCAAAATACCTGGGACGTTCACAAATGTCAAGTCTCTGGGCTGCGGCTCTGAGTCTTTTGTTGAAAACTTTAGTCTTGTAATTAGCAGCACGCATTGCATTTGACAAAAATATAAAGTAGTACGCTTCAGTTTGACACAGCTTCAAATTACAAGCCTTTCATTACAGAAAACTTTTAAAGGAAAAAGCAGAAGCTATATAAACAGTAAATAAAGTGTTTAAAGAGGCAAAACGACTTGAAATGACTGGCTAGTCAGTAGTTTGTACAGCAACTATGCTAGCTAGCTGGTGTAAGAGCTAATCCAGCTGAAGTTTCAGTATGTTTTAAAGCAATGTGATCTGTAACTTGCCAAAGCTTCAGCTTGATTTCGTGACAACTTTGGCTAAATTAGCTATCATGCTATCTAGGCTACTTGCTATCCAATGTAGCAAGTAGCTTTCCACTTTTGACTGCATGTAAAGTCTTGAGACCAAGTTTGGTCTCATTTCTAGCTGCACTGATTGCATTGTACAAAAGTAAAACCCTACTAAAAACAGAGAACGAGCCTTTCATGACACAAAAAGCTTCAGTCTGAGGGAAACAACTCTAGCGCTAATTTCAGTAAATGCAGTGTTTTAAGGAAACAGGCGAAACAACTTGAAACAGTTGACTGGCATGAAGTTTGTACAGCAGTTATGCTAGCAAGCTAGTGTAATAGCTAATCCAGCCAACCATCATTCCGTTTTAAAGAATTGTGATCTGTAACATGCTAAAGCTTTAGCTAGATTAGCTGACAACTTCAGCTAAGTTAGTTATTGCAGTAGCAAACCACATGCTAGTGCCTGCTTCAAGGTTTGCCTCTTGGTTTCAAAATTGAGTTCAAGTAAAGTCACGTGTTAGCCTGACTAGTAACTTGACTTGGACACAAATTTCAAAGGTCTTAAGTCTCGAGTCGCTAACTCAACGTAATTTTTTATCTGATATAATGACCAGGGCTTAACGTTTCAGATGTCTATGACTTAGATGGAGTTTTAAACAGTTTCTGCACAGCAGACTAACAGTTGATGTTAGCAAAGGTTTAGTCATACAAATAAGATGTTATTCCACAGTATAGTTGGTAATCCAAACCCATAACTGTGTGTCCTCTAGTATAAAAGCCATGTGTTGCACTGTAGTAGCGAGAGAATGAATTAAATTTAGTAAAATACTGGATATGGAATATGTTATCGTTACATGGTATTCGGTTTTGAGTTCCTTGCTCAACCAAACGGCAGAAGTTTGCACAATGTGAGCACCAATTACCTACAAACCCCTTTCCCTTACAAAAATACATTCATGTTATTGTTATTAGAAATGCTAGTATATTAATATATGCATTAACATTATAATGGTGATTAGAATTCAGCCCTATTTCACTCTCTGTCTCTTGTTTTATCGCTCTTTCTCCCCTACCTCGCACCTTCCCTCCAGAGATGCTTTGTAAGCCCTCACCCTCGTGTCCCCTCAAGGCCAATTAGCAGCCTATTAATACCAAATCGAAACCACGTCCGGCGCCAGACGCAAAGAAGCTCGGGCCTGCTCAAAGCTAAGCTGGGTTAATTATTTTTCACTCTCTTTGCTGTTCTAGTTAACAAAAAAAATAGAACGAGCCAAAAGGTGACGCTTTATGGTCGCTTTAGCACCTAAGTGCAGATTTTGTGAAGGCTAGCTTAAAAATGTTCAGCCTTTCATGCAAGGTGACTTTGAACCTCGGAGGCTTTTCGAGTCTTTAAGCGAACTGTAAAACTGGCTGGTTTGTAGTGAAGTCGCAACGAACTTTGGGTGCTTTCATTTAACCGAAACAGTGGGGTGCCACCAATTGATATTTTATGGAAAGTCTTTGATGGATCAGACTAGCAGTAGAGATCAAAGTTTCGGGTAACTGTGCTCGCTTCTGTTGGAGCAAAAGGGTGATGGAGACAATAGGGTGGTCCAGACTGAGGAAGCTGGTGGATGGGGGGGGCGCTAACAGATCTTTTAAGAGATCTGTGTGATGGCAAAAGGGGTATGTTGCAAATGAGGCCGACTTACACGGCACGTCACCGAGTAAGAGCAGACAGAGCAACTACTAATGCAGATTTATTAACATCAAAGCCACAAGGCAGGGCGGAAAAAGCCCCATATTTACTAATGATCGTCGGATTTCGGGATCGTTTAGGCATAAAAGAGAGGGGGGGGTGGTGTTCATGGCTTTGTTGCAGCCCGTAAAAAAGCATGTCTGGTGTGCCACATGTCAATAGTCTGCTGCTTACCCCCTCCTCCCTCATGCACACACAAGCACAGGCCGAGATACAGCGTCTGCAATACATGCCCCTCTGCTTTGGCGGCACAGTCCCATCTGTCACAGCATCCTCGCTTTCTCTCGCACCCGTCCCAATCGCAGATGGCTTTTCGCTTTCCCCACGCTGTGGCGGGAATCTCCTAAATCCAATTCTCCTCACGGTTTCCTTGCTCTAACACTGGTGAATGCTTAAAGTACATATGAGAGTGCCATCATCATCTGCAGGACTTCTTCCAGTGCCAGAAATGATCTCCCTGTTAGGCAGTTAAGTGAGCCATGGCTGATTCTGAAGGATGCCTAAATGTCCTGGGCCCCTACCAAGCACCTCAGAATGAGAACCGTGATCTTGGATAAGGCTCTGTCTCTCCCAATATGCAGTAACTGTATCCATTAGGCTGTGAAAGGCATAAACGAATCCTACATCTGTATTCCTACTCTTGACAATTTAGAGGTCTGGAATATGAATGATACCTTTAAAACATCTCTGGAATCACTGCACCTTGAATTGGCGAAACCTGGCTAAAATCAAAGCCCAAACCTGACCCCTAGCCATGACTGAGGCCCATCTAGCACTGCTAAATTTGAGACCCAAACTCCACCCAGACTTGCAGACATGCTTTAACAGCCGGTCCTGACTTAGCCAGTGCGTACTTTGACAGTGGCATTTGTTTCTAGTTAGTAGCGGCTGTGAAGCGACTGCATCCATGGTAAATAAGTCACTGAAGAGATAATGTACTGGTCCTGCTGCTATCATAGCTCAAAAAACCTTCTCAAGCTCAATGTCATATGTGATCAGTGTCCTTTTTTGGGGATGTAACAACCAGGATTTCCACAAAGACAATTTGAAATTTTACATAGTATGGATTTTGCGAGGTTTCATGGTATTACGTTTGTTTTCATCCATGTTAAGATCAGCTTTTATTGCATAAAAAAAACACTCATTAGGAAACAAACCCGAGGCTGGCCCAAACCTGACGTTACACATGAAAAATTGGCCCAAACTTGGCCCAAACCTCAGTATTCTATCAGGCCTCATCAACACAGGTAGCAGACCTGTCCACCTGACTAAGACAAGCTACATGGGAAGAACAAAAAAAAACAAAAGAGGTAGACATACAGCAAGCGGAGGGAACGAAGGCCCGAGAAGGCAAGGGCTGGAATGCAGCGAAGGGCGTTGTAACTCAGGATCCTGTGGAAGGAAAGACAGCAAGGTTAGCATTAACTTTCTAACTCGGATTGAAAAATTTATGACATAATTACAAAGGACTGAAAACAAGCAGAGCACAAATGATGAAAGCTAGAACGTTTCCATTGATCACATTAGCATTTCTGGCCTAAAACTACATATTTAAGTCATTAAGCTGCTGATGAGTGGGGAAAACGTACAGGGTGGTGAGTTGACTCATGTTGGCGAAGGAGGAATTCGTCAAGGAGTTGATTTTGTTGTTACTCAGGTCACTAAAAAGAAACAAGACTGTTAGCTCTGAATACAGCATGTACAGCTCCTTTCATCTAAAAAACAAAGAAACAAACGAAAAAAATGACAGAAGGAAAGAATGAACGGAAGGCAGGAACACTCACACCAGCTGCAGATACTTGAAGGCGGCGAGTTCTTTTGGCACCATGCTAAACTGGTTGCCGTCCAGGTACCTGCAGAGAGAGAGGGGCACGGTTAGAGGCCAGCCCTCTTCCCATCTCGTCCCTTGCCGTGAGAAAGTATCTCTCATTCCCTCAACAATAGACTCCCACGCTAAGTCTGCGACCCACTGTGTGCCACAATAGGGCCGTTCTTTCGACCTTTTACCATTTGGATAGTGCTAGTGAAGGGCTCGATGGCAGCATTCGGTGGTTATTGGGTTCATAAGGGCTCAAGGAGGCTAAGAAAGTCAAGACAAAACCTTGCTGGGTGTCCCTGGCAAGGTTCTGTGAAATAGTTGCATCCTTAGGCGATGCAGCTTTAAAATTATTACACTAATGCAAAAGAGCAAGTGTGGTTAGCATTGTATACATCTGTCCAGATGATTGATGACTGCATGCTTTCTGGTATGCCTGTTGGTGCATGCATAAGGAATGTGTCACTCCCACCACACACATATAGTCAGGGCATTTCGACTCCTCTGTCCCACTGTGTCCCCCTCCCCATGCCCCTCCCAGTGTGTACTCTGTTTTGGAGAACACAATAGAGGCCACCAGGGGGGTGTGACTTGCTGCAGGGGGTTCAGTGAAATGAGCTGACCCTTTCACACCCACCCAGTCGTCCCACGGGTTATGCCCGTGGCAGACCCCATTGTCCTCGGGGCCCACTGGGGAAAGGAAGAGAGTTGGAAGGGGGGGAAGCGGCGCTATCTGTTTGAGGTTAATGACAGTGCTTGAGGAGCAGCTGATGAGTAGATGAAAGCAGCACACCTGGACAGTACAGGTTTGAGATCAGTGAGAGCACCTGTATTGGAAATGACGGGTTGGTCTGGACGAAGGGTGCTACAGAGCCTTGGGGGCCTGCAAGGGGCGGAGGCAGACAGGTACTATGCAGAAGTCAGAGACCACCCTTCATTGATTCACTTTCCTTTCAGATTATTAATATTTCAGTATCAGGAAAAAGCAGGAAACATTTAAAAGAATATTACACAGAAGCTGCATTTAGTGTGTCCATCTTTACCTTTATTTTCAGAAGACCTGCCTTCAGTTTCTCAATCCGCAGACACACCTCCAAAGTTCAGTCTTAGAAGCTGGTTGATCATTTTCTGAATTAATCAAACACATTCAGTGGTGTTGAGGTCTGGACTCTGGGGTGGTCAGCCCATTGTTCAGCTTCTTTGTTTGATGTGTCCGTCTCCTTTTCTCAGTGAGGTTCTTTTTGATCAGCTACACATCCTTTCAGACCCACAGCGCTGAGTCGTCTTCTCACAGTGGAAGGATGGACAGAAACACTTGTGGATGTTTTCAGATCTGAAGCAGCTTGATTTTCTCCTCTCTCTCAAAGATGAAAGCTTTAAGTGCTGTTTATCTGATGGGGGCAGTGTTGGTGGTCTACTAGGACTTCCATGTGGTTGCTAGGAGTCCCATTTTCTCTGTTGCTTTAAACATATTTGGAGTTCCAGTTTCCTGTTTTTCCACTTACTAATGTATTAATAAAAGGTAATGAATAACGAGTGAATGGATACCTTATACGTAACGGCCATTTTCCCTGCAAATTAAATCCATGAAGGGTGGTCTCAGACTTTTGCACAGTGCTGTATGTGTAAGTGTGGATGTGTAGTCCATATATCGACAAGGCCTCATCTCCATCATTCCTACTCATCAGCATGCAATTTCACTTTGTATGCTTCTTCTGGTGGTGAAGGCTGATATAGCCTTACATGTTCACCTCTACCCCTGTGCCTCCAGTTCTTTGGCCCTTCACTCGGGAATGACATCAGTCCCAGCTCCAGGAGCTCCTGGGAGCCTCACTCTGAGGAATGTGGCTGGGAGAGGAGCTGCACACTGCTATTTATTTTTCTCTTGGCCTCCTGTTTATAGCAAAACCAGCCGCTTCAGGGCTCAGAAGAAGGAAATGAAAAAAAAAAAACATGCTTTGAAAAGACAGAACAAAAGTACAAATATCAGGTGCCAATATGTCTCAACTATTTATTCTTGTACCTCAGGCCCACTTGTATGTTTGTCTATCTGTCTGTCTGTTTATCAATCTGGCTGCTTTCTCAATTCTGAATGACACTGTTTAGCTTTTGTATGGGAAACTGAAAAAGTGTGGTGGCACATTGAGCATCTCCTTCAATCCAGACTTACAGCTCAGTAACGTTGCGGGGAATGCCTTTGGGGAGGGCGCGCAGGTGCTTGTTGCTACAGCGCACCACCGTCTCCAGGCAAGTACACTCACTGGGGCACTGTGGGCGGGGCATACAGCTGGCATCCTCTTGGCCTACACCATGGGACATGAGAGGGGAGACAGAGGGAGGGGTCAGTAAAGGAAGAGACAGAAGGTGAAAGATACATGAAGGCAGATGTAATAACAGAGAAGGAAGGCCTTCACAGACTTGAAATTAAAGCCCAAACCAGACCTCTACCCATGACTCTGAGACCTGACCCAGCCAGAGCTGGCTGGTACCGCTAAATTTGAAACCCGACTTTATCAGAGACAAGGTTTTCCAGTCCGTTTTTCAAATAAAAACAAAATCATATAAAGTCACTCAATTGATAACAAACCTGAACCCAGCCCAAGCCCAGCCAAAACCTGGCCTGATCACAGCCCAAGCCTGGCCTGATCATGGCCCAAGCCTAGCCTGATTCTGGCCCAAACCTGGCCTGATCTGCCCAGAGTATTTCCTGATCCCAGCTCGAGTACAGGCCTGACCTGCCCCGAGCCTGGCCTGATCCCAGCCCAAGCCGAGGCCCAACGTGCCCCAAGCCTGGCCTGATCCTGGCCCGAACCCGGCTCAAGCCTGCCCCAAGCCTGGCACAAACCTGCCCTAAGCCCAATATTTTGATGGGCCCTGTCAGGTTCGGCCCGGGTGGCCGACCTCTAGCAGAGAGGCATGCATGACAAATGAGACACAATGTTATAAAGCCAGACAAAGAGATAACAAAAGAAAGATACATGGTGATGAGAAGGCAACAAAGCGCTCGAAAGAAAAAGAGTTTAAAAAAGAGAAGGTCGGTGTGTAGATGCAAGAAGTGTATACAGGTGGAGATTGAGATAAGAATGGAGAGACAAAAGACTGAGAGGTAGAGAGAAATAAATGGCAAAAGAGAGAAAGGCACATTCATCCACGAGAGAGATAAGGCTGGAGAGTGGTCGGCATAGTTTAATGCAATATTGATCTTGAGAGCAAAAACAAATGACCCAGCAAGACAAGCAAAAGGCTTCATTTTATTCTGTGAATCTGAAAAAAGTCAATGGATTGTTACAGCAGTTAATAATTACTGATTAAGAAGCTATTTACAACAGTCATCTTATAGACTGTTTTGTCAGGTTCTAGACAGGCGATGAGAGTGTTCTACCTTCTTCGCAGCGGAAATCTGGCAGAGCCACATCTTGCAGCGGGATCTCCTTCAGGAAGGCCGGGCGTTGGCAGCGTGGGTTCCCTGTGACGATCTTGCGGCTCCGCAGCCAGTCGCCCAGCCATGCCAGCCGGCAGTCGCAGTTAAAGGAGTTGGCCAGCAGGTTCCTGCCACAAAAAACACAGAGGACTTAGAAGACAGTACATTCCAGTCAAAGCTCCAAGCATGTTTCCTTCACACTAATTGAAACCAGCTCTTGTTCTCAACCTGCAGAGGAAGTGGGGTCAATTCAGTTTGATATTTGAAGCTAATTGTAAATTGCTATATTTGTGGAATATACAAATCCAGATGGCTCTGTAAAACAGTCAGTCAGATTTATTGTTGCAAAGCTAGCAACAGCAAGACCACAGCTTTGGGGCCGTGCAAAAGACTGGACAATGGTTTAGTACATACAGAGTAGAGAGGGTCTGAAGGGTGTCGAAGGCTCCAGGCGTAATGGTGGTCAGCTGGTTGTCGTAGAGAGACAGCAGACGGACGTTGTGCAGGCCGGTGAAGCTGTTGTTGTGAATGCAGCTGATACGGTTGTTGCGGAGCATTCTAAAAAAAAAAAAGACAGAAGTCAAGACTTTATTTTTAATATTGTTTTCAAGTACCAGAATATCAGCTGTAATCAATCATGTTAGGTAAGCGTAAAACAGCTAAATCTCACCACACTGTAGTGTTTTTGTTTGTGATTCTCAGAATACTGTTAAAAGGCGAGCCAATGTTAGTATCGGGGTTATTACAACTTTGAAATCTTTTATTTTGGGTACGTTTTTTTATTGTGGTTTTAAGAGCACATTAACAGTTTTAGTTTCATTTTTATGTTCTGAAAAGTAGGACTTTTAATTTAGCTTTTCTTCGATTTCAGGTTCAGTTTTAGTTTTTACTAAAGAAAGAGAGTTACTATTATAATTAAAGTTGTAATAATGAATATTTGATTAGGCTAGAATAAACCATCAATATATATCATTATATTTACATTAGAATAAACCATCAATATATATCATTATATTTACATTAGAATAAACCATCAATATATATCATTATATTTACATAAGAAACAACTAATTATTATATCTTTTCCCCAGTATTTAGCATGTTCAACTTTTACATTCATTTTCAGGAATTTTGCTTTCAGTTTTTCAAAGAAATCTGCAGGGATATTTTCCCACAACTCTAAAGTTCAGTCTTAGAAGTTGGTTACATTATCAGCTTCTTACAATCTGAGTAATTCCAATCACATTCAGTGATACTTGTTACAACTCTAATACAGTTCTTTTACATTGTGTAAACTGACAAGAACTCCAAGCATCAAAGCATTAGAATCAGCTAGCCAGAGAGTCTCAGCCAGCTAGCTTTCTAGCCTTCCTTCAAGATACAGCATCTTTTATGCACTAATAAACTAAAAAACATTTTTTTGGCCAAAGAAATTTTCCCACAAATTTTCAGTAACAGTTTTCGTTAACAATAATATCCCTGATTCGCAGGCGGCACGGTGGCACAGTGGGTAGCGCTGTTGCCTCACAGCGAGAATGGCCAGGGTTCGATTCCTGGCCGGGTGACCAGGGTCATTTCTGTGTTTGCATGTTCTCCCCGTGTCTGCGTGGGTTTCCTCCGGGTACTCCGGTTTCCTCCCACAGTCCAAAAACATGCAGTCAGGCCAATTGGACATGCTGAATTGCCCCTAAGTGTGAGTGTGTGTGTAAATATGTATGTCTGTCTGTCTGTCTTTCTGCCCTGCGATGGACTGGCGACCTGTGCAGGGTGTATCCTGCCTTCCGCCCAATGACAGCTGGGATAGGCTCCAGCACCCCACCGCGACCCATAAGGATAAGCGGTTTAGATGATGTATGTATCCCTGATTTGCAGGTTTTTTAAACCAATTTAAGAATTAGCATGCTGTGGAATGAGAATTAGCAATTAGCATACAACTGAAAGACGAATAAACTCACAGCATCCGTAAACCCTCCAGACCCTTGAACATGCTACTGCGTACGGAGTCCAGCTGATTGGCCGTCAGGTGCAGCTCGTTGACCGAAGAAGCGCCCTCAAACACACCATCCTCGATTTCTGAAATCTTATTATTGCTGAGGTTTCTGTGAGACAAACAGGGACATCAGAGAAGCTTCGCCACACTGTGTTGAAATCAAAGCACTGCTGAACTCTTGGATGTCACACTTACATTTTTTTCAGCTGCGTTAGAGTCTTGAACGCGCCGGTGGCCTCCAGAGATGTGATCTCATTGTTGTTGAGACGGCTTCAGGGACAGCAAGGGAGAATAAGGTCAGGTTGGGAGACAAGGACATTCAGAGGCAGAGGAAGATAGTAGTACAAGTCCTGCTAAAACAATCAGTCACAGAGGCAAGGCAAATCCCACACCCGCATCCCTTCTGGATGAAGATGAGTGTTCAAGCTTTCAGCATTAATGACCGTCAAAAACCACATCCTAAACTGAGGCAATGGGTTTTGCCACTGGAGATACATTTACATCTACAGGAAAGAGAGCTAGACTTGGTATTGGAAAAGGTGAAAAAGGGTAATGTTTGCGGGATCCATGCGGAAGTGCTTACAGCTCAGTGGTGGAGGCTGGGATGTGTTCAGGGATCTTGGTGAGACGCAGGTTGGAGCAGTCCACCACGTTGGACTCGCAGCGGCACTTGGCTGGACAGACCGGGTCGTTGTTGCACTCGTTGTTCAACCTGGTGTCCTCAGTCCCTGAAGGAACACAGATAAAGAATCACAAATCAATCAAAGATGCTCGTGAACATTACCCCATTGCCGAAAGGCGCCTGCAATTTTTGGCCTCCTCCATCCTTGGATATCCCCCATCCTTCCCACACTAGACCACCAACTTCATTCAGATGTTTTCCTCTCGGAGTAGCTCATCAAGTGTTGGGTTGCCTGCAGCGACTCGTCTATCAGGACCTTCACTGGCAGATAATGTCTTTCCCAGTCGAGGTTCCTGCTGCCTTTTGGACCATGCAGTGTGAAACACCAGTGGCTTGGCGCTTGCAGGTCTATGTGGGAACTGCTTTGCCAGATAAACACACCAGGACTATGAAATCAAAGCACTTCGGTGGAACCTTGGAGATCTGGGGGGTGGGGGGGGTGGGGGGACGTTTCGGTAAGCAAAGAGTGTGATTATTCTCCCTGGAGGACATTCGCGCAACCCATACAGATCGCTGTCCTTAAAAAACAGGAGCAGACCGGTCTTTTCTCTCACTGTTTGTGACTTGCTAAGAATAGACTTTATGTGCCAAAGTGCTTGAAGGCAGTTATATAATAGGCGTTCAATTATTGAACACACGGATTGCACTTGAAGCCACTTATGGAGGGAGCCGTTGTGTGCTTTGGTTGGACGGCGCACTATTGTTGCTCTTGCTACGGCTTTGGGGTGGCTGTTAACGAGCCGAAGTGCTCCCAGCTACAGCGTGTGGGAGAAAAAGTCCATGCTCACTCACCACAGACAAGTCCATCTGATGAAAAGTTAAAAGCTAATTTGTTATTTAACCAAAGTCCTCGTCCAGGGCAAAACCACAAATCCTGTTCAAAGGAATCTGCAGCAGGGAATGACGCAGTCCTGGATCAGTACACCATTCTTCGATAGTACAACAATAATCTTCAGCTCATTCGTGCCCTCAACCACCAAATACTGTTGTTTTGAGCTGAAATAGTGCACTGCAGAAAATCCTTCCCACTTGGATTTCTTTATAATGGAGGTGATTGGAACCAGGGGCTGCATTGTCTCTGATGCATCCAGTGAACCTACACTGTCTTATGTTTTTTTATATGTAATGTTGGTGGCAAAATAGTGGTAATTCTGAAGAAGTAAGGTGACTATATTGCCTTTTAATATCCTGCATGTATCTTATCACTCTGTATGTATTTTAACCCCAATTCTCGGCAACAGTAACATCATTTTATGAAGTTCAGTGCAGAGAACTGGAGCCTTCTGAGTGCTACTGTGTTTCTATGCCTGTATAAAAGAGGCATGGGGTTTCTTTTCTTGTTGGATGCACTGTGCTTTTTTTCCGAGTGAGCATGCAAGCTCAATCAGAGCGCAGTTCAGATCGGTAAGCGCTTATTTTTGATTTGTTTAACCAGCGTAACGATGACGTACACTATGACTAGCATTCCTGAACTGCAAAAAACAGTATCTTGTCAAGTAAAATTATCTTTAATTTTATTTCTCCTGTTAAGCTCTTTGTAAGCTTATTTCAGGATTATTTGACTTCTTTCCAAACATTTTTTGCTTATTTTAAGTAATTTTATTAAGTGAAATTATCTTACTACATTGGCAGGTAATTTTTTGTTTGAAACAAGCTAAATCATCAGCCAGTGTAGTGAGATAATTTACTTCATAAAATTACTTAAAACAGAAAAATGTCTAAAAAATAAGCTACATAATCTACAATAAGTGCACAACCATCTCAAAATAAGAAATATTAGACATATCGACTAGAATTAAGATAATTTCACTTGACAAGATACCATTTTTTGCAGTGTCAAAATGCAGTGTCAACACCAAGTTGACAAAAACTAAATAAAAACCGACGGTTAGTTCATTTTCTTAATCAAAATAGTCACACTAACAATTCATGATTCATAAATTGCAGATTAACCAGCAGAAATAGATGCTTTTTTGCACCTGCCCTAATGTGTAGAGTCAAAGGCTTCATGTAAAACAATGTTTCAGGCAAAGTATTCATAACCATTGCATGTAATAACCTTCTGAGGGAGCTTCAGACGTCTGATTTCCATCACCAGCTTCTCTAGAATGGTTCATTTCATGATCACGTCAAACGACCCTGAATGTCTTTGCTCCTTTATTCAGTTAATTATTAAGAAATTTCAGAAATTCAGAGAAAATTCCCCTTCGAATGTATGGGATGACCAGTTCTGCAGGGGCAGGCTGACGTGTTCTGCTAAGGTCAGCAAACGAGGGTTCTTTTTTTGTCCCACTTTTCTTTCCACTTCTCCCCCAGACTCTTCTCAGATTCAGGAAGTTTAGACACACTAATGATCTAGCATTAGTGGACGCTTTGGGTGTGACTTGTGGAAGCGGTATTTCCTGACTGAATAATAACAAACAAACAAAAAAAAAAACAGCTTGAGAGGAAACAGTAAAGTTGGCAGAGCTCTTTGTTGTTTCTCTTTTTTTTGCGAGGGGTGAAGATGGGTGGTGAATTCCACTTTGTTCATCACTTGTACTCCAAGTTCCAATTAAGACCTCATCTGCGCTGGAAACCCGGAGTGACTCACAGCTGGCTGGGGGGGGCTTCGGCGAAGAGACGAGATTCTCCGACACAGACCATTTCAGACGTCCTGGGGCTGTTTATCTTTCAGAACTTTTTGTTGCGTAGGAGGAAGGGAAAGAGAGAGGGCGAGCGAGAGGAGGGAGGAGGGAGGAAGCGAAATAGAGAGTCGCTAGAGAGATACAGCAGTAGAAAACCTCAGGACAGTCACTTTGTCTTATGATATAAGACTTCCTATTATTCATCTAATAAAAGGCTGTTCTGCGGGGACGGCGCTGAACCGCTTTCAGCTTTTTATTATTATTAGAGGAGGACAGATAACGCATGAATCAAGTATCTCTTTGATCTTTCCAGCGCTTAAATTTCCATTAAAGCCTTCTGCCAATGTCAGCGCTTCATTTCATTCACTTGACTGCTCCCCATAAAATTATATTCTTGGAAAAACGCTCTGGTGAAAGGATCCGGAAACACCACCAGATATGAATCTCTCTGCTCTGAGACACCCCCTCCCCACACATCCCACCCCCCCCTCCTTTGGTAAGTTACTGCAGAGGCCACCTTATTACAAACAACTTCCTTCGAAAGTTAGACAAAACAAAACGTCACAAAGAAACCCGAACATTCGTCATAATAGGTTTTCTTCTCATCCCGGTTCTGAGATCATTTGACAGAGGGATTTACGGGTTCCATTCATTGCTGAATGAATGTCTACAATGCCGTGTGATGGAGCAAAGCATGAGAGGCAGAGAGAGGGGGGGGTTCGGAGGAGGGGAAGGGGGGCAACAAAAAAGTAAAAGAGAAAGCCAACGAGGAAGGGTAGGGAATGTTGAAGCCCACTCACCTGGAATGGAGTACTGCTCTTTGGCTGTGATGGAGACAGAAGGAGAAAGCAGTGATATCAGTTAGGGGCAGTCAAATGGATGCAGCATTAGGCGGACGAAGGATTCTGATTCTGATTCTGAATCCAAAGCCTGTCTGACAAAAACTTCCTGCTAACTAGAAATAGAAAATCCACTAATATAGCAATAATAATGTAATTACACTGTAATAAACTGATGGCTGTTTAGACGGGTTAAAATCAGGCTCTTTCATCGTTAGATAGAGCCTACACATTTGAAATTTATGGTTCTTCAAGGGTTCTTTAGTAAAAAAAAAAAAAGATTCTATATAGGGCCGTGACCACTCAAAGAACCCTTTACATGATTAAAGTGCAAGCTTTTTTCAGATTGTTTGGGAACGTGCTGTAGAACCTTTTTTAAAAGGGTTCTATACAGCACCAAAAAGTGTTCTTCTACTGTTACTGTAATGTCAGTCTTATTACAATAGAAGGACCCTTTTTGGTGCTTTATAGAACCCTTTTCAAAAAGGTTCAATATATAATCATCTACAGCACATTCTCCATCAATCTGAAGAACGCTTCCACGAAGCCTTTAATCATACAAAGGGTTCTATGAGTGTTCGTGGTTCTATAAAGAACCAAAGAAGCCTTGAAGAACCATAATAAGTGTGTACTGATCAGGTGCCCATTACGATACCATAAGTGGCTGATTTTGACATAACCGAACGTTCCGCCATTCATTCCTATGGAAAAACAATTTGTACGAAAACATAAAAACCGTACTTCCGATCTGCCCCAAAAGTGTAGGCATAAATCTCAGGTATGGACTGAACATTTGCATCAAGTTTGGTGGTTCTAGCTCAAAAGCTGTCAACTTAATTACCAAGCCTTAATTATTAATTAAGTTAAGAGTTAAGTAAGCAAGGCCAGGGACACCTAATAGTGTAATCTTCAGGCCTTGGAGAATAGCTAAGGCAAACTGGCACGCCTGAGGGTCTCTGCTCCATAAATAAGAGCGTGTTTGGCAGCTGCTGCTTCTCGGACTAAGACTCCGCTCTGAGACCGTGTTTACAGGGATGGGCCCATCCAGACCGGATTAGACAGTTGTTAGTGGAACCACTGGGGAAATATGTGCCAGGCTGCAAAGCTGCGGCGCTAACCCATTTCTAAGACACTAAGGGTGAAAGGAAGGCGCTGGGAGGAGGAGGAGGGGGGGTGTTTGTGTATGAGTACGGGTTCGGGTGTGAAACTCAATGCCGTGGCTGAGTGATGTCAGCTTTCTTTCTGGCTTCTACGTGAAACTCGAAACGCTATATGCCAATGCGGTAATAAGGCCAGAAAAAGGAACTCGGAAGAACAATGTAAGGAGGAGGGAGCCCAGCATGGAGCTCTTTGTTTAGGTCCCCAACCACAGCTCACTCGCTCCTGCCCGAGACTAAAGCCAGATCGCTTTTCTTCGCTGTCTGAAAGCACATCGATTAGTCTGGGACTGGCGGTTAGATGCAGCGCCGTTCGGTTTAGCGATGACAGCAACCCCATGGAATGCATGTTAAAGGGAGATGGAGGGAATGTGCAGCAATCGGATGATCTGCCAGAGTGGGTAAAAAGGAAGGCTGAGGCTTACCAGAACAGCGGAACTTCTTGCTCTTGATCTGGCCGATGCGCTTGTTGGCGAGGCGGCGAGGGCTAGCGCATCGCGCGCCGCTGGTCTCAATCGGGTTGGAACGGAGGTAGTCGGCCAGCCACTTGAGATTGCAGTCGCAGATGAAAGGGTTCTGAGCCAGATGACTGTAGTGGGGAAGTGATAATGATAAGGCCTTAGCATGCAAACAAACAGCTACTACCACTGCTAACTCACATTAAGGATGTGCCTTCTAATTTGATATGCGAGTACTCGCATTCGAGAACCTGTTGGAGTATATATATATATATATATATATATATATATATATATATATATATATATATATATATATATATATGGCAAAGAGAAAAGAGTAGGTTTTCATGTCAGATGAGAAACAGAGCCTTCTTCTTTCCAAAGGATAATGCACTAACACTAGAGCTAACCAGTACAAAGTGAGAAACGTTAGTTAAGTGACCCTTTTTAGTCGCACAATGGGGAAATCTCACCTCTGCATTTTAACCCACCTGTGCAATGAAACACTCACATACACACTAGTGAACACACACTTCTGTCACACGCTGTTAGCTCAGGGGATCAACTGGCGACCTTCCGATCACAAGGCTGGTTCCCTAACCTCCAGCCCACGACTACCTCGGGGGGTGGGACTTGTTGCCTCCTCTTCTGTTAGTCCTCACCCTCGAAACATCTTGTTAGTGGGCCTAGCTAACATCTATTTAACATCAGCATCAGAGTAGTTGGCCTAGTGATAAAGGCTGTGTTCTGCTTAATCCTTCATGGGAAGATGACTGTTTTGCTCATATTTCTGAGTGTGTGTGTGTGTGTGTGTGTATACACACACACACACTCAGAAATATGAGCAAAACAGTCATCTTCCCATGAATGACCGTGACAAATACTTAAATAATAAACAGTTAACTGAATTCTCATTCATAATTCACATCTTTCCTGTAAAGTGATCACTGGCTATTTTTAAATATTGTAATAAAAAAATACTTTTAAACTCAGGTAACTCTACTATTCTGCCAACATCCCTGGTTTTGCTTACTATGGTCAATTTACATAGTGAGATCTCATCCTTGGGCAACAGTAGCACAGTTCCAGCAATTCCTAAAAGGGGCCTTCAGGTTATCTGACAATGCTTTAGCGACACTTAAACCTCCCCCCTCCCCCTGCATGCTTGTTGTCCAAGAGTTTAAAGAGGTGGCGCACAGTAGCTAAGAATTCCAGAGTGCTAGCTATGCACCAACCATAGCTGTGGTCATTTGAGCTATGCGTCTAAATCCAGAGCAACGCATACAGTGGACAAAGGGGCCCATCGTTTATTTAAAGCTGTCTCCTGGAATTCGGTCTAAATATAATGATCTTATAACTGACTTTCCATCCTTTCTAACTGTCATCCAATCTGCCTTGTTGATTTCAAAACCAAACGTTTGGCAGGAAACAGCAAAATGATGAGCATGACTGTGTGCACATGCATGCAACATTATATCCACTGGTAGCTCAGCTAGTTTTGGGGCCAAACAACAGTAGATATGTTCTACACGCAGTATAAAGGGAAGGAACATGTCAGACTTTGAGATCAGTTCAAAGTGTGTGGGCTGAAGGGTATTGTTCTTTATATTCCACTGAGACGAGAGCAGTTAGGGAAGGCAGGAGGAGCGCAGACTATTGTTTGACGTGCCCGTAAGGCTAAAATTACCAGGCTGAATGATTTATGATGCTCTTTATATCCTCACCACATTGCCGTATTATTAGATAAGGTTACAGGTGTAAACAGAACAAAAATGCGCTGGGACATGTTTCACGGTGGCAGTACAGCAGAAATACATCTATGAAAGTGCACTTTTGAGCTCCAGTACCAGTCAAAAGATTAAATGTAATTTTCATAATCAAACACAATTTGTACTGAATCACACACTACAAGTAGTTTTTAGCAGCGTAAGTGTGTGTGGTAACATCCCAGCTGGCTCCTCATGAAACTAGCTGAGAGAATGCCATACATACGTGTATATATATATATATATATATATATATATATATATATATATATATATATAAAACCTTGTATCTCCTTTACAGGAGAAGGAAAAAACATACTTTACTTTTAATGTAAGTCAATGGAAACAGACTTTTTCGAAGGCATTTTGGGCCGTTTCTTTTGGTTCATTCCTCATGAAATTTACATACAATGTAAAGGACAAACAGGTACTTCCTTTAAATTATTTTAAATATAGCATTAGCATTTTTTTAGCGTGTTGACTCAGCAATGTGACTCTGAGTTTTAACAAAACAATTTTACAGTTTGAAGTTTTAAATAGAGGTATAACTGACTTATTTAAGGCAATAAGACAGCATAGTGAGTAATGTTAAGGCCTTGTACTGTAGAGACTGGGGTTCAAGTCCCTCCGCTCGGGCATTAAGGGAGATGTTTCACACTAGCATCTCTCAATATGAGTGCCTGCATTTTTCTATAAACTATATTAAGTATGATCAATGTTCAGGTTGCTCTGTTTTCCCTTGAGCACCTGCCCAAAAGGGCAAAACTCCAGAGTCCAAACTTTTGACTGGTACTGTGGTTGGAGGGAAAAATCAAAAATACAGTAAGCCTCTGGTGCTTTTGCCAAGTTTATGCTCCAGATATGGAAGAAAATGGAATAGATCATGTGTTTTAGACCATCTGCGTTTCCCGTGAACGTGCACTTGCATAAACGTGAGTATGTGTGTGTAGTGCTGTGAGTGTGAGTGGATCAGAGAGAGCAGAGACAGTTCACTCCGGTGCTTCTGAAGCCCAGAGAGCGACCATCAGCAGAGCTGGGAAGGATGGCAGACGGGTACTTACAGAGTCTGAATGGCACGCAGGGAGGCGAAGGTGCCCTTAGCCAGAGTCTGGATTTTATTGTCGTACAGTGACAACAGAGAGAGGTTCTGCAGGTCCTGGAACGCGTTGGCGCGCACGCAGTGGATCTTATTGGCATTCAGAAGACTGAGGGGAGACGACACAAGAAGAGAGAGAGAGAGAGTAGACTGATGAGAGCGGGTCAAACAGGACAAAGCGTAAACACTTTTTTTGATTGCGCTCGTAATAAATTGAATCGAGTCATATTGATTGGGCATGCTTGGCATTTTACGTTCATCACTCTCTATTCGGGTGTGCAGCAGTTATATAAGCACGCCCTTCCGAAAGGACTGCGCGAACTTACAGCAGCTGGAGGGCGTAGAGCCCGTCAAACACTCCTTTGGGCAACTCGGTGATCTTATTCCCGTACAGGACCCTGCGGATCAGAGAAACGGCTTTCACACCAACGGAGCACAAAGCCCAAACCAAGCTCACATCTGGGACTGATATTTCCAGCAAGTGTAACTGTTTCAAGCTGTCAGACTGAGATATGTAGAGAGGTATTTGTTTAAAAAAAAAAAAAAGCAAGACTTGTAAAATTAAACATGGTTGTTTATGCACTCTGGATGAGTTTGGAAGTGCTTTCTTTCAGAGAAGCAAATACAGCACTGTGTGAAAGTCAGAGACCACCCTTCATCTACTGGATTTCCACCCAAAACGGTCACGAAATCCAAAAGTTCAGTCTTAGAAGCTGGTTGATCATTTTCTGAAGTAATCAAACACATTCAGTGGTGTTGAGGTCTGGACTCTGGGGTGGTCAGTCCATTGTTCAGCTTCTTTGTTTGATGTGTCCGTCTCCTTTTCTCAGTGAGGTTCTTCTTGACAGCTACACATCTTTTCAGACCCATAGCGCGGAGTCGTCTTCTCACAGTGGAAGGATGGACAGAAACACCTGTGGGTATTATTTGATTTTCTCCTCTCTCTCAAAGAAGTACTGTTTATCTGATGGTGACAGTTTTGGTGGTCCACCAGGCCTTCGATTTTCTCTGTAGCTTTTGATCATTTATTCCCACTCTGACTTTCTCCTTCCAGATGCGAGTGGATTATCTCATATCTGAGCTTCACAGAAACGCGTCCTGAAAAAATAATGACTTAGGCATACCTCAGTGGCGTGTTTAACTGGAAAGGTGGTCTCTGACTTTTGCACAGTACCGTACACAAGAACACGGGCCTGCTTAGGATTCACTGTAGGTTAAACATAACAAACGTGCCTTGACAAGCAACATACACTTACAGCGAGTTGAGGGAACGCAGACCTTGGAAGGCGTCGGGAGCGATCTCAGAGATCTGGTTGTTGCTGAGGTCTCTGTGAGCCGGGAGAGAGAAGAAAAGGGAAGAGCAAAGAGAATGAGAAGGAAGCCAAAAGGCAAGCAAAGACAGACAATCCATGAGTGGTCTGACCCTTACTTGTCCCCCAGCCCCCACCCCCACCACCCCAAGACAGTAGCACCAGTGGAACATCAGCCACACATGACTGGCTTCCACACAGGCTCCAGGCAGGATGCACTCAGCACATACTCAAACTGACACCGGATCAGCCCGCTGCTGACGGGCGTGGGGCTTTTGCGGCGGCCCAGGCCTCCGCCCGCTTACGTGGCAGCCTGCTGGCCGGCTGTGGACGCCATAGCCCCGGGCATGGCCGCGGGCTGGCTCTGAGGTGGGGTTATTAATAAGGCACAGGGCTTTTCCCCTCTGCTGGAATGGATTTTAATAAACTCCGCAGGCCCGTGGCCCTCTCTCAAAACCACAGCGGGCATCCTCCCGCTAGCTCCCTAGAAGAGTGAGAGAGAAAGAGCTTGGGGGGGCGCTGGGGGGAGTTTCTAATGCAATGCAGAGAAGACAAGGGATGTGACCAAGCGCCACTATTGAACTGTCCCTCAAAAGTTTGGGCACACCATGCCAGCCTTTTTACACTGTTACTGTGTGAATTCTACCGTTACAGCTTCATTTTTACTCTTACATTACATTGTCACTGTTGATTGTTAGTCTTACTATTTGCACTATTTGATTTCACCATTTCTGTTTAATTTACTCCATTACTATTCGATTTACAATGTTACTGTCGAGTCACAGTTACTGACGATTTACAGTTCAAATCAAACAGTAACAGTTACTGGTACAGTTCGATTTGCACTGGGACCGTTCGATTTACCACTGATTTACACTGTTGCTATTTGATTTCCACCATTTGATTTTACCATTTCTGGTTAATTTACACCATTACTGTTCGATTTGGACTGTTACAGTATGATTTACATGTTTACTGTTTGAACTGATTTGCACTCTGTTACACTTCATCGTTACCACTAATTCACACTGTTACTATTTGATTTGCACCATTTGATTTCACCATTTCTGGTTAATTTACACGGTGTTACCATGATACTGTTTGATGTGCACTGTTACAGTTCGATTTGCGATGTTACAGTTTGACATTTGCTGTAACTGATTGATTTACAGTATTGCTGTTCAATATTCACTGTTATTTTCACTGTTAGTTTGATTTTCATTGTTGTTTCATTGTTGAGTCCTAACCAATAAGAAGACATAACATGAGTTTTGCCCTTTGTGCGAGAAGAAATTTGAAGATCTAAACAGCTTTTGATTCAACGTTTTTGCAAACTAACAAAGAAAACATGCTCATTTATTTAAAACACTTTTGAAAAGCTGTTAAAAAGCTGTTGGATATCCGTTGAGCAGGTCACTAAGACCAAATGACTGGGTTTCAAATTAAATAATTTATTATACTGATCTGATCATATTGATCACATTGTCTCAATAATGGGAAAGGACATTGCAATTTCTAGGAAATGTTCTGCATACATTCCATCTTCTGTTATGATCGCTGTAGTTCGCTCACTTGTTTTGTCACACCTGGAGTACTGCCCAGTGGTTTGGTCAAGTGCCACTAAGAAATATTTAAAAAACTTAAAATTGTTCAAAACAGAGCAGCCAGATTAGCTCTTTGCTGTTCTTTCCATGCTAACGTTGCATAATGTTATAGTAATAACACAAAGTTTTTTCATGAAAAACAAGTATTTTCAGGGTTTTGTCATACATGTCAAGTGAGTTCTGGTCAGCTGGAGATGCAAAGTCGAAGATCAAATTGTATGAAGAAAATTGTTCTTTATAGGACGTGTTTAGCTTGGAATATGAACCCCATAAGATTTTCATTTTAAAAGTTCTTAAAAAGTTCTTTTAAAAAACAATATTTGATGAAGCTCATATAGATGTTATTGTGGTATTGTTGATTTTTGGTATTTAGTGTAGGTTATTACAGGTTATTGATCCTCTTGTTGAGTATTAGCTTTTAGTTTTACTTGATTTTGTCTTGTTTATGATACAGGATGATTTTAATGATGTTTGTTTTATTTTTATTGCATTTGCTTTTGTGTGGAACCCAAGACGACTAGCAACCACTTTGTGGAAGCTACTGGGATCCAAATAAAGAATGAAGTTTAAAAAGCTGGATGTTCCCAGACTTTTGACAGGCAGTGTACTCGGTGGCCCCCGTGTATAAATGGCTGTCCGTCTCCTGGCAGAGGTATGAAGCTTTCCTGGACGTTGCCCAGGGTGGTTAACAAGCCTGCGGCTGGCCCTACGCGCCACTTCCAACACCCTCCAGCTAGCCCAGAGGTCATCTGAAGCCGCATCGAGGAAAAAACGGTCTCATATCTACAAGCGACTGAGTGCAAACCCGGCGAAGGTCAAGACAAGTACGACTGCTCTGTGCACACGGAGGACGGTAAACACTAAAAATGGGTCACGGGTGGCCCATTTATACTGACAGGAATGTTGAGGGAGACACTTTGATTTTTTTTCTTCCTTCCACTCCCACATTAGTGGCTTACTTTGACTCGTCCAGCCTGGTGAGGAGTTGTGAGGGAAAGAGGGACAGCTGAAAAAGCAGACAGGACTTGGAGGGGGAGGGGAGGGGATGTGTGAGTGTTATTTTTACAAGCATGTCAAGCAGTAGCAAAGCTTGTTTGGTTACCAGGCTGCCGCATCACCCAAGGGCGAGCGAGAGGAGCGGAGGCTGGAGGAGAGTTTCTTCTTCCCATGGCTGCTATTTGAGGGCCGGAGCTGGGCAAAGGCTGAGGTTTTGCGGATGTGGCTGCCAATGAGCGCCCGCAGGTCACTCCGGCCGCTGGGATGTGCCAAAGTCCGGAGTCTTCCATCCCTAGCGCTCGCGTTCCCATGGATGGTAATCATGCTGGCCACAATTTACGGTGTGTTAAGTGACCCACTCCCACACGCTCGCTCTCCGCACCTCTGTGCAAGAAAGTATGTCGGGCAGGCCTCCGCACTAAAAATAGCCCGGGACATCAGTGGGGACTGCGAACTGTCGTAACTTATTTACAGGAATGCATCAATGAGCTCCGGCCAATAGGAACTCCACCCAAAGATCGGGTTCTTAATTTTATTTTGATGTCCCTGGGAAAGCAGGATTTCTCGTAGCTAGATAACTTAAGCTGAAAGTAAGACTGTCCAATGGGAATGTTCCTAACCTTTGGACACTGCTTTATTTTGGGCTTGAGTTATCTGGCTAACTGCTAACTTAGCCAGATAACTTCAGGCAATAATATGGAATTACCATGGAATAGAAGGGAATAATATAGATGTATGGAAATGTTTTAGGTGGAATCCTGGACAACCTTATAACACATATTGAGGGTTTATTAAGGCCTTGTTTATTATTATTCAATTAAACACAAATTGGACCATTTTAAATGGTTTATTCACTAAGCTAAGTAATTTATTACAACCATCATTAGCACATAACCTGAGGCCTGTTATAGAACTATATTAATTGTAATAGTGCACAACAAACACATACCCTGTTCTGCTCCTTATTGATCATGAAATAATCATCAATGTTTATATCATTTTCAGTATTTGATTCCTATTGGTTCTAGTCAGCATCAAGTGTTTAGAGCTAATACATCAAGTAGAGTTTTAGTCATCACTTATAAGAGTTGAAACAGTTCTCAATAAGTCATTTTGCATTACAAATTCAACACCTACTCATGAGATTTTGTTTGTAAAAACATTAAAAACTCTTCTACATTCTTCTTATTAAATTTAATATAAGCAATTCGGTTCTTAAAATGAACTGAAACATAATATATTAGCACACTGCATGTTTGACTATCAAAAAGCCATGAAATTACATTAACTTTAAATCACAGGATGCAAAATGACTTTTTGAAGTCTTGCTTATAGCTTTTTAGGCTCTAATTAGTGAAATCCTAAAATATTAATGATTTATTAAACACTTATTAGCTCTAAAGCATTAAACTCCTGAAGTTACTTGGAGCAACCTAGAATCTACAGGAATCAAATGTCGCCAGTTATAAACATAAACAAATGCACATTAGGTGATTAATTCATGCTTAATACTTTGCACAAGGTCTTAACAGTGTTTACAGTGCATTATTAACTATTAATGTAATTAGAAATGATTTTCACATAATCTAATTCTCTAATTGTGTACTAATACAGGTCAGAATGAGCTTAGTGCAGTATGAATAAACCATTTAGAAGCCTCTACTATGAGTTTTACTGAACAAACAATTTAGTCGGGCATGCGGGTCACTGGGCCATTAATATGATGTAGCAAGTGGTTGTTAAGGTGTTGCCTGGCCAGTGATATGATGTCCCAGGTGGTTGCTAAGGTGTTACTGGGCCACTGATATGATGTCCCAGGACGTTGCTATGGTGTTGCTGGGCCACTGATATAATGTCCCAGGTGGCTGCTAAGGTGTTGGTAAGATGTCCCAGTGTTGATAGGATGTCCCAGTGTTTGCTAAGGGTTGCTTGGCCATTGATATGATGTCGTACGTGGTTGCTAAGGTTGCTTGACCATTGATATGATGTCGTAGGTGGTTGCTAAGGTTGCTTGGCCATTGATACAATGTCCCAGGTGGTTGCTAAGGTTGCTTGACCATTGATATGGTATCCCAGTTAGTTGCCAAGGTGTTAGTAGGGCATTGCTATGGTATCCCAGGTGGTTGCTAAGGTGTTACTAGGCTGTTCCTATGGTGTCCCACATGGTTGCTACGGTGTTGCTAGGCTGTTATAGTATCCCAGGTGAGTTACTAATATGTGTGTCGCACAAATACGCTAGCAAATACACTAGGCTTTCTTCTTTTTAGTGATTGCTTTAAGCCATGTAGCTGCATTTTTGAATAAAGCATTACTTTAGGACCAGGTGCGACTACATCATCTTAGACCAGTGGTCACCAACCCTGGTGACGACATGTACTAGCATGCATATTCGAATAAAGATTGTGTTTGAACAAACGCTGTACGACAGCTGTATGTGCGATCACAAGCACAGTATTCCTTAATAGACTTCACGATCCTGCAAAGTTTAATGGTTTAAGCTCAAAAACTGCTACTCATTAAAATAGAACAAAAAAGTGTAGGATAATAAAACAAAGAACAGTAAGTTTGCTTTGTCAAGTCAAATAAATAAACCTCCAATAAAATGTTACTGAATAATTATTGTGGTTTAGAATTCAGCCATAAAAGCCTTGTGGTCAGTTATATGTATACAAAATTGTGCAGGATTTGTTGCACATCTGTTTGAATTCATATCCAATTCATATGTTTTGTCTTTAATAATGGATCAAATTATAGCATGCAAAGTAACGACATTTCAGATCTAATGTGAAAACAGGAGGAATGTGTTTTCTGATGCGACCGTGAACTCACATTCTCCGCAGCTTCTTGTAGGGGGAGAACGCTCCGGGAGGGACGGACTTGATGCCGTTCTGTTCTAGTCGTCTGTGGAATTAGAGAAAGAGAGAGAGAGAGAGAGAGAGAGAAGAGGAACAGTGGTGGAAGTCAGACAACCAGACAACAAAAGAACACCATAGCAACAAAGCTCATTAACATGCTGCTGCTCGGGCTGCATTGCGTAATGGTCAGGTGCGTCTCATTATCCCCGCCTCAACTGGACAGCATTTACATAATGTCCAGTTTTTGTACCAGTGACAAATGGCAGGGCTAATCACAGGGATGTATCTGGGACACTTGTGGTCTCCTTTGTGTTTCCTTGGGCTGACTTGCATTTTGTCCACATCTTTGTTCCAGAACTTGCCCATGGAGACCAGGTCGCTGCACCACGAGAGCTAGCAAATATGCTAGATTTTCTTTTGTTTTCAATGATTTCTTTGCTTTACTTCATTTTTGAGGTCCTGGACATCCACCTTCCTACAGAGTCTAGCTCCAACAACAATCTGCCACACCTACTCTGTCTAATTAGCCTCTCCAGAAGTTCCTGATTGGCTGGATGACAGAAATGTTTCATCCTGACATAAAAGTGACCAGTTGGGCTAACTTTGCATTGATTCACAGTGGCCTTCTAAGGCAGTGGTCACCAACCCTCTTCCTGGACTTCCCATTACCTTACACTTTGGACACACTGGACTTTGTAGAAAGGTAGATCTCCAGGACCAGGGTTGGTGACCCCTGCTATAAAATGACAAGTGGACCCAAATCATGCCAACAACGCCCCCCCATAATAAAACAGACCCTCTCAACCCCCTCATTGTAGAGCATTGTAGAGGTCAAGTATTCAGGTCTCTTAATGTATGTAGCACATGCACTCGCCCACTTGTAGACAACATGGAGACAGATGACTCGCCTCTTCTGTTTTTCCTTACGCACTAATGCATGATCATCATGCTCACTGAATGTGCACTTTCGACCACAATTTCCAACCCTTTATGTCGATGTCTTTTCCACAGATCCAAACGCAGATTCAAAGTTACTCAGATCTTTTCCTCTTGGCATCTTGACCGAAGACGAGGTCAGCTGGACCTGCATGCCTCATGATAATAGCTTAATGGAGCGATGGAGTACACTTGTCTGAAAGCATCTGCACCCACCCATCTGTATGGCCTGACACAGAATCATGGTCCTAACTTCAGCAACACTACAAGCTTGATGGTGTCTGTTGTTGTAGCCAAAGGAAGGCCCCTGGCTGGTGGGTTGAGAGTGCTAACAGGCTAGATGAGGTGGCCACGCTTTGTGGGGAACAGGCTTGTTAAGTGACACTGTCAGCAAGGGCTAAGCTAGGTCTCAGCCCTCTAATCCCGACGCCTCTCTGCTTGGCTGCCAGTCCCAGCCAGAGCGGCTCAGTCTCGCTGCAGAAACACACATGCTAACCTCGCACAAACACACAGGCCAACTGAGCAGTTGACCGCTGTTCACCCCACCTATTTGAACCACAACCAACCAATCAAAATGTGCAAAATGCCAAATGAAAGAGCCAGCGGGTGCATTGATTAAAGGAAGGAAAAGAAAATGCCATGCTTCTTAGATTAATCATCACTGAACCTACTTGATTCTTGGACATCTGAGTTTCTCCAAACCACCGCACTGCTGGGATCATTAGAAACCACAAGTTGTTTCTGGGCCCTTTTCACTCGCAGGAACCCATTAAGGGAGTTAGCATTAAGCCACACGCAATCAGTTCTCACCATCAATCTCTGGAAGTCCCAAGTCCAGAATCTGTCTCCATGGATTTATCTCTATGCACCTGCGTGTGTGCGCCGCTGAAACTCGTGCACACGTATGCTATAGATACATGTGGCGACAAGTACTCAGCAGAACGGTGAAAATGGACTCTCATACGAATACACGCTTATCTGTTGATGTACTGGATCTTTGTCTATTCCCTAATTAAATTTGTGTCATTTCTTGTATATATGTGAGTCCAAAGGCCTCGATCTGAAACCGGGCAGATCGACCGGACACTGCAGATCAGCTTTATTAATCGCATGTGTGCCCCTCCACCCCCACCCCTCAAGGGTACAGCACGATCCCTTCGCTCGCTCACAGCGGAACCTTCACGAATCGGACGGCCCTAATCAGCGTCAGCTGTGCTGGAAAAAGCCAGGGAATGCAATAAAGGTTTATTTCTCTTGCGCTCTGAGAATCCCATTAGCGGCTGCATAGGCCGGCCTCGTTTTTTTCTTCTTCTTCTTTTTTCTTTTTTTTTTTTTTAAATGTGGCTTTCGCCTAATGACCGCAAGGTTCACCTGTGCAGCAAGGCCTGCAACAGACAGCTGCCTCTGAGACTTGATCCCCCTCTAAGCTTTATTGAAGGGGGGTGGATTTTAAAAGCTATAAAGTGACCTAGGCGGTCATTGCCCCTACTTGAGCACATAAGCCCCTTGATTGTGGAACACTTCCGCCACAAAGTCATTTCTTTGCCTCTCAGTAGCGGCCAAGTTGAAGGAATGGTGACACATAATTTACATAATATGTCCAGTTTGGCCAAGCCATATTGGTGTCCAATTTTTTTCTTTTTCTAAAAAACGTCACCCAAATCTTTTACCCACAATTTCAAACCCATTGCACTCAAACTGCACCCAGGTCTTCAATAAGGTGGCACAGACTTACCGATGTGGTTTAGTGGACAGTATGGGTTTCTTTAAAAATGACGGACACTAGATTGCATTCATGATTTCTGTTTTAGACATTCATAAACATATTTACCTTTAACAGTTATTTATAAAGAGAAACAACAGAAAACTAACACAATATGTAGCATCCATGTTCCTGATTGCAGAGCATACATATGAAGACAAGTCTGGTTTCGGCCCAACACCCGTTGTCTAAAACGGCCAGCCACAGCGTTCACACATGGTTCACAGTGTGTCCTAAACCACACCGACAAATGTGACTAAACCTAAGAGAGTTTTTGGGGATGTATTTATGAAATAGATTTGGGTGACTATTGACTTCCAGTGTTTGGTAGCAATGTTAGCCTCCAGCACAAAACTACAGAGGCAAAATTCAGGCACCAGACTTGTCTGATACTACGTCTAGGGTAAGTGGGAACATTGTGTAAACTTGCCTTTTTGCAGAACCACCCTATAACTTTTAATATGTTAGGATTAGGACATTCAGTGAAGATAGATTGAGTGAAGAACACTGTTGGAAGTCGGCGGCAGCTAGAACTGAGTTGCACCATTTTCAATTAACCATGTTCTTCCACTTCAAAGATGCACTTAGTGGGAATTATAGCGATGCAATTTAAATTCCATGGATTGCAGCGAATCCAGACCACAGGATACAGCTATGCACATTCCTGCGGTGGTCATGTTTTGGGACGCTCTTTTTTCGGCCCTTATTTATAAGCATGCATCCCAAATGAATTTACTGCAGATGTCACTGCAGAAGTCAGCGGGACGAAGTGTGCCCTGCCACTCTCATTAAGTCTCTAGGAGCCTCAGGCCTGAGGGCAACTATTGTGTGTGTTTTTGTTTGCGACAAAGAGAGAGACAAAGTGCTCCAGGCACCCCCCCACCCTTCCAAAATCAATACCCGTGGTGACTTTAAGCTCTGTCACGACATTGGGATCAGGTGATGAATATGGAAGCTTAGAGAGTGGCAGATTGAAATCGATTAAGGGTCAGAACGAGGCCTGTGCAAAGACTGCGGATTGATTCCCTCCATTCGCAGACAACCTCCAATCAAAAGGACGGGGAAAAAGAAACAAACACTGTTCCAAAATAGCCCCTAGGTAGATAATCAATGCACGCCATGCTGTTCATCAGCTGTGAGCAGTTTACTAGGAGGAAAGTACCACTAGCTGTTTGCACCTGGCGGGGCCCGGCACGATACCTCCCCGCTAATCAAAGCAGGCGACAGATCCACGGAGAAACAAACATAATAAGAGACTCGCTAATGACGCCTTTGCTTCATGCTGTCGCACCCAAAGAGGCTAGATTTGCTGGAGAAAAAGAAAAAAAATACACAGCAGCAAAACAGCAAACCATCAAAAAGAAAGCTTGCCTGAAAAGTCCCACAAAGGAAAAAAACAAAACAAAAAACACAGCCTTCTTCGAAAATCTCCAATCTACAGTAAACACAGACATTGCAAACACACTCCCACATAGACTCCCAGACCAGGAATTTGCAACAGAAAAATAATGACCACCCGGTTGGTTACGAGGGCGCTGAGCGAGCACGGCTGCTTTTGGAGAAGGCCGCCGCCGCCGTCCTGCTGTAATTGACTGATTTTATAATGCAGGAGGAGAAAAGGCTCATGAAAGCTGGGCACAGTGTGTGTGTGTGTGTGTGTGTGTGTGTGTGTGTGTGAGGGGGTGGTTTAAGTGCTGCAGTAGGTTCTGGGTGGAACTATGAGATGAGTCCAAGGATATGTTCACATTATAAGGCATAGACAAGTCATGTCCTTTCTGTTCAATCGATTTTTTCCCCTCGATCTTTCTGCTAATTTAATTTTTTGGTTTTGATCTTTCTGTTCAACTCCACATTTTTGCTCCGATCTTTCGGCAAATTTCAAATTTTTGGATAAGATCTTTGTGCTAAGCTCTGAATTTTTGCTCCGCTCTTTCTGCTCAGTTCAAATCTCTTCCTCCGATCTTTCAGCCCATTTCCAATTTTCTGCTCAGGTTTTTGGTTTAATTCAGAATTTTGCTCCTATCTTTGTGCTCATTTTAGATTTTTGCCTTTGATTGGTTGACTCAATTCTAACAGTTCACCCCTATCTTTCTGTTCGATAATTTGTGCCTATCTTTCTGCTTAATTCTGAATTTTTGCTCCGATCTTTCTGCTCAGTTACAATTCTTGCCTCAGATCGATCTGCTCAATTCCGATTTTTGGCTCCAATCTTTCTACTCAGTTCAGACTGCTTCTCCAATCTTTCTGTTCAATTCAGACTTTTTTACTTTTTGAACATCTGACATTAATGTGAAAACACCGCAAACCTGAAAGGACTTAAACATGCACTAAATCAATACATTCGGCAT